AAAATCAAGTTTAATTTGACAACGTAAATACAAATAGGGATCGTCAATCGTTTTGAAATATTCAAGGACAATTTCTTATGCAAAAATCGTTTATCTAAACTACCATCAAGGTGACAGCTGTAAGGACGCATTCTTCCAGGATTGGAAACACATTGCGTTAATTTCGGATCGGGACAGTATAATATTGTTTAGGTAATTGTCTGTATTCCTTTCTTGATTAATAATAGAACCGCTCTTACCCAGAATTTATATTTTGAATTTGGACTGGGCAAGGAGCGTATATTCTACATACTGTCTCCGAAAGCAAGGTTCATTGAAGTGAACTTTTTCTATACTGTAGACGTTTGGTCTTGTACAACTTCCGTGGACATACCGCAAGAAATAGACCTTTTCGAACTCTCTCAGTTTCAATAAGAAGACCAATATTATCGGCAGTTGCCGTCAACAGAAATCCTGAAATTAAAAATCAAGTTTAATTTGCAACGTAAATACAAATAGGGATCGTACAATCGTTTTGAAATATCAAGGACAATTTCTTATGCAAAAATCGTTATCTAAGCTACCATCAAGGTGACAGCTGAACAGTATACGGGGTTGGTACCTTTAAAGACGTGTGGAAGTGGACATGCCATTATATTGGCTGCTTAGGATCTAGTGTTGAGACATGAATGTTTTTCTGGCTCTTTAACAACTTCTGATTCTTGCTTTGACAACATTCAATCTGATTCGGTAAGAACCTTACCAGATCCAAACGATGTATATGTATATGTAACGTTTCACGCAATAGCCAGCAACTATCGAACACACCACTTTGTCGGACCCTGGGTAGTTAACTTCGTCTACGCGTCAACCTTTACAGTAGACCGTTGAGGCTTGTTTAAATCCTCATATTTATAAAAGGCCGCTAATCACACATGAGCTAATGGTTAGGTAGAACAATTTATTCGGCGTTCGGAGGTTTTAAATTCAGATGAAGACGTATCCCATTGAAGTGGCACTCTTCCACTCTTTTTAATCTGAATTATCAACTCAGTAAAGGTTGATGCTGGTTTCACTGCAACTTATCTGGTCTATACCTCGACATTTTAACCTGCAGGATCTTTCTTCTCAGCCAGAATGCACCTTAATGCTCACGTGAGTAGGTTTCAAAATTTGATGCGTCCAGTTACACCTGTATGAGCGTGGTCGCAATCAACTGATGTTTTTATTAGACCAGCCACACAAGTTGGCTCACACTTTCGTACATCACGACCCACTGAATCAACCTTTGGAGCTGCATACAAATGAATATAAAAATCGTTGTAAATATAATTACAAAACCGCTGAGATGAACAGGTTCCGTGGTAAAATCAGCATTGATTAGCTGAAATTAGATTACTGAGAAAGGAACTCCGATGTTGACCATTCCATTAAATGATATAACAAAAAAACTTTTTCAGATGTGATTCAACCTCCGACGGATAAGAGCCGCGACGAAACTTATCTAGCATAACTGAACCAAAACACCACAATCTATGAGAACTTTGATGTTTTAAAGGCACTAAAATGATAGAGGGATGTGGGAATTTTTCTCAGGTTATTCCTTTTTATCACTTTTTCTGAGTTTGACATTTAATTGGTTGCATTTCCAACTTTCATCCTGTCGAGAAAAAAATCATACAAGTTATATCTCCACGATTTGGTTAGCTAGCTTGCTAGCACTGGTATCTTTGGAGTAGTCTTCATACCGGTATGAAATACCTTAACGAACTAACTCACTGAACTGTTCTGTCAGGAGAGCTATGGTTTAAATGCATTTGGCTCCGTGTATCGAAAATTTGAGTAAGGTGAGTACAGGATGAGTGCTGTCAGTTTCTGGAAACTTTAAATCGGGGGCTCACTTAAGCACAACCTTTTTAAGCAAGTTATTCTTCGACTCATTTTCGTTTACTACCAGTAATCCTACTGAATACTTATCCGATGACGAACACAGTAGTAGTCCCATTGTCGGACTACATTAAACAATCGTTAAACACCCACTGAAAGCTAAATTAGACGACTTTGAGTTAATGAGAACTTTGAGTGCTAGGTATGGGCAAGGCAAATTAACTTTATTCAACCTTAAACAAAACTTCAAGCTCTTAGCGCCATTACTTTGGCCATTCGCACTCAATTTCTCATCACTTTTGCTCACTGCTACCATTTAAACAAATGTTTAGCGCCGCGACAGTCATCCCTGACCGAAGATGCTACCTTGACGTGGTGGTCGGGCTTGCCTATCGTGATGACCCAACCGAGCTATACTGGCTGAAACATATGTTCCTGCAGGTCCTACCATACCCGGCAGGTCGGTTGGAGAATTATGAGACTAAAAGCAGCTACCCAAGGTCTGAGGGCGAAGTCGTAATGCTGACTGTGGAGGCGTGTGACAGCAGTACAGAGTTTCCCTCAGACAACCAGCATCTGCAGCGATGCTGCCTTCTCACAAGGAAGGAAGGGTTAGAAAAGGTCGACCCTAAAAATGTCACACTTCATCCTACCTCACGGATTTCCGTCTCCGTCGGTGAGGGTGCCCACTAAGGGTTTTTAAGAGCCGAGCTAATACTCAAAAGCTTCTCATAAAAAGGCTGTGAGTGACCGGCTTCAAGCAGTTGTCCCTTGGGCTCTGCGGTCACGCTCCCAGGTCTCCAAGACTAATACTAATCTATCTTCCTTTTCAGGTCGTCGTTCCCGGTCTCCTTAAACTCCGTTCTAAACTACATGTTGAAGCATTAAATGTACGGATATTGTGTCGTGTAGGACATCAGTCATCATTAGCTTGGACTTTAGAATCTCGTGCCATCGATGTATGCTGCGTCTCGGAAACGCATACAGGATCCGACCTCGCCATGTCAAGGTAAAGAAGAAGCTCCATTTACTATTCGTGTATCCAGTAGCCCTGATGCTGCGTACAGGGGTCTCGCTGCTGTAGGTATAGTATCCAGTCGTAGGGCAGAACTAGCTCTCCTTGCCTGGATCCCAGTAGATAGTCGCTTGTGCGCTGTCCGACTAAATGGAACAGTAAGGATTCGAAAGGATAGGGACACTCCTCGCTGCCTCTTCATCATATCAGCCTACGCCCCCACTGACTGCAGTTCAGATGAGGTGAAAGACGAGTTCTACAGAAAGCTTTCGGACCTCCTCCAAAACGTTAAGCGCTCTGATATAGTTATAATGGTTGGTGAATTTAATGCTCAAGTAGACAGACTAAGTGAAAATGAAAGACACCTAGGTGGATGTTATGGTGTCGCGGCTCAGAGAACAGACAATGGCGACCGTCTGTTGCAAGTATGCTCAGACAACCGCATATTCTTTGCAAACACTAACTTTAGGCATAAGGAAAAGCATCTGTTGACCTGGCGACCTCCAAAGTCGTCTCAACGTTGGACGAAAGTGGCATTTGACTTAGTGGATCGTGAGGTTCTGTGGCAGTGTCTGTCTGAAATCTCTACATCAAGTGGTGTCCGTCAGGGCTGTCCACTCTCTCCATTCTTGTTTAAATTTGTCGTAGACGTCCTCTTGCATTTAACATTAAGCTCGTCAGATTTTTGAGGGGTTGACCTTCTACCAGGAAAGTCGCTTACTGATCTAGAACATGCCGATGACATAGTTCTACTTGGTGAAGACGCTGACAAAATGCAGAGTCTTCTGACTACCCTAAACAACAATGCGAGCATGTTCGGGATGCGGTTCTCACCCTCGAAATGCAAAATGTTGCTTCAAGTTTGGGTTGCATCGGCACCTGAACTAGTGATACAGAGTGAAGTAGTCGAACTAGACGAGCCTGGTGACTGACGAAATCTCAGCACGGATAAAGAAGGCTCGATTGGCTTTTGCCAATCTGCGTCACTTATTGCGTAGGTGTGATATCCTTTCACTAATTAAAGGACGGGTGTACTACGCAGCAGTTCGCTCCGTCCTACTGTACGGATGCAAAACGGCCGTTAAGAGTAGATGCTCGTAGGTTACTAGTATTCGATCACAGATGTCTCCGAAGTATTGCTCGTATATCCTGGGACAACCGAGTACGTAATGTTGTTGTTAGGAAACGAGTACTAGGTAGGGACGGCAAATCAATAGATGAAGTATTGAAACTTCATCAGTTGAGATGGTTGGGAAATGTGTTACGAATGCCCAACCACCGACTGCCTCGACGAGCTATGTTTTGTGGTGTAGGAGTAGGTTGGAAGATAGCTAGGGGCGGCCAAACCAAAACATTCTAGGAATACATGAAGTCACTGACAAGTGGACTGAGTCCTGTTGGTATATGTAGGCTACCTGGTTGGGTTCCGCGAGACGAAATTCACCAATGGTTAGAGACCTTGAACGACATGGCTCAAAATCGTTTGCAATGGTGCAAGTGCATCCATTCTTTGAGCTCTCCCAAGTCCTAATCTTCTGGATTCGTCAGCACCTCTACTTTTGTCATTCTAACCTTATCTCACTGAATTATACTTCTTGAATAATATCTTCCAACCGTAGTCTTCTTCATTACCATTATTACCTCTACTATCTTTATCACTATGGGATTTGATCTGACATTTGCGTCTCTGCGCTAATGTGGTATGGCAACATGAACTTGTGTACATACGTACGAAGTTCCACGTTGCAACTGACTGACTGACTGCGACAGTCATCAATACCAGAAATCCGATCACTCTGTATGAAAGTAATGAAGTAAGAGAAAGGGAAGAAATTAAGAGGCAGATCATTTTAAAAATTAACCACAAGTAAATTTAATTATGACCAATTTCACAAAAACCACTAGAACTTAGGACACTAAAAATTTCGGAGAAAAGATTCTAAATTTCTTTAGTCATCAACTAACATCATAAAGCGACGTTCTAGATGGCTCGACCAACATCTGTCGAACATTACCGAGTACCTGGAACCACATCGACAGAATAAGAAACAAGTGTAAAGAGATCAACTTTCTCACACTAGCTTGTGCATAAGTTATTGGATATAAAATTTGTCCTTGAGTGGTTTTCCAACATCGTACGCTACTATATGGCTTGCTCTCTAGGTTTGAAAAAGTGTTTAACGGTCTGTGGTAGTCATGATGAAGTACTGTATATCTTCACTAATAAATTTTTATTATAGGAACATTTGTTATCTACTCTTGCAAGCGTTAAAGCACAACTGCAACATGGCTTTCAGTACTACTCCCAGGTTGGGTACGTTCAAATTCTCAGTTTTACATGTTTTACGTCAGTAATATTGAGGCTGTATCCAAAGAACATGTGCAGCGCTTTGTTAAAAGGATTTCTGGATATCTGGTTTGTTTCAAATAATGATTATCATATAAATTAGAATTTGTCTGAAAATCTAAGCCATGAAATCTTAGTTCATTACCTTGCTGTTCAAGATATCCCAGAAGATCATATAGATGTAACTTCCTTTTCAATAATTTTATTGTGTCAGGAAGTATTTTCAGCCGGATCTGCAAGTGGTTTCTTGGAAGAAATTCGTCGGTTCTACTGGAAGGATCGTTTGGGTTTAATTAGACTTCTGAAGCTATGCGTTTGCCAGTGGCACGACTCTTGGTCATTGATTTCTGATGTCTTATTTGCAATGACATCATATGCAAGCCGCAAGGATTTGGTTGTCCAAGTAGATTGATCATTTCCAAGTCCTTATTTTAGGCTTTAAATGAGTATCTTGTTCAGCATCAAAGTGCATGCTCTTTAATCGAAACTTGGGGTCATTCATCTTCGGTTCGTTTCATTCTATTAGTACCTAGCTTTTGAATTTCAGGGTTTTGTTTCAAATCGTAATAAAGTTGGAGTTGACGATACGAACCAATTTGGTGTCGTTGTTACCCAAAAACTTAAGGAGTTGATTGAACTCCTTGAACTAATCCTTCTTGGTGTTCATGGTCTTTGTCTTTCCGGTACAACAGAAGACTCTTCCGTTATGTTTAAGAAAGTGCTAGAGACGTTCTGGGTAACTTTTTTCACAATATGACCTTTGTTTTAGTCTGTTTCCTTCGGATCGTCTCTCAAAAATTTTGGGGCAAATAATTTGATGGTGGACCAAATCTGGTATGTATCAACCTAAAAGACATTGTTTATGTTTGAGTTTTATTTTAGATGTAATCTTAGTTCGTCTAGTAGTGATTTCATTGATTGTTACAGGGTATATTTTATGGTTCAAATTCTGATGCATTTCAAACCCCTAATTGAAATCATACCCTTAGTTCATCTTCATGGGGTATATCTTTGCATAGCGGGTTATCTTTAAATGTAGTAGGATTCTTTACAACATACGAGATTAGCAGGTTTTCTCGTAGCCTGTAACTGTAACTGAAACTATTCTGTTTGCAACCCGAACTTCACATATCAATGTTTAAGAGTTTCCAACCCAAAAACAGCAATGATATAACCATTCTGTCGAAGCACTTGTAGAATTAAAATGTTTACGTGCTTAGATAACCAACTAATTTCCTTCACCTTAATATCTGGGTACTTTATTTCTTTATTATTGCATGATATAATAAATTCTAAATTGATTTATTTCAGTTTCACACAGACGCTTATTCTTATTCGAGCGGCGAATTTGGACTCTGTGGTTTTGTTTTCAAGGCAGTAAGTTTTAGTTGTTACGAGACTTTAAGTTAATATTTTTGTCTTCTATTAGTTAGAATCTTTCTCGTAATTCTTGTGGCACGGTGTTTGTTATGTCCTTACTCTGATCAATACAGAGGCGACCTTCGAGTGACCAACACACAACGAGGACAAGGGAATTGCTACTGTTTACTTGAAGGACAGTTCAATTCTATTTTGCCCCACCAAGAAAAGCAAAAGACCAATGGCCACCAGTCCAAGGTTTTGTTACTACATTTCACACATTCCTTTAAATGCATATTAATCCGTACCATATCACACCAATAAGTGGCAATTAATGGCTATACATAAATGAGCTAAAAGTAGCTGTGAGTAGGGGAGATTGTCAATGATGTATTGTCGACAAAATAGGAACGGCATATCGTATGATAATAATATGTGCATTAATATAAAGCTTATAATAAAAGGAATACATGCACCTAATAAATCAGTTAATTAATTATCATACAATTAGACTATTTACATCAATAGCCCATAAATTAGTTATCTCAGTTATTACTTTAATCATCATTCGGATATAACAATGTTCTGTACACATTTGTTCCCAAATGATTTCATGCTTTATATAGGTCACTTGATGACTTGGCACTACCCTCCTACAAGTTGAAAATCGCTAACATGGCATCGAAATCGAAAGCAACTACAGAAAATACCGCTAGTGCAAAAGACGAAACGCCAACTCACTTCTTATATGATTCTCATTTACTGAATCGACTGCTAGCTAGTTTATCGAACCTTGGGGAGCATCAGGTACACGGGCCATTGTTGCTATTTGGTGCAGTTTGTGCAACTGCTTTCTCTCACTGGGGACCAGTTTCTCGTGATTCCGCAGATCAAAGTCCGGACTCAACCTGCGAACTTTCCGGTTACGCGAAGACGCAAAACAATGAAAATCTCATCGCTGATCACTATGCTCAGCTATCGATCCAGAATCTCAATGTATTTAGTTTTTTGGTTAGGAGGCTAGATCGTATTGATTGCCATCCACCCCAGGTTAGTTCATCATCATAGTTTTATTCCTACTAGGTTTTTCATTCTCAATAAACCAAATGGATATTTTATAACTAACTATCATTAACTAACTTGATGTTGTGCTTACTTTTGTTCCCAGATATGCGAAATACTCTTTTTCCATAACAAGAAAGCGTTTTTTCATCTGTCTGGTTTATGTTCTCCACTAGTCCCTTAATCTTATGGAATTTTCAATCGCAGTATATAAGTTGTGAATACTAACTGGTTTCAGTCTAGCTTCTATTTATATCAAAGAAATTTTAAAAGTTATCGAACAGTTAGTAATTAAGAAATGAAATACTAACTCTACTTATTTCCTGCCTTATTTATGGCACCAATCCGTGAAGTCACTGACTATCAAACTGTATCATGTTAATAGATGTAGACTACCTGGTCGGGGTCCTCGTAATAGTCGTAACCAGTGGTTAGAGACTTAAGTGACATGGTTCAAAATCATTTACAATGGCTACACTGCATCTATTGTTTGTCGTCTCCAACATTCTGAGCTCCTGATTTACTAATAGCCTCCTATTTATTTCACTGGTCTATATTTTCCTGAATTTTACCTTCGAATTATAATCTTTTCCATTACCAATATTACTGTTACTACCTCCACTACTCTAGAGTTTGACCTGACAATTTTTTCTATCTGTACTGATCTGGTGTGGTCACTTAGACTGATATAAGAACATATTAAGTTCTACATTGCAACTGACTGACTACTCAAACGGCAGTTTCTTTAACTTCTATTTATATCTATCACGGTCATATTCGTGTTACATGTGAATTTAGATAACATATTATTGGATGTTTTAACAAAAACTACCAATATCTTAGTGACTTGAAATGCATTTTGAACAAAGCTTCGCTCCAATGTTTTTTCCAGTCCGTGTCCTATAGCTTTAATGACTGTGTATTAAAGTATTCGGATAGTTTTCATGTCTATAAGCTGGTAAATTGCAATTAGTGTACGACAAGTACTTGGGATTGTTTTTTCTATCAAATGCCTTCTCATTTGAAATTCCAAATATTATGCCCGGATAAATTTTCAAACTGGTTTTAAGTGAGAGGTCAGAAATTACCTGTTTCAAAATGCTTTTTTGTGGACACAATAAGATAATTCGATACAGTTGACTGACCCATCGGGTTAGTTTTATCCTATAACACTGTCGTTGTATTCCACAACTACTTTCATCATCTTCTTTAGGGAACCAAACTAGTCATAAACTATGGGGTCTTTTCTATCTACAATAATATCGTAAGCGATACATAACTCACAGTGTCTTTGGTCAACAAGTGTACCTTTAGACCAAGAGTTTTAAACATACTGACCGTTCAGTCTATGTTAGTGTTTCAGTGCACATTGAGTTACAGACTATAAGTCAAACACACAGACGGGTCCTAGTTCCACTTACTAATTAGTGCCAAAATCGGTGTTTGATTTATTGTGTTGCAAAATTAGTGTATAGAGCACATACGCACACGGTGTTTTGAAACTAAGTGCTGGTCACGACAAGCGATATATATGATAAAGTTATGGATGGTGATTTACTAGTAACTTTGAAATATCATCAATATCTACTTGAACCACCAAGTCGAAGGAGGGTCAGTCTTTAAATACTAGGTACGGAAGATGATTAACGGTAAAGAGGTTGCAGATCCTCATAATTTATTTTTATAGGCTTTGAAAATATCTTATGGTAGTCTAACTACATCAATTCAATTTTAGTCTAAAATACTGGATTTATTTTATACTTATTCAGTAATAATTCACATTAATCTGTTGCCTCGACATTTCTTTTTCTCCATGAAGGTCTCACAGATAGATCGTAATGCTTCTGTTCCATACAGTGAGTTTAATTCTAGTCTTGTTAGTCTGAGTACTCATAGCGCCCTATTTGATCTGGTTACTCTGTTAGCCCGAGATGTCGCATTATGGTCATTGGATAGCAATCGCCCTCCTAATTCACAGTTATTCAATTCTCTCGACTATCCAAATAGAGATGAATTTATTATTTTGTTCTCGCAAACTCTTAGAGTTGTTGTAACTAACGCTCATTTAGTTCGCTGTCCACTATCAAAAGGAGTTCTGAGCACTTCAGATAATGACCAAGATTTTCCAGTCCATAGTGGCCCAAGAATTGGTTATCGGATTTTCGGACTTATTGAGTCGCTTATAGAAAGTAAGTTAGTTGTATTTTTCAGTAAATATTATACTCTTGAACTATCATTGACAACTTAGTAAACTCCAGTAATAAATATTGCCAGGATATTGAGAACTATACACAGTGTTCTTACATAATGCGTTTAAAACCAGCCCATAATAAATAAATCTTCCTTAAGTTAAAATGTCAGCGTGTAATTATTTCTAAATCTTAACACCATTCTTTACTAAAACTTCTACCAATGACATCCCAGAAACATCTTGCTCTGTGGATGATATCGTCCTACAAGCTACTCAAATCACAACCGATAAGTACATACTTTTGCCGTTAAAGTTTAAGGTGCTTCCATAAGATTGGGCGAAATGCGCATGTACACTTGAGATGATGGAAAAATTTTGTCGCTCAGATGGGTGATTGTATGGAGTTCCGTTCTCTGAGCTATGAGCTCTAAATTTATACTTACTCTTTGTGGTAAGTAATTGTAAGTTATGGAGTTTGTTTATCTGGTTAGTTGCGTGGATACCAGTGGTAGTGTAAATTTGGAAGTAGTACAGACAAATTTTCTTTGAGTAATTCTATCTTGAAACACTAGCCGTAATGAGTTGGGAATGTTCTGCATATTACGTCCCACTGGTTTCTATCTTATTATATATTGATCTATTTCAGTCAGTCAGTTACAACGTAGAACTTCGTACGTACGTACATCAGTTCAAGTTGCCATACCGCATCAGCACAGAGATGCAATTGTCAGTTCGAATCCCATAGTAGTACATGTAGTAGATTTATTAGCAGTAATCGAAAAAATTCGAGATCGAAAATATCATTCTCAATGTATACACCAGAGCAATCGACTAAAAAAAGAAACAAACGACCATGAGGAATTCAAAAGATCCTGATTTGGAAAAGCATAAACAGTGGATGCACCTGCGCCATTGCAAACGATTTTGAGACATGTATCTCAAGGTCTCTAGACATCGATTACTATCATATCGTGGGCACAAACAAGGTAGTCTACATTTACCAACATGACTCAATCCAGTTGTCAGTGACTTTATGGATTTGTGCCATGTTTTGGTTTGGTCGCCCTAGTTTTCTGCCAACCTATTCCTAAATCACAAAACATCTCTTGTCAAGGCAGTCGGCGATTGGGGATACGTAACACTTGTCCCAACCACCTCAACTGATGGAGTTTCAATGCTTCACCTATTGATTTGCCATCCCTACCTATTACTCATTTCCTAACGACAGCATTGTTTAATCTGTTGTCCCACGATACACGAGCAATGCTTCGAAGACACCTATGATCGAAGACCAATAACCATGCTGGTTTCCGACCTGGACGCGGCTGTATAGACCACATATTCATTCACACTACGACAGGTCCTGGAACACACACATTTAGGTGCCCGACAATAGTTGTCTTTCTGGACCTTAAAGCGGCATTTGACTCTGTCAATCGTGAGGTCCTGTGGCAGTGTCTGTCAATAAAAGGTATACCAGAGGAGTACATTAACATTATACAAGCTCTCTACTCAAACACTACTAGTCGAGTCACAGCTTATGGCGAACTGTCATCGGGATTAATTACTTCGATTGATGTCCTTCAGGGAAATCCACTCTCTCCACTCTTTTTTAACTTTGTGGTAGACATGCTTTTAGAGTTAACATTGTCTTCGTCTGACTTTTTAGGGGTGGATGATCTACCAGGAGACTCGCTTGTTGACTTAGAATATGCCGATGACATAGTTCTACTTGATGAAGACTCTGACAAATTACAGTCTTCTGACTACCCTATGCAACAATGCACACATGTTTGCGATGCAGTTTCCCCCCTCGAAATGCTCAATGTTGCTTCAGGATTGGCTTGTATCGACACCTGAACTAGTGATAGGAATTTAGATAGTTGTGCGTGTTGACCACTTCAAACATCTGGTGTCTCTCATCAGTGTGGATAGCCTGGTGACTGAAGAAATCTCAGCACGGATACAGAATGCTTGATTAGCTTTCGCCAACCTGCGTCACTTATGGAACAGGCGAGATATCCGCTTGCTAACCAAAGGACGAATGTACTGTTCAGCAGTTCGCTCCGTCCTACTGTACGGATGCAAAACGGCCGTTAAGAGTAGAGGATATTCGTAGGTTACTAGTCTCCGATCATCGATGTCTCCGAAGCATTGCTCGTACATCCTGGGAAAACCGGGTGAGCAATGCCGTTATTAGGAAACGGGTGTTAGGTGGGGATGGCAAATCAATAGGTGAAGTATTGAAACTCCATCTGTTGAGGTGGTTGGGACAAGTGTTACGTATGCCTAACCACCGACTGCCGCGTCGAGCTATGTTTTGTGGTGTAGGAGTAGGTTGGAAGATAGCTAGGGGCCGCCAAACCAAAACATGCCAGGAATACATGAAGTCACTGACAAGTGGACTGAATCATGTTGGTAGATGTAGGCTACCTGGTTGGGTTCCGTGAGACGAAATTCACGAATGGTTAGAGACCTTGAACGACATGGCTCAAAATCGTTTGCAATGGTGCAAGTGGGTTCACTGTTTGTGTTTTTTTTACTTCTAACCTTCTGAATTCCTCATAATCCGTATCTTTCTCCTTCTTAATTTATCTTGCTGAGTTACACTTCTCGATTCATATCTTCGCTCCCTAATCTTCTCCATTACTGCTAGTACTTCTACTATCGCTATCACTCTTGTATTTGAACTGACAGTTGCGTCTCTGTGCTGATGTGGTATGACAACCTGAACTGATGTACTTACGTACGAAGTTTTGCGTTGTATCTGTCTGTCTGAAAGAAACAAAATGTTAGTTGTCTTTGTTTTCCGATCGTAATATTTTATATTCTCGGGTTTTTTTTAAACCAAATTCAACTCCGTTTTGCTGTTTATTCTTCTGGCCATGTTGTATCAAACATTTTCCGTATGGAAATAATATGAATTGGCTATTTTATCTTCTGCCTTTTAAGAATAATTAAAAAAATCGTTTAAGACCGTAGAAAATAATACTGTAATGGAAAGTTTTATATTTATCCTAATAATGAGACAAAACTAATTACCTATCATTTTTTCCAATCGTAGGTTTTCCTTACGATCTCAGCGTACTCCGTATTTATACGAGTTTACTCGTTCCTTCAAGTAGTACTAAAATTAAATCACGATCTATTGAATTAGTAAATCATGTCAAAGACTTTATAAATCATGTTCCATACCTCGCTGAACCACTGACTGAATCATTGTCAAAACAGTTGTCTCCACGAAATGCATCATTATATCCTCAGTTTACCAGTAATATTGAGAAGAAATTATACACACAGGTTGTTTTAAATAAACCCCGAACAGTTATGACTGTCAATTCAAAAATTACCTCAGCATCTGCTAGTTCCTCTGAGCGAAATAATATCTTCTCAGGAGTCTACCTAGCATCGGGCACACACGGTTATGTTGATCAAGGTGAGTTTAAAATTATTTCTTTGCGAAAATATCCGTTTACATCTTCATTTGATTCATTGTCATCAACTATTTATGATTCAAACTATGCAGACCTTTCTTTAGAATTCATCTTTTGCTCCATCCGAGCTGCAGTCACGAAGGCGTAGGCATAGGCGAGTGACTTAATCTTTCTGATTCCTTACTGTCCTAATTAGTCGGAGTACACATAAGAGACTATCTGCTGGGATGCAGTCTAAGAGAGATAGTTCCGCTCTCCAAAGCGCTCTATCACTGAAGACGGCAATCCATGGGGTACGGCGGTGTGACATTTTTAGGTTTGACATTTTCTAGCTTTTTCCTTCCTTGTGTGAAGTCGGCATCGCTGCAAATGCTTGTTGTCTGAGGGAAACACCTTACTGCTATCACACCCCTCTACTGTCAGCAATATGACTTTACCCTCAGACCTTGAGTAGCTGCTTTTAGTCTTATCGTTCTCCAATCGATCGGCCTATAGGAACATATGTTCTTTTGGGTCATCACGATAGGCAAGCCCGACCACCACGTCAAGGTAGCAGCTACAGTCGGATGTTGGAACATTTAGCTAATGTAATGTGTCTTGATTAGTAACTAGTGATAGTAAATCAGTTTTTGAGATAAATTTACAACCTTTATTTTACTCTTTAGCATACTGATACTAATGGTCAGTATCCGCAGCTACTTTTTTTAAGTGCTCTATGAGCTGTAATGTTTTCCAACTAGTTTTCCTCAGATTAGTGCCTCAGTATTGATTTTAGTCTAATCTTTCTTGTGATTTCGCATCGAAAATTACAACTAGAGTGGTGTAAAAATGTGCTTGCCTATGGGTTATAAATCTTTACAACTTTAATCCAAGTGAACTGTTAGATCGTTCCCATTTACTGCTGAATCACAAATGTACTGTTTTCACTTTATCCTATTCGCATCCTACTGTACGTTTCATAAATTCATTGCATTAAATAATGTCTAGTTTAACTAAACAAAGTTCTTATTCATAAACTGCTACTAGCTTTTTTTTCGATTTATTAACAGATTTAGGCCTTGCTGTATGGCCTATTGAATATTCTCTTTGGCATGTAATTGGCAATGAAATTTATTTGGCCGAATTGGCACTTAATGATTTTAATAAATCTATTGCTTCATCTATGCATAAATGCGAAACTCATATTCTATTAAATTCTACATCATATAATTCGGAATCACTTCAAGCTCAAGCTGAATATTACGCTCAATTTTATATTAGATTAACACGATTGTTAGACCTCCTTGAGTTCATATCCGCTTGCCTCAAGGTAACACTATTAATGATTTTGATTTTTAATTAGTCTTATGAAGTAGAGTACGTGAACATACACATGCATTTTATGCATGACAGGTTAATTAATTGAGGCTTTTTGATGACTATGTACTCATGTAGATTGGTTTAAGCCAAGTATTTATTGGAAATCATCGTCTATTGAATGACTCTGCCATTTAATTCCCGAATTTTTCATATGTATGTACCCAATGCTTTATTCATAATCAAATACAAAGGCATGAAACCGAGAGAGATTTCAACTTTATGACGAAAATTAATACTATTATCCAGGTAATGGATATATGTCATACATTACGAAGTTTCCGTTTAAGGTTTCAGTTTTGATTATTTTGAAACATTTAGTAGTTGTTGTGATAACTCTATCATTAAATTACTTCAGAAATTTTGATCGCATTTATACAAAACAAAACGTAGTCAAAACACTTCATGTTTATGTAAGTTATCTGAAATTAATTAAGCTGAATGATAGCTCTGTTGTTAAAACATTCGGTTTTCATCTAGTTGAACAAGGGTTCAAACATTGTTCCATTGAATTCGGTTTAGACACATGGATGATATCACTAATCTTAAATATTTTAACTCAATGCTGATCCCATGATAATTGCACTTTATGAGCTACAGTAAATTCAAAAATTCCCATTATTTTAATTCTTGCCTATATTTTTCATTTTTTTTCCAGTGTGATTTGTATATTTCTCATTGTTTAATATCGATTGAATATATTTGGATGATAATTTTACGTTATTTAAATGTTATACCATCTGACCAAGTCAATATCATTGTTCAATATATCACTAATAACCCATCACTATCATCATCATTCATTAAAACACGTCGAGATTTTTATGGAAAAAATAAATCTTCAAATGAAATAACAAAAAATCGTAATTCAATTGATGAATTAATCATTAATTTGATACTGCCTAAATTGTTATGTTTAATTGGACAATCTTTATTAAATTTACCGACATTAAAATCAAAGCAGTTAATCATGGAAAATATTAATTTGTTGAGTTGTGTATTAGCTAGTAGTCATAGCATTATACCACGTGTGGTTATTAATCAGAATAATAAAAGTTCCCAGTAAGTTATCTTTTTACATTTTATATTCACTTGTTTCTAATATTGCTTGAGTACAATTTTAATTTATAAATCTGATTTTAAAAAAGTGATTACTAATAATGTACCTTATTAATTTAAGTTACCAATCAGTAGTTACACTAACTTACTGTATTTGTTTTAGTTTTTATTGAACCATGGATCTATATACTGCATTCAAATGAGTGGTTTTTACTCATTATTACATAATCTTGATTGGTTAGACGAATATATATTTTAGTAACTGGTGATTTATGAGTTAAGAACAAACCCTGTCACTCCTTCTTTGGTTATGTAGTCGCTGTACGACTGTACGATTACTCTTGACTCAAAAATGTATGAATTAAAAAGTAGTCAAATAGAGAAGTTATTGTGTTTGCCGAGTAGATCAACTTTTAAATCTTTGTCAAGAATTGGGTTGTCGTAACTCGGCACAATAGTTCATAAGTTCACAGAAGATCGAGCGTGTTAATAAAAAATACGATGTAATTTTAAAATATACAGTTTTTACTAATGAGATTAATGATTAATATTTATTTACTATCCACAGTATGTATGAATATGCGTTGTCAACTATTGTAAACGTAATGTCAACCAAGCAATCATCAAACAAATTAGCACTTTCCACAAGTGTTCATTGATGCAAATGATCCTGCTGGCACATCACGTTGATAGTAGAGATTAATAAGTTGTGAAGCAATAGGGCCAATATAACAGTAGTGTTAGCCACTACTAAATATATAATAAACGGATTCCCAAAAACATTTTTACTACTGCGACTGATTTATGTCAATATTTTATAATCAATGTTTGTTTCTATCATAACCAATTTTAATACTATTTATTGAATCCGTAGCATAGTAAAAGATTTATAGCCTATATTGTTATCCAATCTTAAGGCATTTAAATATTGCGCATAGGTCAAATTTAAGTAGGCTGTTGAATCAATCAACAGTGAGAAAGCGATTTTAGTGTTGTGATGCATTAATAATTCAAGGATAACGTTTACCGGATTGCAATAATCTAGGATATTGACCACGCGCCGTGTAATGACCAATCTCGGTATTTACAAGATATGGATTTTTCAAAGTGAGTTGACGATACACGAGTGTACAGAAAGCCAAGATAAAGTAATATTTCGCTTCAGTGTATGTTACAGTTAACACTACGGTTACGATTTGTATTTAGTTATTGGATTATGGTTAGAAGTTGTGTTTACTCTTATTATTAGGGATTAGTATTTAAATATACTAGCCCTAACTCATAAATCTTAATCAAAACCATTACTTTAACTCTGAACACTTACGGTTAAGAACCCGTAGCAGAATAAGAGAAGCTATTCGGTCATATACAAACAGAACATTCTCCATAAATTCTCTGGACTCATGTTTTAATCCACATTTTCATAGTTTCTGTTTTTTGACCTAGCTGAAATTAGTCAAGACATCCAAATCATTCTACTAGATGATTTAGCTTACTGATTTAGATTATCAAGTCGAAGTTCACTAATCAAACAACATAAACAGTACTATTCATCATCAGCAAAGACTTAAATCATAAGCATTCATACAAATTATGACTTCATAAAAATAAATTATTTATTGTCTTATTATTGTTGTTTCTTTCTATTTTATTTTTTAAAAATTTAGACTAACATTTGGACTCAGTGCTTGTTATATAATCAACATTATTCTTAATTACAATTCATCAGAACCAATTAGTTCTTCAAATCTTCATCAGTTATCTCCATTTCATCATCATTGTTTAACAGATGAATATAATTTACTAATTTCATATATTAATTTTATATCAGGATTATTTTTCTTTGTTCGATGGGCATATTCTAATTCAGAGTTCATTGTTGAAAATATTCATATTGATATTATGCCGTTATATGTTGAATGTTCTGAATTAATTCATGGATGTCTTGTATTCATCATTCAATATCTTATGATTATGTGTTCACAAGTAGATTACTGTGTTGAAAATTTTAGCATTAACTCTATGAGTAATGGACTAATTCAAACAAATATCTTGTCAAAAGTGGGTTTTGATCAGCTAGCTAATTTAGGTAAGTCTTAAATTGTGATACATCCTTATTGTTCATGGAAATGGTTGACTTTCGTTGAAATCATAAACCAACGCAGGTTAGACCATCTTTGAAAACTTGGAAGCATTGGACGGCCGTTTCATCCTAGTATGGGACTCCACAGCGGTATGTATCCACGACCCCACAGGTAGGAACAGAACCCCGGACCTTTTGTCTCGTGTGCAAACCCTTAACCTTTAGATCATTGAGTCTGATTTCAGTCAATCCACGGCATTGCACGACCATGTTCCACTGTCTTTGTTGGGTAGTCGCTTCACAGTAGACACTAACTTGGCTGGTCATGAGGTCTTGGATACACACTGCCCTACACTAGGACATGTTCGTTTAGTGGTTCTAAGTTTTTAATGGTGATCTAACTGAAATCAGTTCATGATTTCAGTGAAACTACATTATATTCGAAGTTGTGTCATCTTGCGCTTGTATATCAATTGGTAAATTTTTAAATGCATCCATCGATTTTAGTTGATACAAAATACCTAACTATCAGGTTTTATGGAAAGGCATAAAAAACTTAGAAATGGCTTTTCAGGTAGATATTTAAAGACTGATAACATCTCATGGAACTCTGACACCACGTGGTCTTAATGGATGACAGAGTTCACAACATGCGAAATTGATTTTTTCCCAATCGCTTAAGACATGTGGTCATGTTCATTTTCTAATATTGATATTCTGTTCATGAACATGTTATTTTATTAGAAAAACAATTATTTTACTGGTTGTCGTCTATCCTGTTTTCTGATATCAGCTCATTCAGATTTTGGAAGGTGATTTTGTCTTGTGGATTAGTTATCAATCGACCATATCGTATCATTCAGTTGCACATATTGACCAGTATTTTATTTATTTAATACACGAAATCTGGTACATCTGGCTATCAAATATTTTATGGGCTCGAATACTGATCGAAAACCAAAATCAATCATAAACGTTGCCTTATGAAACCAACGTAATTTGTTGTTTACCCGGACACGTTTGACTCGGTTCGACTATTCACAACCTGATCAATGGTTTGTCACTTCTTAAAACAGTCATATGGAGAAATAAAAGCTATAAAAATTTGTCTTCGTTTTTCAAGTGATAGTAAACAATAATTCTAAATGATATATAAAGGATAAGCTTGCATTAATCCTAAATGTAAACAACGAAATTATAAATTACGTAAATGGTTTTTCTTTTTCTATTAGCTGAACATTGTTTCATGTTATTGACCGATGTATTGACAACGCGTACATCGGAAAAAGATATACAAATTATACAAATGATTTTGAAACAACTTAAACAAGACTCATCATCATCGTCATCATCGTTCGTATCTTCAACATCATTATTTCATTTATTTCCTAAATTTATATTTGAAGAGAATCATTGGCCCATAACTTATCAATGCATTGCATTACACTTACTGTTTAATGATTCACGTTCATTAAATGCTCTGATAGCATTTTCGTCAATTCATCAAAGTATACTATTGCGGCAAACTGAAACATTTGAATATGGGTAAGTGTTCATCTTAAAAAAGGACGTTTAATTAACTCATCCACCAATTACTTATGTATAAGCTACACTCTACATGTGAGGACTAGGTATACTACCCATTTGTCAAATGGATCGTCAAACTTGGGACTTAATAACTCAATGTCGAGCGCTTTAACCACTAAGCCATCAATAAGTTGTTTTTAGAAACTCAACTTTTCCATGTTACACCATATAATAATGATAATGTTTTATTATTATATTTTTTAAGGAGTGAAAAAAATACTTAAAAACTGGGAATAAAGAGGACAAGATAATCCTCTGTTTATCTTTTCTTACACTACGTTGACAGAGGATCAGTAACTTGATGGAATTATTTATTGTTAGACCTGCCAATCTTTTAATCTAATTGAAAATTGCATACTTGATAATATTCTTTTTGAGGACAGTCCTGAAGCGAATGTACATAAAAGTTTTTGAAGATCAGCAATCCGTTTCATAGTACCCACAGTCTCGCATTACAATGAAGGACAATTCATCTTATATCGTAAAACATCTAAATTAAGGCCCGACCGTAGCTGCTACCTTGACGTGGTGGTCGGGCTTGCCTATCGTGATGACCCAACCGAACTATACTGGCTGGAACATATGTTCCTGAAGTGTTTTACCATGCCAGGCAGGTCGATTGGAGAACGATGAGACTAAAAGCAGCTACTCAAGGTCTGAGGGCGAAGTCGTACTGCTGACTGCAAACAATTATGACAGCAGTAAGGTGTTTCCCTCGGACAACCAGCATCTGAAGCGATGCTGCCTTCTTACAAGGAAGGAAGGGTTAGAAAAGGTCGACCCTAAAAATGTCACACCTCACCCTACTTCACTAGTGTCCATCTCCGGCGGTAAGGGTGCTCCCTAAGATGTTTTAAGAGCGGAGCTAATCCTCAAAAAACCTTTCATAAAAAGGCCGTGCGTGACCGGCCTCAAGAAGTTGTCCCTTGGGCTCTGCGGTCACGCTCCCAGGTCTCCAAGACCAACACTAATCTACCTTCCTTTTCAGGTCCCTCAAGAAACAACCTTCCACGTTGTGGACAGCCGGGAAGTGATAACTGCCCTCATACCCGTAACAGCACGAGAGACCAAATTGGTCAAAATCAAATCCTTCCTGCACCCACACATACCTCTCTTCTCTCCACAACTAACTCTACTTACATTCCCTTATCTGACTGCTCCGCTAATGCAAACGATGCGAGTTCACGAAACGTCATTTCTGGTCTCCTGAAACCCCGCTCTAGACTACATGTTGGAGCATTTAATGTACGGACATTGCGTCGAATGGGCAACAGGCATCATTAGTTAGGACTTTAGAATCTCGCTCAATCGATGTTTGCTGCGTCTCGGAAACGCGCATACAGTAAGGATTCGAAAGGATAGGGACACTCGCCGTTGCCTCTTCGTCGTATCTGCCTATGCCCCCACTGACTACAGTTCAGTCGAGTTGAAAGATGAGTTTTACAGAAAGCTTTCGGACCTCCTCCAAAAAGTTAGGCGCTCTGATATAGTAATAATGGCTGGTGACTTTAATGCTCAAGTAGGTAGACTAAGTGAAAATGAAAGACACCTTGGTGGATGTTATGGTGTCGCTGCTCAGAGAACAGACAATGGCGACCGTCTGTTGCAAGTATGCTTAGATAACCGCCTATTTCTAGCAAACACTAACTTCAGGCATAAGGAAAAGCACCTTTTGACCTGGCGACCCCTGAAGTCGTCTCAACGTTGGACCCAACTAGATCACATCGCTATCCGACACCGATGGAGGGGTTCGATAAAGGACTGTCGCTCGTTCTGGAGCACATGTTTAGATTCAGATCATGCCCTAGTGCGAGCTCGTGTTTGTTTGAAGCTTACTGGGTGTGGGAAAGATACCGTGGTGAAGTCTCATAGGGTTCTACTTAATGATAATAAAGCTAAGAAAATATTTCAAGAGGAACTAGAAAAACAGTTAGGTGACCATGCAAGTGATTCCCATCCGGAAGCAGGTTGGAATGATGGTGGGTGACGAAAGCAAAAGCGATGGAAAAGGCAGCGGCGATATGCAACACTAGACAACTTTTCCGCCTTATTAAAGAATCCGGTATTAGGATCCCAAATGTGAGTGAGACTATTTCGGAAAAGGATGGTCTTATTATCCATTCTCAATCCATGAGACTGGATCGATGGGAAGAACACTTTAGGGATCAGTTCAACTGGCCTCGAGCCACTCTTCGGCTACCCACGATCTCCAGTCATCCTGAATGGCAAATCGAGGTAAGTGCCCCTACTCTTTATGAAGTTGAGAAAGCGTTAGGAAATCTGAAGCGAGGGCGAGCTGCAGGTCCTGATAGACTGGCCCCTGAGATATTTAAGGATGGTGGTCCAGTTTTAGCAGCTAGGTTGACTGAGATCTTAGGTAGAATCTGGGAACTGGACGTAATCCCATCTGACTGGTCTGAATCACTGATTGTCTCAGTCTATAAGAAAGGACACAAGTCTTCTTGTGACAATCACAGGGGAATAAGTCTAACTAATATAGTATTTAAAATTTTGGCCTCAATAATAATTCGGCGCTTAACGAAAGCTCGTGAAGAGCAGACTCGAGAAAACCAGTCTGGTTTTTGACCTGGTCGTGGTTGTATAGACCACATCTTCACACTACGACAGGTCCTGGAACACAGACACACATCTAGGCGTCATACAATAGTTGTTTTCCTGGACCTTAAGGCGGCACTTGACTCTGTCAACCGTAAATTTCTGCGATAGAGCCTGTCATTGAAAGGTGTACCAAAGAAGTACATTAACCTTATACAAGCTCTCTACTCTAAAACTACTGGTCGAGTGAGAGCTTGTGACGAACTGTCATCGGAATTCTTCACTTCAAGTGGTTTCCGTCAGGAATGTCCACTTTCCTCCACCCATTCTTGTTCGATTTTTTCGTAGACATGCTGCTAGATATAACCTTATCTTCGTCTGAATTTCCAGCAGTAGACCTACCAGGAGTATCGTTTACTGACCTAGAATATGCCGATGACATAGTTCTATTCGGTGAAGACGATGACAAAATACAGAGTCTTCTGACTACCCTAAACAACAATGCGAGCATGTTCGGGATGCAGTTTTCCTCGTCGAAATGCAAAATGTTGCTTCAAGATTGGGTTGCATCGGCACCTGAACTAGTGATACGGAGTGAAGTAGTCGAACGTGTTGACCGCTTCACTTATCTTGGGAGTCTCATCAGTGCCGTTGGCCTGGTGATTGACAGAATCTCAGCACGGATACAGAAGGCTCGATTGGCTTTTGCCAACCTGCGTCACTTATGGCGAAGGCGAGATATCCGATTGCTGACTAAAGGACGAGTGTACTGATCAGTAGTTCGCACCGTCTCAATATATGGCTGTGAAACATGGCCTGTGAGAGTAGAAGATATTCGTAGGTTACTGGTTTTTAACCCTGGGTGACTTCGAAGCATTGCTCGAGTATCGTGGGACTCCCGAGTAAGCAATGCTGTTGTTAGGAAACGGGTGCTAGGTAAGGATGGCAAGTCAATAGATGAAGTAATGAAACTTCATCAGTTGAGGTGGTTGGGACATGTGTTGCGTGTGCCTAACCACCGACTGTCTCGATGAGCTTTGTTTTGTAGTGTAGGAATAGGTTGGAAGGAAGCCAGGGGCGGCCAAACCAAAATATGGCAGAAATGTATGAAGTCATTGACGAGTGGACTTAGCCATGTCGGTAATTGTCGACTACCTGGTTGGGGTCCGCGAGATGATAATAATCGATGGTTAGAGACCTTGAATGACATGGCTCGAAATCGTTGGCAATGGCGCCGGTGCATTTATTCTTTGTGTTCTCTCAAATCCTAATCTTCTGGGTTCTTTCAACACCTCTAGTTTTGTCTTTCTAAACTTTTCTCACTGAATCATACTTCTTGAATAATATCTTCTAATCGTAACCTCTCTGATTACTTCTAATACCTTTACTACCTCTTCTACTTTTGGATTTGAATTGACAATTACATCTGTGCTGATGTGGTATGGCAACATGAACTGATGTACTTAAGTACGAAGTTCTACGTTGCATCTGACTGACTGACCTGAAAAAAAGATTTAAACCTAGACATTTAAAGCTGCTACACTAAACATTTTAAGGTTTCAGTGTTTTATTCTCGAAGGGTTTCATTCTCTTATTGACTACTTGATTCGCAATCTACGATCCTTCGAAATTCTACATACACCTGCAGATTAGCAACATGAAGCTTACACTCTGTCAAAATTGGATATATTTTCTTGATTTCACGGTGTGAAATTGAGAAATCGATTTTGTACACTCTGATATAACAGTAGTTCTAGTAAAGTTTTTCTCCAGACCGAAGAAAAAAAATACGCTTTCGTAGATGAAATTTTCAGTTTCAGGAATTGTGTTAATCAGTCTCTCTCATCCAAATTCATTATAATATCCTGTCACTTTGATACTCGATTGTTGATAGTCCTCGGTCGTTTCATTGCTCTATTTCAGGGATCTGTGTTGTATCAGATAGAGAATAAATGACTACTTACTTACTTACTTAGGCACGCCTGTTACCTCTAATGGAGTATAGGCCACTGGTCAGCATTTTCAACCTTCTCCGTTATGGCCCTTCGCAGTTCCACCAAATCGTTGTTCATTCTTTTCGTGTCTGTCTCTAAATTTTCGGGATAATGTGTTCCGTTTCTCTGTTCTTGTATGTTGGTGATCGATTTGTCTTCCATGTTTTCCTGTGGTCGTTCTCGTTTGCTATACTTTCTCACAAGCTTCTTCGTTGTGTCATATAGTTGTCTCATGTTTCCTCTTTTAGCTTTTCCTCCTATGACTGTTAGGTATTCCACATTTTTTCTCTAATCACTTCTGATGCTGCTCTTCGCCTGCTTGTTTGCTTCTGTGTATTCAGCTTGTGTTTCGGCTTTCTCTGCTCTTGTTCGGCTGATATTGATGCCTGTCTTCCTGTCATTCCTTTCTTGAATCTTATTCGGAGCATCAACAGAGATCCATTCCTTGTGATGATGGTCCTTATGTCCCAGAACCTCATGACATGTTGGAGTCAATGTTTCCTTGACCCGTTTCCGGTTGTTCTCTATGGCAGTTTCCTCTTCTTTGAGTAGATCGTGCACAGCCTGGAACTTGTCGCTGAGGGCTCACTTGAATTCGTTGAGTTTGCCAGTATCTCGAAGAAAGGTCGTAATAAACTTTTGAGATGCTGTTCGCTCAGCTCTCCAGTGCTTCTTCAGTTTGAGTTGAATCTTGGCAACCACCAAGTGGTGATCTGAAGCCATGTCAGCTCCTCCCATTTTTTGCTTACATCTTTTATGGTCCTTCTGAATTTTTTATTGATGCAGATATGCTCAATTCGGATGTGTAGTTTAGTCGCTTTAAACCCATGCTGCTTTGTGTATGCATTTGTGTGGGAATACGGTGCCCCTCTGACCAGTTTGTTGAAGGCTTATGGGTTTGTGAATCTTTCACCGTTCTCGTCTCTTCCTCCCAGTCCACGTCGTCCCATGATGTCTTCATATCCACTGTTGTTCATTACAATCTTGGCGATTAGGTCTCATATTAGAATGTTCGAATCTTTTGTTGGAAATTTCTTGACGATTGACTGCAGTCCCTCATGGAATCTATCTTAAACGTCCTCGTTGTAATCGTTGGTAGGCGCATAGCTTTGGATGACGTTCATTGTAATGCCCTCTTTCTTTGTTTTGAGGGATACTTTGATGATCCTGAGTCCATGAGATTCACATCCTATAAGTGCTTTTTGAGTGTCTTTGAATAGCATCAGTGCAACTCCTTGTGTATGAGAGGCTCGTTCTTGGAATTCACTTTGTGGACTAAAATAAAGTGTCAATTCATCAAAGCCATTCTGACCCATTGACTATGCTTCTATCCAACTGCTAATTCTGTTTATTGCGCGCGCTCCAACAAGATCGTCTGCTTCTTACCGCATAAACCGATTTAACGTTTTATATTGGTCTCCCTTATCTTCCAGCTTACTACTACGCCAGCTTGCATCGGCTGTTCAAAGCGGACTCGCATAGACATATAACACATAACACTTTTGATCAGGAATACAATTTAAAAGTTAATAGGATATATATATATATATATATATATATATATATATATATATATTACAGTAAGTATCTTTTGCTTATATGTTTTTAGCGAATTCATTACATTAGTATTGTTTATTTCTCTTAGATCACAAAAGTTTCTGTCTTTATATTTTCTATATATAATCTAAGCAGACCTTTTTTTTAAATTATTTATCATTCCAGCTTTCCTATGTCAGCTTTCTTGAACAATTATGATATTGCAGAGAAAACAATCCCAATTGGTAGTAGTCGTTCACCAACTGTAAGAGCTGTGTGGTTAGCGCTTACATTAATTCATCATTTACTTAGTTTAGAAAATAAATTAATGATTGAACCAGGCAATTCAAATTCAACCAATCCTCCTTTATTAACCAGTATACAATGTTACTCTAATTCATTTACTGGTGATCACTACATCACCACTTTATTCGCCTATCTTCGACATTCATTTAGTGTTGGAATTTCTCGTTTGGTTGTTGCATTATTAAAGTGGATAACACAGGTAGGTTATAGATGTTTAATATATTGTTTTTTTTTGTACTTTGATTGGGCTTCATGATTAACATTTCACCTAATCACTATTATTATTATTATTATGTGCACTAATTATTCGGTTTACTTTCTTGTTTATGTTATACACAGTATTCATCCATTGATATTACAAATTATTTGGGCAGTGAATCAAATCAAATTCGTTCTTCTTGCCTGAAGAAATTAGTGTCTACTACAGAAGATCAATTGGTACGTGTTGGATTGTATGATTTATTATCAGAGACAGTATTAAATAGTGAAAAATACGAACCTGTTTGTTCACGATTTCCTGTTGGATTATTACGTCTACTTTTAACAAGTGGGACCATTAAAGGTTCAGATATAAAGTTAAATAGAATGGTGACTAATGAACCCAGAGAAATTTCAAATGCAGATTGTCTAGATTGCACAATGGATACCCTTAAAGAAATCCAGGTATAATTGGTGTTATTATTTGACATTTTTTCCATAAATATTCCATAAGCATTTTTTTAAAATCTTTTTTGATTGCATTACTACATATCACATGTAATTCGAGTTATTCATACAGCTGTTAGGAACTTGAAAATTTTCGTATTCGACATCATTTATTTAAATACTTTATTGTATATTTATTTTAATGAATTTAACAGGGTGGAATGCTTTTGTGACGCTGAATCTTTTAGGTTTAATTGATAACAATACACTTCAGTTCTGAATATCGTGTATATAACTACTAAAATGAGTATCACTGTCTAAAGAAAAGTATCAATGTTCGTTGGTGCGCCGTAAACTAGTGGAATTTATGTAGATTAATCAGATGTAGCTCTTTCGTCTGTATTGATTCATATTTCTAAAGTTTGCGTTAGTAGAATTCTCATTCAGATATAATAATTCACCACTAAAAACTTCCTGAATTGATTCAGATTTATGCAACTAATTATGTAGTATCAACAAATAAAAGCTTAGTTTAACCGAGAAAAACTACCTAATACCTAAAACTTTTCGTTGCACCTATTGAACTACTCGTAAGTAGTCGACACGTTTTCGATAAATAAAAATCCTTCTGATTTCCTGATGTCCGCCAGCTTTTTATAAAGTTTTTTGCTTATCCTAATTAATGATTTGTTTTATAGTTCAGTATGTTTATGTACATTTTATAAATTCAGTGGTATCATATTACCAAATGTCTAATTAGATTTCTTGCTTTTGTTTTATTCAAAAGTGTCCTCTTACATTAGAGATCGTTTTCTGTCTCATTAAGATGGTTTTAGAAAACATGATATTATTTGAAAAAATAAGAATTAGGAGTCATATTGAATTCCACTTTCTAATCTCTACTTAATTTCATATGGGTAATTTCTATGCATCCTAGCACAATACAATTTTATCTTATAGCTTTTTGTATGCTGATTATTATATTCTATAGGGTTTGTGAAATGTCGGTTTTCCAAAGCAGATTAATCTAGTCTCTGTTTATTCATTTAAAAATTGCCTTTAATCATTTGGAGTGTATCATATATTAACAAGGAGACACCAGAAAATGTTTTAATCAAAAGTCTTTTTGATCACTCAGTTTTGTTTTCACACAGAAAATTTTTCGAAACGACTTCTTCCTTTTATCTATGTAATATAAAAATTTACAGCTTTGTCTAGTGTTGAACATCTAGAATCTAGCTCTAATCGAAGGTCCAGAGAAACATTGTTTCAAGGAATTTTGTTAGAGAACCTACGGACTCATCAAAATACCGTCCTAATGGATAATTACAATAATTCATGTAAATTCATGTGCTTGGAGTATAAAGAAATTGATTTTATTCTTCTCATTATTAGATAAAATTTACCCAGAAAAATTTTGATGACAACAACGATCAGTTGCCAACTGTTTTATTTTGGAGTGTTACAAAATTCATTTCATCTCTTTATCTCCTGAATATTCAACCTTGCCTTGTAAATTTAAAACAAAGGTGAGTTAAGCAGGCTTTGTTATTTGTTATTCATCTAAATTAAAGGTTACTAGATTGTCATTTAAATATTATGCCTAAAAAATGCATTGTTTTCTGCATATGGTTTTTGATAGAAACAAGTGATTTTCAACCATTTATTTTTGGGTCTGAATTCTACTCCAATATCGTGTTGAGCATGTGAGTTATATCATAACGCTGCACTGAAAAATTGTGGCTCAGAGTCAAGCACATGAATCTATATATTAGATAAGTGGTTTTTAAAAAATGGCTTCTATCAGTCAGTGTACTAAATGTTAACCTATGTGACGTTTGAATTTTTATAACCCAGTATTTATCGAAACATATATATTTTCACACTTATATACATTTTACACCATTTCTAGCTATTGTTGTTACTACTGTAAATGGCTGTTTATGTATAAACTTGGATTATATTTTCTTTCTTGTCTAGAAGTATGAGATTCATGCCCATTCTCCTAATATTGTTCAATTGTTTTCTATGTACCCTTTCTGAGTTCTTTTAATGATATGCCAAAACAATACACTAAACGTAAGGTTACTGATTTTTTTCTTATAAAGTATTTGTTTTCATACCTAATTAATTTTTTCTGTTTTCTACTCTTTCTTTAGGTGTGATTTTTGGAAAACGTTAACCAATCCTTTTTTCACTCTATTGCGATCACAAGAATCTGAAAAGGTATGTGATTTATAAAATTGATATATATGTAATTTACTTGGTACTGATTTTCTACTTCGTCGCTCCACTATTTTGCTTCTTAAATAAATGTTCTTATCAGCGGTAGATGTTGACAATAAAATCTAACAAAGTCGATTCCTAAAAGTAGTCATCCATACATTAAGACGCATAATTTCGTAATCTTCACAGCCTATTTCCTGATCTTATCATTTCAGATATACATCAGCTGTAAGAGATATGCTAGGTAATGATTGCTCTTCCTCTTTGATTTTGACTTTTGTGGATTGTACACTGTACTAAGACAATTTAATAATTAAGATTTCATAACTGATTCGATGATTTCGGCCTACCTGTAAGGTTAGCCAACCAGTTTGACTGTGATATTGAGTGACTAAAAGATGGTCACATTCTGTATTAAGTTGGTTAAATTTGAAAAAAAACTGATTTTAAACTCAAGAGTGAAACTGTCATATAAGACTCCAACTGTTCTATTATATATTGCCAACTATTTCTGTTCTTGAGGGTCAAGTTGTAAAGAGCTTGTACACAGACTAAATTGTAAAATTTCGGAAGACTGTGAATTCATTTTTTAGTCTGTTACCCGCTTTACAGAATATTGTCATGAATTGAGCTTTTAATACTGATAGATGTGTAAGATGTAAGGGAATGTTGAGATACCTTTTAAATGATACTAATCCCTTTTTTTGTAAACAGCCATTCGTTCAAGCGGTTGATTCATTTTATAACTTTGACTGTAGATTTTCACAAAATAATATTTCACTAAATCGGATATTACTTATGAAGCGTTTTATTTTCACACTATCATATATCTGCTCGTTTTTTACACTTCTCAAAACTGCCATCGTAGATCCTAATCCTTTGATTTGATTATTAAAAATAGTGACTATGAAGCTGTTATTGATCTCTTTTCTACAACCCAGTTATCTTATTGCTTGTTTAGTATGCCTTGCACGATGCTCAGTACTCAACTAGTACCCAGTCAGTTAGTTACAACTTACAACTTCGTACATCAGTTCAGGTTACCATACCACCATAGCACAGAGACGCAATCCCATAGTTGTAAAGATAGTAGAAGTATTAGCTGTAATAAAGAATATTAGGGTTCGAAAATATTATTCAACAAAACCCTAAGAGGTTTCTTTGCAGTGTCTTTCCGACCTCCAGTAAGTCTCAAACAAACACGTGCTCACACTAGAGCATGATCTGAATCTAAAAAAGTGCTTCAGAACGAGCGATGGTGCTCTATTGAACCCATCCATCGGTGGCTGATAGATATGTGATCTAGTCGGGTTCAGCGTCAGGACGACTTTGGGGGTCGTCAGGTCAAGAAATGTTTTACCTTACACTTAAGGTTGGTGTTTTCTAGAAATAGGTGGTTGTACGAGCATAGCTGTAGCAGACGGTTGCCATTATCTGTTCACTGAGCCGCGACACCATAACATCCACCCACGTGTCTTTCCTGCTCACTTAGTCTACCAACTTGAGCATTAATGTCACGAGCCATTAATACCATATCAGAGAGCCTAACATTTTGGAGGGCGTTCGAAAGCTTTCTGTAGAACTCATCTTTCACCTCGTCTGAGCTGCAGTCAGTGGGAGCGTAAGCAGATACAACGATAAAGCAACGGCGAGTCTCCCTATCTTTCCGAGACTTTACTGTTCCGTTTAGTTGGACAGTGCACAAGGAACTATCTACAGGGATCCATTCTAGGAGAGCTAGTTCTGCCCTATGACTCAATGCTATACCTGCACCAGCCAGACCCCTGGAAGCAGCATCAGGGCTACCGGATACATGAAGAGTAAATCGGGCTGCTTCTTTATTTTGGCATGGAGAAGTGAAGTGAATGATGCTACTCAGACCCTGTATGCCCGTTTCGCAGACGCAACATACATCGATTGCCCGAGATTCCAGAGTTATAGCTAATGAAGCCTGTTGCTCTATTTGAATCAATGTCTGTACATTAAATGCTCCAACATGGTGTTTAAAACAGGGTTTCAGCAGACCAGGAATCATGTTTCATGAACTCGCATCGTTTGCATTAGCGTTGCGGGGTGATAAAGGAATATGAGTAGACTTAGTCACTAGTTCAGGTGCCGATGCAACCCAATCTTGAAGCATCATTTTGCATTTTGAGGGGAAAAGCCACGTCTCGAACATGCTTGCATTGTTGCTTAGGGTAGTCAGAAGACTCTGTATTTTGTCATCGTCTTCACCGAATAGAACTATGTCATCGGCATATTGTAAATCAATAAGCGAGCCTCCTGGTAGAAGCTTCACTCCTGAAAATTCAGACTTGGCTAATGTTATATCTAGGAGAACGTCTATGAAAAAATTGCTAAAATTCACTATGTTGTCTTTGTCAGTCAGCAAAACGAAACTTGATTTATTTATTATATTTTGTTGCTTATCTAGCCATTGTTTTGAAATGCTATTTATTGGTGGTTCAATAAATTACGCGACATTCCATATCAAAAGGCATATTATTTATGCTCTTTAGTCTTCCTTCATAAAGTCCTTCGACCATCTGATATCGCTGCTTAGTATGCTCATTATTGAGTCATTTAAACTGGTGACCATGGTGCAGTTTGATCAGTACTAAAAATGACTCAAAATACATTACATTGTTCACTACTCAGTGAGCACTGAAACCTGAATATCTCAGTCTGCTATGCTAGGTGACCTAGGTTTAAACCAACTAAGAACCACAAATTCCCTCAAGATTTTAGGTACAACTTACTTATGTGTGTCAACTTGTACGGTGTCAAGGTCCAGGGTTTATTGTGTATTAACTTAAGCATCTTAAAAAAACTGTAATCTGTTGTTTATTTAACGTATAACTAGTAGTCATGCTGTTTTATACAATTTGAATGGTTCAATCGAATATGAGTTAAATAAATCGTAAAGTATTATCATTACCGTAAATATTTTTAGAAATAGATTTAAAGGATTCAAATGAAATTCTGTAAAATTTATTATTATCACTTGTAAGTTTATAGAATTCTTAGATGTTTCATTTCATTACCGTTTAATACTTAGTACGTTCATTACTTATCATGTGTGTTATAATCTTGATTGATGCATTACGGTTGATATTTGTCTGTTATAAATGGTTTTTATGTATGTTTAATTAATTTAGGAACCGTTGTCCGATATTGAAAATGAACTCTGTGGCGATGTTATCAGCATTCTAGCTTTAGAACTCTACAATAAGACAAGGTTAGTTGTATGTCTATTAAAATTATCCTATACGACAAGTTGTGTGAAAATAATATTTTTAAGGTTCTCTGTAGGAACTTGTTGGTTGTAAGATATCAGTTTCAGTTAGCGTAGGTCCAGTGTGTTTATTTTTCTAGTTACATACTTAAGCTCTAATGTAGATACTTTGATACGTATTATTTAAGTTATACCGTAGAATATTTGATGTATATTTGAAAGTAAAATCGGGGATGCACATTTAGTTCTACTTTTAGTGGGTAATACATGAGTATTTGAATTCCTAAGTACATATTTAGAGTCACAGTGTGATTATCAACGATTGAATGCGCGCACATCTTCCTGATGATGAAGACGGAACAATCATCCTAGACTCTACCGCTAGTTTAAACTGAAAACATAAACAAAAGTTCATTTCAAAACTATTCACCTGTCATTCACATGTACCAACAAAGACTGATAAAAATTCTCAGCGTGAAATCAAATTGATGATTTTACTCCTGTCATTTATGCGTATTTCGGAGACGCAACACACATTGATGACACTAGATTCCAGAGTCCTAGCTAATAAATCCTGTTAGCCTATTTGGTCTAAGGTTCGAACATTAAAAGCCCCAATATTTAGTTTGGAACAAGGCCCGTCGTTAGGATACGAGTATTAGGTAGGGATGACATATCAATAGATGAAGTCATGAAACTCCATCAGTTGAGATGGTTGGACATGTTTTGCGTATGCCCAACCACCGACTGCCTCGTCGAGCTATGTTTTGCGATGTAGGAATAGGTTGGACGAAAGCTAGTGGCGGCCAAACCGAAACATGGCACAAATACATGAAGTCACTAACAACTGGCGAGATGACAAAATAACGAAAGAATGGTCAGTCGTGGAGAGAAGAGAGTTATTAGGAGGTGTAGAGGGGATTTGTTTGCGACTCGTGTGCTGTTATGGGTATGAGGGTGAATGTTTCTTCACAGTCCCCCCTACTGTGGAATTGCTCCGGTTGTCAGAAGAGGCTTCGGCCTCGTGATTTCCGAAGGAACTCGACTTTCATCATGAGACGTCATAACTCTTTTAGATGAATAATTAACTCTCAGAGCAGAGTTGAACTGGTTTGAATTATTTTTTCTTGCCAGCGTTTTTTTAGCGAGTTAGTTTTCTATGGGACAGGGTCGCCAACGCCAAGCCTATTTCTCCTTCTTTTTCCGGGCTTGGAACCTGCAGTAGCCTTGAAGGGCCTTCAGGTGGAGTTCAGTAACTTCTTGGAATTCTGCTTTACACTTAATTCCCTAATGAGATAACGGAGCAACGTCCAATTGTAATACAAATTCATATTTACAGGTTTTCTTCAGTCAGTGTAAACATTTGGAAACTTTATCCAGTCTGTCGTTTTACTAAATCCACCAATTTTCATTGATTTCAATGTAATGCATTAACAGATATACTAGCAGATAACCTCTGGACCGATTGTTCATTGAAAGTATTTTCATATTGTTTGATTATATGGTTTGTCTATTCGTCATTTTATTTTTATTTCGCTTAAATTTTTGGTTTGCCTTTCAGCTATACAAAAAATGATGAGAGTTGCAAATCGTTTACATCAGTTATGGGTTATTTTGTGAAGAATAATTTGTATAATTTATGGTTTAAGGTAAATTTATTTCGTACAGTTTTAGTTATCTTGTAACATTGTCAATTTCCTTTCATTGTGTTTGCATTTTGGAGTAGCACCTATTCTTTCATTGAATATATTCCTGTTTATTATTCGCAAACTAAAGTTTATTTTGGCTTTTGGACAGCGTGTCTCACTAGTCATATTGGTTTTACAACGTTGTTACCGCCAAAAAAAGCTTGAATGTGTTACTTATCTCCTAACACATTGATGAGAGTTGTTTTCCTGTGCTCCCTCAGCTGACGTAAGGTAACCAATGATCAAAAACAGGTAGTGTCTTATCATTTTCATTCAGATTCGTTTTGGATTTCCTAATAATATTAGATTTGTTTATCTTCAACGTGTCAAGTTTATCCAGAAGTTTTAGGCACTGTTGTTAAGTGAATATACTCAGAATTTTTTAATTCACAACTGTCACTCACCAGCTTTAACCATAATAGTAAACAGTGAATTTTCTTAAGTTATTTACTGTTTAGCGCGTTGGAGATGTTTAATCGACTATGAGATACCAATAATGAAACAAACTACCCCTTGGATATGCATAGATGTTATGTTTACCACTTATTAACCTAAATCATTGACTTGGGTGATTTGAATATCTAACTTCCTCACGATCAGCTCGAATACTGCTTACCAGTTTTCCAAAGTTTACTGATTCATAAGTCAAGTTAATTGTTTCATTTATTTATTGATTTGTTCTTTTCTCTTTCTTCCTCTCTCTCTCTCAAAGTTAACTCGTAAATGTTTGCAAAAATTGTTATTATCCATTGAATCAGAAGATGTGTCTATAGAATATCTGCAATCACGATTAACATCCCTGCACAATGTCACATGTCGTTGGAAATGTTTATTATTGTTAAATTACAATAGTGCTTATGTTCATGACAATAACATTGAAGCTGTTAATGTCAATGATAGTAGTTCTCATAGAATCGAATCAATCAATGCAAGAAACCAAATGAAAGATGATTTTATCGCAATACCTGTATCTATTTTAAATGATTTAATTGAATGCTTCAGTCTGTTGGTATGTATTTGCCCTATTTATCTTCTATCTAATGTTCCTACTTGAGTTAAACTTCATGAATAGAATTTACTCGAAATTTTTACAGATTGACTTCTTCATATTCAATGTGTGTATAATATCTAGCAGGGAACACTACATATAGGAATATAATTTTCGCTAACAAGTTAATTTCATGTTCTAACTTTCGTTAATTTTGGTTGTTCCATACAACAAATTGAAATACACTACGGTAGCATGTAAGTGACTTTAGATGTTTAAATTGAAATCTCAAGTGAAGATAACACCTATATGCAGCACTGACACACTAATTAAATGGAAAAGTACTCTAAAATGTCAGATATCATCACACTTTTATTGTTAATTGAAAAAGGATGGTTTTACGCATACATCTAGTATGTGAATCATTTCAATAATCCGTTATTTGCAAGAATGTTATTTGAATAACTGGTTTAAATTTTTTTTATTCACATCTGCCTCACTGATCTGTGCTTATTCATAAATTCCCCATGTCGCACTCCTCAAACCCAACAGTATTAAAATGATATAATCGGTTCCCATCGTTGTTAAAATGTGGATTTTTTCGATGACTACTTTTTGATCGCTATCAGCCCTGATAATCACTATATCACTGGTTCAAATTAAAGTTTGAACTGGGTTACTACCTGAGGTGATTTGCTTCTCAACATGCTATATCAATATATATTTGGGTGAAAAAATGTGCATCTAGGAGTATTGCGCACATATTATGATAGCACTTCAACCACTCATTATACTTTAATTATTTATGGTCACACTCAAAATTTATTGTTAGAGGTAAAGAAAAATAGCCACAAGCACCACGAGACTGTTAAATAAAAATTTGTTTCATTTAACTGTATGAATCTAATATTATATTAAGGATGCACTTTTACATGAAAATTGGTATTGTTACAAGTTAGACAGGTAGAATTTGGTTTGTCAAATGATTAGATTTTAACTCTTTATCAATGATCAGCTATTTCACATAGTTTTCATGATAGAAATGTGCAGAAATGTCAATACACCGTTGATAATATCTTTTACCTCTATGTAAATCATGATTACCTGGGAAAAAAACTTTCAAAAATTTTACTAACCTGACAGATCAAACGGTCAGATTATTAAAGTAAACATAAATTTTAGAATTCAAGATTCATTAACTGACAAGGTGATTATAGATGTTCTAAGAACTCGTTATCACTTCAGTTCGATATCTAAATGTGGCAGATGATATCATAATTTTGATTTACAAACTTGGATTCAGTTATTTATGAATCGACAAATCACTGGTATATGTATAGCAAAGTTAGGTAAACAAAAAACATGGCGAACGATAAATCGACTAGTTTGAAACTATTCAAGCCAATTGATTATCGCTTTAATCGTGTTGGGGTTCTCTATTAATGTATAACCTTTATTTCAGGTCTTCATGATGCACTATCATGGGATTTCATTCTACTGTTTCTTTACTGTTCGTTTTACATACGCCTACATATCTGTCTAAAATTCCTTCATTTTTGATCAATTTTTTGAAATCGTTTAATGAAATTTTCAATTTATGTATTGTCTTGATAATCTTTCTTATATATGTTGAGTAATTTAATACTTTAATGCTTTTCACGTGTCTTGCTCACTAAAAATTAAATAATATTACTAAAAAGCGAAAACCAAACAATTATTTTAAACATTTCTCCTAGTAAGTTGCTTGTCTTTTAGTTTCAGTGTATTGTCAAATCATTGACCTATATCGATTCGTATTGATATCTGGTACCTTTCTGTTTTCTACAAATTAATTTGTTCGACTTATCTCTAAACAAACCTAACTGTGTCTTTGATTGGATCTCATCTATCTACTGTTTCATTTACATGTTAATGAGCTTTCGGTAAAACATAAATCACAAACATCAATTGAGTAGATTTGATTTATCTGTTCAACTATTGACTTGACTCAATAATTATAATTGTTTTCTTTGCATTCAACTTACAAACACTAAACTCTCCCCCCCAACTATTTGATACTTGTTTGGTACACCCTAAAAATCGATGTAGCAACTTTCAACGGTGTATGTAGTCGACTCATTGTTTCTGCTTTTAAAGTTTCCTTTTTCTCTTCATTTTTAGCATGATTTACCGCCGATTCAGTCAACGTTTGATTTAGGAAATCAATTAGCTACAATACTCAATACAACTTTAGTCTATTTATATAAGTAAGTCAGTAGTTGTTTGAATGAATCATATCATAATTGTTGTGAATCTTTAATTCAGAAAGGTAGAATTACAAACCCTCTTCTTTACTCACTAAAAATTCTCTCAATAACCTATCATCTATAATTTATTACGGCTTCGAAAGTTGAATTCTCCCTCCTAACACTTACGGAGTAACTGTATTCATTCTTGTATGAATATACATAACTCTTTCTCCTTACCAAATTCTTCCAGTGTATATAAATTCGTTGGTTTTTTAACTGAACTGCTTACAGATTATAATCTGTGAGTCAGCCAGAATTAAAGTTATAAAAAAGAGAGCAAAGCTTTAACAATACGAAATATTTGGATGATCCAGTCGATTACTGATATGTTTGATATTTGTTGGGTTACCACTAAATTTTTCCCTTTAATCCCCTAAACTTGATTTTGAGATGGTGGGGAAAATTTGTAGCTCAGGTGGATTATTGCAGTGGTGTTTGATTCTCTGAGCTGGATGTTTTGGTTGTTGGTTGCTGAGTAGAAGCTTGGCACTCAGGTCAATCAGCAATCAACAAACACATAGACATTGACCCAATTTATCAACCAATCAGCGAAATCATAGGCAAATATAAGATCAAGAAACACATCAAAGGGGAATATAACAAAAACAAAGGTGCAAGCAACTACAGCTTTAAGGTCAATAGCAACTAATTAATTAAGCTTGAGGCTAACAGAACAAGCTACGAGTCAAACGTGGAGATATTCGACTACTTCACTTCTATCTGAAGTTTGTGCTGATGATGTTGTTCAGAAGAACAATGAAAGCCCCAAAACCATAAAATCCAGTTCAGAGAACGGAACACCACCTAAACTTGACTCTCTAACGGAAGATAAAAAGCGGAAAGTATGAGAAAAAATTCACCTCCAAAATTATTTTAGGTACAAGAAATCAATGCTTATGTTATTTTCACAGTTAAGATCACGAAAATATTATAGTCTCAGTAAATTCGCTAATAGTTACCATAGTTAACTTTAACGTAAGATTAACTTGATTTCGAATGCAAATTCTAGAGATCCAATATTAAAGACAGCCGTGTCGCCATACTATTTATACATACTACATTACTTAATATTTTCCTATAATACTATTCACAAGTGCATATTCACATATTTTTTTAGAGAGTATAATACGTCGACGAGGAATAAGTTAGTCAAAGAATTATCAACGAATGACTTAGCGAATTATTTGACAAAGTTGAGTGATCTTTTGTCAAGTTTCCGACTCTCTACCGATTTTCAAGTTCAGCATATGCATTCAGATCTACTAGCCAGTGCTTATATTCTATTCAATTGGTACAATTCAAAAAGATTAAGTGAAAAAACTACCGACGATAAGTTCGAATTACTTCAATCGTCTTTATTCAATAATGCAATTTGCTTTTTGAGTTTACTCACACGTAATCCTAACATAAGTAGAATTGAAGAATCTGTAAGTTTAATCAGTAATATATTCACTATACTTTTTTTCGAATTGCTATTTACATAACGCATGTAGATAGTTCAAACGGAATAAACTAGTCGATGGTATTGACCACGTCAGTTGTTTGACAAGTTTTATCCGTCCTGATTGGTCGGTGCTCCATTTTCAAATTCTGTCAATCTGCATCACCTACAGTATAGGCGAGTTATCTTTTGGTTAACTAAAACGGGGATTATCTGAGCATTAGTTCGTGTTGTATTTTTTTATGACTACAAAATTGATGTTATGTGACTAGTGGTGTGAAAGCGTAGCTTATAACACCGTTATACGAATGTTTATCTTATATTTTTTCAAACATAATTAATATACGCCTTTAATGTTGGTATTTTTAGATTTATTTTGTTCTACGCTTTTGTTTGATCAATAAATGGTTGTCATATGTCTTATTGCTTTAAACCTAGTATTTATTATTTCGTTATTACTCTGGTTTTGTATTGTTTATGACTAAGCCACTCACACAATGTAATCTTTTTATTGAATGTTATCAGCCGTTCCAGTTATATTATTGTATGAATTTCAAGTCATGGTTGGAATAAGCCTCAACAGAGAATAAATTTTCATTCTATCTTCGCTTTCTTATTGGACGATAGTTAAATGGAGCATGAGCGCCAACAAGCGTTAAGGTTTTGTTTATTTTCGGTTGGTTGCTGTAGATAGAAGTTTGCTGGTCCGACAGAAAATAATAGCGAACTAATTGATAGTTGAACCCAAAAATGCAACTCCTATTGTAATGACGGTCGTCTCACGGACCCCAATTCAACCCAAGCATCTGTTCCTCTTTTCTTCATTGTGTTAGAAAGATGACCTATACGCTTAAGAGACTGCAGGGTTTTGCTTATAGGTGTCTTCGAATCATCGCACACATTCTTTACAGTTCATCCAAGTTTTGGGTTAATTATCATTATCCACTTTACACCATTCGATCTCTTTTGTTCTTTTTAAATCATATTTTCGAAGTTCATTACTCATTAAAGTTGATATTTTTGCTTATGCGACGCTTGATTTTGGTGGTAACACCAGGCATTAAAATGTATATCGATACACAGAAATTCGAGGTCTTATATTAATAATGACTGGTTAAAGAAAAGCGTTTTCTTTATTAAACATGTTGCGATGACCTATCTTATCTAGAACTCGCTGGAAACATTGCAATCGTTAGAGTTCACTAACCAAGTTTCGTTTTATGTATTTTAAATCTTAAGCCACATCTACTTCGTGGATGTTTGAAAAGTTGTATGATTTCCAAAGTCAAAGGCTGGCTAACTAAATGGAAACCTGTAACTTGTCACAGTTAAATAGTATTTATTTTTATGTTTATCTCGGTGTTTTATTTCTATTTTTGGCTTTTATTCACCTTGTTCTTAAATAACTTTGGATTTGTCCAGGTGAATAGTATGGTTCAATATGGAGATTGCATATTTGCGATATTAATGATCTTCTTGACACCTAACACTTTTTCAGTAGTATGCAGATGAATATACAAGAAGTCAGAATAAAAATCTTTCACCGATTACATGTTTATTATTTATGTTCTCAGTCTCCTGGATGATTTTATATGTTGTCACTATAGTATACTTATTTTGCTTTGATCATATAATGTACAAACTTGTTTATTCATTTACTCCACAGGCTATTTTACAATCAGTCAATCTAATCATCTTTTTATGGGATCATAATCAATCTGCAACGTTATTTACACGTCTCACTGATACCGGGGTTTTGAATAATATTTTCATTTTGCTAACCGAATGCACCAGAGTAAGTGAAAAATAAATAAACAAACATTGACTGATTTGGATTTATTGTTTTCAAATGTGATAAATCAATTCAGTGCAGTACGTTTTGATCATTATTAATTATTCTACAGAAATGAGCAAACATAACGTGGGCATTTAGTAGTTAGTTAGTCAATTAGAATAGGATAATTCAATTCACTTTCTGTGCTGAGACTAATATTACTCTCTATACTAACAAGTATCCCAAGCGAATATAGCACTGGTTAAACTAGTGACTGGAACTGTGAAAAAACTCTGAGCTCCTAGGTTGTGTCTAATGGTTTACAATCAAAAAAATATGAAAAAAAATTTTCAATGAAGGTTCTAATGGACATCAGGTTTTCAAATTAGTTTCAGTTGAAATGCTTGAAAAAAAAATGAATAAATTTATCTAAAATAATTAAGCTGATTTTTCATATCAAATTAGATTCGTCCATAAATTTATCATGGACGGCCTATGCTCCATTGGGGGTAACAGGCGTAAGTAGGTAAGTTAGTAATAGATTTTATCAGTGTGAAAAATAGGTTCTCTTGAATAGAATGCTACTCTTTAACTTTCTCTACACTGTTTACGATTAGTATGCGTATGCCCATCCTGTGTATTTCAATAAACATGTTTAATAATTTGAATTAAGGTCTAGTGATGGCTCGTTAATAGAAAATAATCAGTGAAGAATGGCGACATACACCGATTAGTGATTTTTATTTCACACTGTAAGGACGTTCATGTAAACAACTTGTTGACAGATGTCATGATACTTACACAGAAAATCAATTTTCTAACATAACATCATATAGTTAAGTAGTTAATAAAGCAACTTAGTCATATCGATAGTAAACCGATAAACATGCAGTTACATCCAATCTGTCAACTGGTTGATCAGTATTATTTTTAAATAATTCGTTTACTAGATATGGATTCGTGTTTTTGGCTACTAGCCACACTCTAAGCATTAAGAGCCACCCAGTTGCGTAAATTGAAGTAGGTAGAGGAGAGTTTGAACTTGATTGTTGTGGACTGGTCAATGACTCTGTTTAGATGGTTATCATTTATCCTGAAAACTTCACAATTAGCCGGTTTATTTTAATACTTTTTTTTTCTCAATAATACAAAGTAATTTTATTTCTTTAATTCTTTGAATGATTATTTTTCAGCTTAAAGATTGCGCGACACTTTGTCACAGTTTAATCAGTTTACTTATAAAATTAATAGTCAATTCATCTCAAACAACAACAGCATCAATCCACTATTCCAATGCGTATAAATCACCTCAACTTACAAGAGTAGATTTAGACGAATCAAGCAATCAGTGTATTGCTGAATTAGAGAATATGCTGTTGAACAAACCAAAGAATAGAATCACTCAAGTAATTCTATCCTATCATGAATATATATCACAAGCATTCTGTTGGCCACAATTAGACACTTTACGTCAATGGTTACACGATAGTGAATTATATTCAAATGTAAGTTGAATGTTTAATTTTAAGCTTTAAATCATAAATTTAAAAATTCATTTCACTTACTCACTTACTCGGTGTGTTTGATTAGTTGGCTGAATTTTGTGAATATCTTTTGCAATACAGAAAACTGATTTATTCAGTATATATTTTTCTATTGTACTGTTTTTAAATTTCATACTTTATATGAGGACTGGTTATACTATTTGACTGAGGCTAATGCAAATTGCAAATCAAGTAATATAACCACAAAGCACTATGCTATCATTATTTGACATAAATTTGTGTACAAATGCACGTTTTTTTTCTTACATTATTTATTTATCGATTTGTCGTTAATTTCTATTTTTTTATACAGATACAAGCTAATCCATTTGATGATAATCCTTACATGAAACAAGCACAATCTATACAATATGATTGGAATACTGTGTTTATCTTGGAAATACAATTTCTGTGCTTACTCCATGATAATCTTGGAGGTATGAAACATCCAGTAGCCTATTCACTCATACAAAATTTTTGTATGGATAATGCTAGTCAATTAGAATTCCTTGTGAATTATTGGTGTTCATCATTGTACAATAATGATGTTAATACTGCGTCGATTAATGATCTAATGTCTCCATTACCAATGACTAGTGTATTACTTCAACAAGGTATACTGTCCACAAGTCGAATTCAATTAGCTGAGACTATTTTAAAATTATATTGGCGTGTTCTAGTCGCTGCTGAATATATCAGTACATCAGGTCTACCTATTATAGCATCAAATATCCTGTATTCAAATCATTCTCGAATTGGAAACCTTAGTTCACATAGATCACGGGTAAGTTCATTATTTTTTTTTTGAGAATCACTAACTGTTTTCCTTTTCTTCAAGCCATCTTATGGTCCCACTGTACGTATGGAGTTTTTCAACTCAGTATTCAATCTTGTTCAATGCCAAATACATTGTTGTTCAATTTTGTTTCAACGTCATGGTTTCAAATCATTTAAAAGTGTTCCAATATCAGGATCACATATAACACCAACTAAGTCTGGAATTACCGGTCAATCAGTGCCAGGTTCATCAGGTACACCTACATCTACACTGCCTAAAACAACGTCAATAATGAATAAATCAAATGAAACAATGGCAAATTCGCATTCTATTAGTTCAGTATCAATGGAATTAGCTGGTACAGAGACTAGTGGATTAGAACATCTTTGTCTTATACGACATCTTATTATATCTCTTAGTGTATTAATGGTTCAATTGCCTATCCTTGGAAAAACATCTTTGATGACAGTGAGTTAAATCGATTATATTTCTAAGCGATATTCTATATATCATCTAGATTTATATGTTCATACATGTTATGATGTAATAATTTTTTCGTAAGCATTTTACTATGATTTGTTTATGCTTGACATTGAGTTACGATGATAGATCGTGTATGCTAATTCTATGAATTTATTCCAATTAAAACAATATTCGAACAATAGCATTGCATTGTTAAAACAATTGACCGGTGTGAGGAAGTGGGAAAGCTAATCTGTTAAAAGAAAATGTCTTTATTGTTTCTACAGAAGCAAGGAACGATATCACATTCAACGAGATACACCAACTTATTCAGATGAGAATTATTTCATCAAAATGAAATGTTCCTTTGCCTTATTATTCGCCAGAACTTATTCTCAATTTTTCCCTAATTGTTCTACTGTTTGTTTTTCTTCTTTGTTTTCCCAGTCTGATGAATTAAAATACTTAAACGTTCCTATTCACTTAACATTCAATAGTCCTAATTTAAATGACAATTCAACGGTATTAACATTTGGTGTTCTAATTACTCTAGCTAATTCATTGGGTAGTTTATCCTCAAAAGTTAGTTTGATTTGTTTCTTTGAATAGATTAATTTTCTACTGTTTGTTTGTTTTTTCTAATTATTTCAAGGTTATTTCATGTTTATTAGTAGTAAATAAGTGTGATGTGCATGAAAATGTACATGACACGTTCGTTTTATTGTTTCTCGTGCTCCGGACAATTAGTTATAGCAAGTAATCACTGTCAATAAAATAAGATTCCATCGATGAGCTGTTTAGTTCTAATATCAGTGAAGCTAATCTTATTCTTTATTATTAATATCTAGTGTGCATACTATAAAGTAAAATGCTCAGCCATATAACCGAAGTCAAAGCAGTCGGCCACAGCTACCAACGTGTATTAGAATAATGATTTATTATTAATATTCTCATTGAAACACCGCTTGATGTTTCTACGTTATGTTCCAACGATCTGTGTGACTATACACAACCAACCATACATAAATGGTATACTAAGCTGAACTAATAATCAATAGCTAGGTAACTGTTGACTAGATTCGCGTCAAGTATGTACTTTTTCTGATCAATGACGCACCATAGTTGCGTACTTATATGATGCGATTAGTCGTGATAGAAACTTTTGAAATAGAATAGGACAAGCCTATTTTGCTGCTGACATTTTTTCGTCCTTTTCTTCTGTCATCGCCCTTAGACACTGTAATTGTAGTTTTTATTCTTACCGCTCTTTGGCCGACCTGCATGATATGCTAAGATCTGAAGAAATGTTGGGGATGTTAGATCCCCAAAATTCGCTTGATAATGCCGTATTTCGGTTTTCACGTTCGCCAGCAGGGGCTGATCAAATGACCTTGAGATTTCAATTCCCACCAGGAAAATCAATGGCTGTGATTGGCCACAGTGTATTTTAGTATGCTATTTTCTTAACTGTCTCAAGGACGTTATGTTGTATAAATAAACGAGAGTTGTATGCTTGATTGTACTGGGATTGCTGGGTGCTTGTAGAATATACTTCTACGCCTACAAAGTCTTCTATTTCGATTCTGGGATTCAGGGTAGCCTTCCTGGAAGCTGGTAAAAGTCTCGTTCGCGTTTATCGACTAAGGTAAACTCGTAATAGCCTCAAGCATCCTAAGTGACGAACATATCAGTGGCGACGGGGCTCACAATTCACAATGTCAATTAATCTTGAACAGTTAGAATCTTTACTGGAACGTCAAGGTAAACGATATGAACAGTTCCAGGAACGTATGTTGGAGCTGTTAATGAAACAAATGAATTTGAATCACAGAGGTTTTGCCGATGATTCATATAATCCGCATACAGACTCGATAGTTAATTCCATTCATGAATTTCATTTTGATGGCCTTGCTGGTGTGACTTTCGAGTCTTGGTTTAAGAAGTATGAGGATTTGTTCAAGGTCGACCTCAACAATCTTGATGACGCCACCAAAGTCAGAATCCTTTTGAGAAAGCTCGGCACAATCGAACACGAACGTTATAGTAATTTCATCCTCCCAAAGAACCCACGAGATTTCTCTTTTGATGCTACAATTGATACGCTGTCGCAAATCTTCTCTGAACAGTCATCTCTCTTTAATATTCGTTATCAATGCCTCAAAATAATCAAGTCAAATGAAGATGACTGGGTAAAGCATGCTGGCTTAGTAAATCGTGAATGCGAACGATTTAAATTATCATCAATGACGGAAGATCAGTTTAAGTGCCTTGTGTTTGTGTGCAGCTTACAATCTCCCGACGATGCTGATATAAGAACCAGAATCCTAAGTAAAATTGAACAGTGCCCAAACATCTCGCTTCAAGAAATAACTGCAGAGTGCCAGAGATTAGTAAACTTGAAGCATGATACCTCCATGGTCGAAAATAAGGGCCTCTCATCATACGTGCATTCCATTAGTGAAAAGAAAAATTCCAATTCGGCCCAAAAACCCAAAATGAATCCACCTTCTGCTTGCTGGCACTGCGGTTCATGGCACTATGTACGGAACTGCCCATTTAGGCAGCATAGATGCAGGAAGTGTAAAGTCATCGGTCATAAAGATGGCTTTTGCCTACAGAAAAAGCCAAAGCGATCCAGAAGTGCTAAGAAGCCTGTTCCTAGATCCAGTACCAATGCATTGAGCCTAATATCTTCCTGCCAAAGCTCATCACCAGGTTAGAGGAAATTTATTACTCTTAATATTAACGGTTATTTGTGTAGAATGCAAATAGATACTGCATCTGATGTCACTATCCTCTCACGCAAAAATTGGACCAAATTGGGCAGCCCAAGCCTGCAGCACACAACACAAAAGCCTCGTACAGCATGTGGTAATTATCTTCGTCTGTTAGGACAATTGGAATGTAAAGTTGCTTTCCGAGATTCGTCGTTTACTGGGGTATGCTATATAACGCCAGCTGATCTAAATTTACTTGGTTTAGATTGGTTCGACCAGCTAAAATTGGCTGATGTCCCGCTAAATACCATATGCAGCCTGGTATCACAACGACATGACCCAGAAGACCACGCAGAATGTTATCTGACAACCGCAGTTCGCGCATTACCGGTGTCTGCAACAGACATACAAAATGCTTCTAGAAACGACCCCATCATCAAGATGACGATGAAATATGTCACTAACGGTTGGCCGTCGAAAAAGTTTGAAGGTGACATGAAGCAACTGTATCAGCGGCGGGAGTCACTATGCATCGTCAACGATTGTCTGATGTTTGGTGAAAGAGTAGTGGTGCCAGAATCCCTTCGTGCAAAAGTGCTGAGACAGTTCCATCTTGGTCATCCTGGGATTAAACGAATGAAGTCCATAGCCAGGAGTTATGCATACTGGCCTCACATGGATCAACATGTCACAGCGTTGGTTGAAAAATGCATCCGGTGTCAGCAGGCGGCAAAGATGAATGCCGGAATTCCGCCGGTTTCATGGCCCAAACCTGAGCATCCTTGGTCCAAGATACATGTCGACTTCGCTGGCCCAATAAATGGAACTATGTATTTAATTGTCGTCGACGCCTTTTATAAATGGCCGGAAATCAGCCCCGTTATGCCGCCCACTACAACTAAGACTATACAGCTCCTAACTGAAATTTTCTCACGAAATGGCATACCAGATGTGATCGTATCCGACAATGGCTCTCAATTCACCTCTTCCCAATTCCAGAATTTCTGTCAACGGCTAGCTATTAAACACTTACGCTCGCCACCATACCACCCGCAATCGAATGGGCAGGCGGAAAGGTTTGTGGATACGTTTAAAAGAGCACTGCTCAAGTCAAAAGGGGAGGGGACGCCAGCCGAAACGTTACAAAATTTCTTGTACGTCTATCGGACAACACCAAATGAATTGTTACCGGAGCAAAAGTCCCCAGCTGAAATCCTGATGGGAAGAAGATTGAAAACGATTCACAGCCTGATGCATCCGACCAATGCACCCTCATCAGTAGAGACAAAGCAGCAAAGACAATCCGCTTACGAGGTGGGATGCCCTGTGTTTGCCCGCGACTACAGAACGAACCATGGTCCTTGGGTAGAAGCGAGAGTGGTCAGAAGGGTTGGTCGAGTTATGTACGAAGTAGAGGTAGGAGGTGATAAATGGTCACGTCATCGCAATCAGATACGCAGACGGCTAGCCCCAGATCGCCCATCAAGAGCAGAAAGCCTTCCCCTTGACATCTTGCTTGATACCTTCAACCTACCGATAGCCCCGCCACGAGAAGAAACTCAGCAGCAAGCTGTTCTTCGTTCCCGAAGGTATCCCCTCAGACAGCGGCGAACAATAGTCAAGATGCAAGTCAACCACAGGAGAACACGCTATTAAAAAGGGGAGGAGTGTTGGGGATGTTAGATCCCCAAAATTCGCTTGATAATGCCGTATTTCGGTTTTCACGTTCGCCAGCAGGGGCTGATCAAATGACCTTGAGATTTCAATTCCCACCAGGAAAATCAATGGCTGTGATTGGCTACAGTGTATTTTAGTATGCTATTTTCTTAACTGTCTCAAGGACGTTCTTATGTTGTATAAATAAACGAGAGTTGTATGCTTGATTGTACTGGGATTGCTGGGTGCTTGTAGAATATACTTCTACGCCTACAAAGTCTTCTATTTCGATTCTGGGATTCAGGGTAGCCTTCCTGGAAGCTGGTAAAAGTCTCGTTCGCGTTTATCGACTAAGGTAAACTCGTAATAGCCTCAAGCATCCTAAGATGACGAACATATCAAGAAACAAGTGTATCAGCTAATATAGTTCGATTAAAACATCACAATATGCAAGCTTGATCAACACATCAACTAAGCGTCTACAGTTAGTTCAAGTTAAGAGTGTATGTACTGGAAAGTACTCATTTTACAAAATATATGAGCTTTTTGATATTCAACAACCTATACTAGTGTGTTACGGTATTAAATTTTTCGTTGAATAACTTTCAGCTTACTATGTTGGTGCTCAGTCAAAAATAAACTACATCTTATTGTCACGATGACTAACTGTTTTTTACTCGGTGAACTTGTCAACAAAGTAATTCACTGGACCACTACTGGTTATCACAACAACGTCTGTTTAAAATCCGTCATCATTGTATGAGCTTAGTTTTAAACAACATAGAAAATGCTACATATTCTGATTATCAATTTATCAAATTTGTCATTCTTTGTTTCATTCACTTTTTCTAACTATTATTATTACTGTAATTCTGTTTTTCCCTGTATCGTTTTCAGTTAGGCAATGTCTGGAAATCATGTCAGTCTGGTGAATTAGTCTTGACAAATAAAAAACGAGAATTTTGGTCAGTGTTGTTTTTTTATTGTTTGTTGTATTTTCTCTTGTTTAAGTGTATTTTTTTTCTGTTATCAGAAATTAACTAATTTCCTATTGAATTTACATTAGAAGCATTTTATTTGTTTTTACTTGTGAACTCTTATTTGCTTTGTAAAACTATCATCTTGTTCGTAGTGTTTGTTTTCTTAGCTGTTTTCATCGAATCGCAACTAGTTTAATCACTCACCTCTCCTAAACACAGTGCATCCTGCGTCACTTATATATATTTAAGGGTACTAAAATTTTGGTCACACTTAAATCGTATGTTTAATCTCCACACTTGTCAACTTATTTCTAATCAATATATCATTATAACAAGCTGATAATTTTGAAATTCCTATCAATGTAGAACACATGGACTTGTATTTGATTTTTTCGGTTTCTCTAAGCAAGTTTTCACTTTACTAGACCAGTTGCATATATGTTAGATAGAAGATGGCTGAAGGTGTTCGACAGGTCAACTACTACCTATGTTTCAAATTAGTTGGCACTAGTCAGCAAGATGAACCAGTAATCTCTAGAGAAGTGATGCTCTATTTGATCAATTATTTTGTTATTCTAACTCCGATTATATGTAGTTTTTTTAGTTGGTATGCTTACAATACATCATATGACCATTTTCAATAAAGGCAATGGATATTGCGAACGATCAACACCATTGTGAAATTCATTCCAAAATACTACATTAATATTACTATTATTATTATTATGAAACACTATTGATGGGTTAGCATTATATGTATGTAGTCTAGAGGCATGATGAAAATTTTTTTCAGTTGATAAGAGATATTTCTCGTCTCTATTTTTTTTGTCTATTTTTTTTGTTTAGTTGTTTAGTTCAGCGTGCTTATGAAATGGTTCTGTCGATAATTTTCTCTCAATCTACTCTACTTTTGACAAGTCCATCTATCAGACTTATGGATAAACAATTACTTTTACGTGAAATAACTGCTGAATTGGTTAGTTTTTTGTTTTATTCTCATTTGCCATACTGGCATTGTTCATAGTTTGTATCTTGAACTAACATTTACAAGGAAACGATTAAAAAAAAACAAGAGGCACTGAACAACTGATTCGTTCAAGTGTGAGACTTCTCATCAATGGGCTCCCACCGAGAATCAGATCCAGGAAATCTGATCTCGTTTAAGGCACTTAGCCTTTAAGTCACTGAACTTAAAACCTATTAACTTCAATTATTTGCAATATTCCCTGACCATCTCGTTGCCTGTTATGGATAACTGTGTCACAGCCAATTCTAGATGAATCATTAATAATACCTTTTGTTTGTTACAATAAGCGCATTATTTTTGAACATTTTAGAAAATATATTTTTTCCCAGTTATGTTTGTTTAATCTTCACACACCTAATAATTTTGTTTACTCCGAATTTTTCATTGATAGAAAGCTTGTCATTCTTTCGGTATTTCATCACGCCGAACTTCTTCCGTTGGCCATTCTACCGCTAGTTCTTTTTCATCTCGAAGTCCTAGCAGTCGATCTTCAAGTACGCATTTACGTTTAAGTTCAGCATCTCCTCAAACACCGACATCCAGCTCAAATCTTGTACGGAATCCACCACTACCTTTAGGTTCAACTATTCCATTAACGGATTCATCTAATTTTGGTTTTGACAAGGCTGCTAGTCGATTCATAGAACTTTCACGTTTTACTTTGTAAATGTTTTATTATCGTTAAATGAATTTGTATTTCAATGAACTTTTTACGATAGAATTTTTGTATATGTTTGGATTTATGTTAGCTAATATAAATGAGCATTATTATAAATGTATTTGTCTTTTTACTGAAATCAAGTTAATTTTGTGCATTTGATTATCATTTTCCAGCTATTTAAGATGTTTAGTTTGCTTTAGTTTTAATAAACTATACATCGTAGTGACTGTGTAGAGGACTCCATATCCATTATCTCGTGATTCTGTAGAAGAATAACACATATAAACGAACAATATTGTTTTCGATTAGATCGTCATCAGGCTTTACTCTAATATGCTTGAATATTTATATGAAAATGTTAAACTAATCAAGGCAATTTGAGTCTATCATCACAATGAAATGAAACAGATTACGTCACTACGCATAATAGGCAAAAGTACTAGTTGATAGTAGGAAGACAGGTGTACTAATAGTAGTAAGAATAATAAAATACGGTAAAAAGTTTCATCAATCGTTCAACATTGTGGATAGTAGGTCAAACGTGGATAGGCAGACTTAACATAATTATTACAAAACATTAAAGCCATTACGTAATAAGAGGTGTGCGCATAATTAGATGGTGTAGATTATAAAAGGGAAGAGCCAAAAAATTACAAACAAATACAGGATGTGAAAATAATGCTAATTATAACAAAATAAAATTAAAATTTTAAACGTTGGTTTAGTCATATCCGGTCATGGAAGAGAAAGGGGTGTCACCAATGTCTTCTGAACAAATAAATTGAGGCTAAATGTACGAATTCTTATGGCTTCTGCTATGTATAGGAGACAGGATCGAACTACTGTAGTAGCTCTATGTACTGCGAGTCAATCTCAATAATTCTCATTATGGAGTTGTGGAGATTGCGAAACTTCCTTGAAATCATGAACCGATCTGATGTAAACCACTTTTCATGACCTAGGTGGTCGTACGTCCTAATAAGGGACGACTCAGCATGCGTATCCAAGACCCCGCACATGGGGATCGAACACAGGACTTTTGTTCCTGTCTGTATGTGCTTACCCTCCAGACTACTGAGCCGGCATCCGACAGTGTTAATAATATATAACTTGGATCAGTCGGCGATATTGCATGACTAGTTTCCTTTGTCTTCGGTGGATAACCGCCTGGATCAGTATTGCTTAACCACACTGGGTCGCAGATGAGCATACTAGGACAAAACGATCATCCAGTTCCTCTAAATTTTCATTGGTTAGTTACTTCAATGGAATTTTCATAATGTAGTTGTAAGAAAAGCATGGTAAAGTTTACAACGGAAACTAGATTTTTCTAATTTGACTGTTGACACGAAAATACTTTAAAGTGAAGCGAACGAATTCAGTTCTCATCAGGTTTTAACCAGTAGGTTCTCACAACTTTAAAATATTTGGGATTATGATGAACCAATGGTATTCACATGTTTTGTCAAGCATTTTAACTATGATGACAACTACTTTTTAACTATACGCAGTTATTATCGCGTTATTGATTGTAAGCGTAATGATGACAAATCCTGCGGTGTGCAGGAGTCGTGGATGCGCACTGCTGAGGAGTCCCATACCAGGACGAAACGGCCGTCCAGTGCTTCCAGGTTTCTAATGGTGGTCTAACACTGATCGATTCATGGTGTCAAAAATGTGTAAATACGTAAACAGCATCAATTATACTCTAACCAAAACAATTACTGACAATATGCATGTGTAATTACAATTTTACTATTTCTTATTAAGTTTGTTTTGATATTTAGATAATTATGACAAACTTAAAATTAGAAAAAACTTACTGAGCTTGCAAAATAGTCCTAAACTGACAGTTTGTTAAACAAATTGTTTCTTCTTTAGTATTTAAACCAGTTATTCAAATCTAGTGTTTATTTTGCAGACAGAACAATATCAGCTAAGTTAAACATGGTGACTGAATTTCTGGAGTTAGTATTTATAAATCTTAGTGTACTAATTGTTTTATTGTGACCTAGTACATAATTTTCCCTAATCATAAAGTCAGCTTTATTCGAAATTTTTTTCATCTTCTTGGTTCCCCATGCTAATCATATTATTTTTTTCCTTGACGGTTAACTTAAGTCTTTAGTACACTTTGTAATGTTGTTTATATCAGAGTGCTTTCTGGTTAGACTCTTGGAACTATGGTGAAGTTTATGGAAATTTGTTTCCTTATTATTTACAATACGTGGTGTTCTTACGTACATAAATTACATCGTGTTATGATTTACTTTTCATCTCATTTGTAATCTTTTCGAAGTAGTAGTCTAAATTCATGTTTGTTTCCTAATCATTTTCTTTAATCATTTAACACCAGTAGTCAAATCCCAATTGATTTTTCTTTTGTATCAAACAGGTAGCATTTGTATGCTTGAATAGTTACATTTCCAAAAAGCTGGTTTTTTGGTTGTTCATTAGCACAAAATAATTCTGGAAATTATTTTTAAAACAATCAGTTAAAATATTAAACATTTCATTGATTAAGAGTTATCGTGTAACTTTTTATGAATGACGCAAATAATGTAATGTGATGTGATGTAATAGTATAAATTATTGGTTCGTTAGCTTGATTGTAAGGTACTCATAGTTGTTTTGCACAAAAGCATCGTCAAATTGATACATGTGTTAAATTATGGGAAAATTCTCCACAAAACTGTCCACTTTCTAAATATAGAATAACATATCGATTTGATGCATTCGTCATGAATTTACGAGATAGGGAATATGAAATCCAATAGAAAGATATGTTTTGAATAAATTCACTATCAGGCTGTACTTTTACATGTATGTCAACCGACTGATGATGACCGTGCATAAATAAGAAAGGATTATAAAATGGTACTGTATCGTGAATGAAATAAGCTAATTTAAGTCTTGAGTGAGTGCCACTCAAGACGGAAGTGAAGAAATCAATCTCTCATCAAGAACACAAAAATTTCGCAGTGAAAATGAGAATGACAATCACAGTGATTTAAAATCAAAAGAAATAAATGGTAAGGTGTGTTTTCTTTGCAAATAGACTTTTCTATCTTCACAACAGTCATCTAGTGCTTTTAGGAATTAGAAAATCTGGCTAGCTCTAAATGGGAAATAGTAATTCTGTTAGTTGGGAAATTTTACAGAAGCAGTATATCTACTAGTTCGCTCGTTACTGCCGTGTTATATACTGCTTGGTTAATTATGTTGATGTAAGATGAGGTTAAGTCGCCTTCCTCTATAAATAACAAAAGCTTCATGTTTCAAAAAAAACATATATAACATGTGATAATTTAAAAGAATATCATTTACAACTATGAAAGCTTCTACTGCTGAAATAACTAGAACTTTCCCCGGACAGTGATGGTTAAAGAAAAATTTGAAAGCCACTCAAAAATCTTATTAACCGAATGAAATGCACGGATTGTTATCTTTTCATTATGGATCAATTTTCTTAATATTGCCTACGCAAATATGAATTCGTAAACAGTAGTAGACTTCTAATTTCTGATCACATTTTATCGACCAAGTAAGAATGAAGATCTGAAGATGGGAAGTACATTTATCAAAACTTTCCATTTAGTCATAAACTTGAAACCAGTTGTTCTTGGTTATTTTGTAAATCCACTTAGAAGCAAACGTAGCGCCTCTTGACGTGTAGTGCCTCCACATTTATTTGCATCCGCTTACATTTAATTTGCTTAAGCCCTTTCGATTAATTTATGTAACCAAGCTATTGGCATAGCAACAACTCATATGCACCATTGGTATTTTTATTATCTGCTTTGTATGAGCTTGTACGACTGAGCATTGCTTACGCTTACGCACTTACTCATCCTTTTCGCTTTAATGTTAATCTCTTAATATTCCCATGAACCCACATGATTTGTATCGCTTGTCATTTGACCTTGTCAATCATTCGTCGCTTTTATTCATGTGTGTGCATACCTATTTCGCTTGTCATATGTCTGTCTTATTATTGTCTGACTATATATTCTTAGTCATGTTCTATCTCTTTGAGTTGGCTCACTAGCCTTCTCCTATTCGCTTCATTCATTCGCTCGCATTGTAATCCAAAGAGTTGGCTCACTAGCCTTCTCCTATTCGCTTCTTCAATTCGCTATGTGGTGTGCCTCGAATAAACGTATACGATACTTGGAGTTCATCTTCTGATTTATAAACGGAGCTATAAGAACACGCAGTAAATCGGCACACCTCAAACGTTTAGACACTTCACCAATTTTTGTTTGTGTTTCCATTCAAACTAAATGATTCGAAGACTAAAAAGAACGACAAGTAATAATTCTGTCCTCAAATGCAGAGTAAAAATACCTCATTGGTACTCCTCTAAGAATTTCAAATATTCTTTGACGTCAACTGGCATGAAATACGAGTCCCATGCTTTTAGCTGTCCATCCCTAAATAAGTAAGAATTTTAAACGATTTCTATCTGAAGAAAAAGTCACTGTAGATTTCGAATGATCATGGGTTTAGTGATCTGGGAAAGAAACCAAGATTCGGCCAAACTTTTACTTTTGAATTCAGAGCTCTTATGTTTTCCTGTCTCTATTCCTTAGAACATCTACTACTAATATATGGTTTCTCTTCAGATAGTATATTACTGAAAATGACTGATCTGTGTCAGTCTTGTTTCTTATTTTGCGAAAGTTAGCTGACATCATTCTAGGTTTCTAACTATGTTCTTTTCAACTATCTTGAAAACTATTTTTAACATGGAAAAGTGAATTCCTAAGAAATAGACTGACGAAAATTGTTGCATAGATAAAATTGAGTTTGCAAACACAAAAGAAAATGTCTTAAGTAAGTAATTTGTTCACAGATCTTTAATTGAACCAGTTGAAATACAGTTGTAGATTTTCCATATTGCAAGCTTTTGGAATTGTGCAGTGTGATCGTTAAATTATCATGTCTTTGACACATAAATAGAAGCGCCATTTATACTATGTGCATACATTTTAGCTTAACTTTTCGAGGAATACACACCCTCACTCTTTTCTGTATAATGACATAGTATTCAATTTCTCTTCATCTGTATTTAAAGAGTACAATATGTAGTCATTTTACTACAAACGCAAGATTCATACACAAAGCTTTATAGATTTCACCGGATCACACTACTCAGAACCAAATCGACCATATCTGTATCAATCAAAAGTTCAGAAGGACCATGGAGGACGTAACAGCCAAGAGAGGAGCTGATATAGCCTCAGATTATTACTTAATGACAGCCAAAACAATGATCTTTTTACTTTATTTACGAATAACCCATTAACTAGTTATATTCACCGTCAAATATATTATTAGTATCTAAACAAGATAATTATTAGAAAGTTAAACTACATAAAATACAGTCATAGATCCAAAAATAGATTTGTAATGCAATAAGAGAGTGACGTTTATTTATGAAATAACTAATAAACATCTTGCACTATCCATTTAGCCAGTAAATGTTTAATGGGTCCACATACTTGTTGACATTAAATTTCGTTTCAATTTTCACATAACTTAGATTACCTGAAATAGCATACTTCATGTTTAAACAACTGCATTGAACCGACATTATATAGTTTAAATTGTATAAAAAAATATGCAGTTGCTCACTTAACTGATTTGTGTGATATTTAATTTCAAATGATGATTAAACACTGATAGTTAAGCATCACGAAAACACGATCAGTAAGCATGCCGTACAATTTGCTAATAAAGTAAATGAATAATTAATTGTTTAAGGATTAAATTACTGCAAAAAGTTTGTAATCTTGTTGATATTTTGGTTTTAAGAAATGGTTGGTTTAAAGTATGAAGCGTCCACATATGAAATGTATATGCTTCTACAGAAATTTTAACAATGAAGTATTCGTTGACTTGCATAGTGATACGGAAAAGTTTTCTTTGACTAAAGAAATTTTACATTCAAAAAGTATGGAAGTCGAACATTTTAAAGTGAGGATAATGGTAATATTTTCATAGAGTTAAATCAATTGTTCATTGAATCTCAAGTGTTTGTCTAATAGCTGTTAAGTTGATGATAAGAATTTGAGAGAAAACAATAAATAAATGCACGTGAACCATTACACATGATTTCGAGCCATGTCATTCAAAGTCTTTAAACAGCGGTTACTAACATCTCGCGGACCCCCACCTCGTAGTCTACACCTAATAACATGGATCAGTACAGTTTTAACTAACTTCATGGATTTGTGACATGTTTTGGTTTGGCCGCGCCTAGATTTCTTCCAGACTAACTGTACACTACAAAATATTCCTCGTCGAGCCGCATCAACTACTTCGTCGATTGACCTGCCATCCTTATCTAGTAACCGTCTCCTATCAACAGCTTTGCTTACTCGATGGTTCAAGAATGTTCGAGCACTAGTTCTAAGACACCTGCGACCGAAAACCTACGAACATCCTCTATTTATACTGGCCATGTTTCATACCTATAAAGTAGAAATGATTAAAATAAGACGCAGTAGACTCGCCCATAGTTTGTTAATGAATATCTCGCCGATGCCATAAGTGACGCAAGTTGACAAAAGCCAATCGAGCCTTCTGTACCCGTGCCGATGCTTCGTTACACACCAGGTCATCAGGACTGATGAAACTCCCAAGATAAGTGAAGCGATCAACACGCTCAACTATCATTATCACCTGTCGCTAGTTCATGTGCCGACTCCAGCCAATCCCGAAGAAACATTTCGCATTTCGAACCTCACGATCAACTGTGTCGAACGTCGCCTTAAGGTCGGGAAATACTAGTGTGAATAAGTGGTCTATACAGCAAAGTCGAAAAATAACCTGCTTTTCTCGAGTTTGTACTTCACGAGCTCTAGTTAGGCGTCTAAGGATAATCGAGGCTAACAACTTGGAAACTTTATAAGTTATACTGATTCCTCTGTGACTGTCATAAGAGGATATTTTTCTTTTCTTATAGACTTGGACAATCAGTGATTGAGACCAGCCAGATGGTATTACGCCCAGTTCCAGATTCTACTTAAGATTTCATTCAATCTCATTGCTACAAACGCACCACCATCCTTAAAAATCTCAGAGGTAAACTTGTCAGGCCTTGCTGCTCTCACTCGGGTTAGACTGGCTTTAGCCTTTTCATCTTCGATTCGTCATTCATGTTGACTGGAGATCGTGGGTAACAGAAGTGTGGCTGAAGGCCAGTTAAGCTGATCCCTGAAGTGCACTGCCCATCGATCGAATCTCTTGGATTTATGATAAATAACAGTCACATCTTTTTCCGATAGAACCCCCTAATAGTCGGATTCTTAATACTGGTTTCCTTGATAAATCTGAACAGTCGTCTACTGTTGGCTATCGCCTCTGCTTTTCTCATCGCTCTTGCTTTCGCTACTTACCACTGTTCGAGATCGTTGCATCGGCTCATTATCAGCAGAAGCTGGCTCCGCTTCTCATTATATTCGCAGCTAGATGTTTACGTTTCCGAGCATCTATCAATTCGGTAGATGCTACTGAAATCCACTGATTCTCCCCAATCTTTCGGTTTAACTTACTGGCAGATATCAGTGTTGCTTCCACAGACTTTAGATATAATTCCGAGCTTCTTGTTGGTGGATATCACTTACTACATGGCTGCCTCATTGATTTTCCGGTCGCTCCTGAAAAGTACTCCTGGCTTTTCTAAAGTTGAGTAGAACTTTTAAGTTGTGTCCTAACCCTTGCTGTTACTTTCTTACATCCAGTGAGTCTAAGACACGCTCACGCAAGAGCATGAATTACTGAAAAATCTCAAACTTAGTCAACTACATTGCTAACATAATCAAAGTTCTATTTTGTGTAGAGATACGTAGTATGGAGTGTAGACAACTAATTGAGGGTCAACCGTACGTTGTATTAAAAACCTTATTGTATGCCATCTTTTTTACTTTGTCTTTTTTTATGGATAAATATGAGAATAGGCATTGTCATTTGTTGATTAAAAACGAGTTAACAAGAGGAGTAATAGTGAAAACAGAATAATTTTTTTTTTTAAATTCACTAGTAAATTGATTTATAGCTGGAGAGAAGTTTAATTTTACACGAAATTTAATGCTTTCAAGGTTAGTATCGTTGTGTAACTATATCCATTCATATTTACATCATTTATTGTTATCTAAGAACGCTTATAAAAATATATATACATATATATATTTAACACCGTAAAACGCTTATTGGACTTAAGGAATTTGAGATGATTTGTTGTCTCATTGAAACCGGAGAAATAAAATAAGAGAGAAAATGAGTTGTGTGAGTTAGAACAAACTGTATGAAATGTTTAATCCAATGAAACTAAAGGTTAACCATATACATTTACGAAATTTGATATCTTAACTAATTTCTATAAAAGTGGGTTATATCAGGTCAAAATAAAATGTTCATTATTTTATATCAGTTGTACGAAGATCTAAAATTTTTTGGAAGTCCTACATTTAAGCATAATTATTGTATACGTTACTGATATAAATATATTTTATGTATATATATTTAATAAATACATCATCAGATCACTTCACTAATACTTGACAGCTTTTTTTTTCAAACAAACAATGAATACAACCTCTTCTGATGATCAAAATGATCTCACTGAAAATAATACAAATCCTGCCAATAAGTGCCATTCACCCACTACATCGTCACATCACAACACTTTTGTCAATTCATCATTCTCATCATCAGATTTATGTGCTTGGTGTCAAAAACCAAATCTTCAAACTTATAAATACACTTCATTCTGTCAATCGGTTAGTTTAAATAGTGCTAAATATAAAATAAAACCTGTACCAGTTTGTTGTTCACAAATATGTTTTGATAATTTACGCCGTGCATATTTTAAAAATCGTCGACATCAACCAAACAAACAACTATTAGATGCAATACCGGCTATGGCAATTTCCGGCCGATTACCATATACATCTGATTCAGTTATGGAAAAATTCTACAATGGAAATAATTCAAATACTGCGGCTAATAATTTACCAGCCACCATTATTAACAACTGTCCAACGAATAAATTGACATCTAAGAAACGATTACACAATCACCAGTCTGATCAACAGTGTCATCATCATCAATCACAGAATACATTTGCTAAATCTGTTACAAATATTACTCAATTTAAACAGAATTCTTTAAGAGAAGAAAAAAACTATGATTTATTGTCAAGTTTTCAATTGTATTCACAATTAAACGATTACATCAATAAGCATAATGTTGAAATGTCCAATCCACTATATGACTATATAATACAACGTTTGGATATTAACCAATTTGTAAATAATTTTATAAATGTTATGAACACTGAGCATGTTAATGGTACAACTATAACCAATGCAACAGAAGCAGCAACAACACCTACTACTACTACTACTAATGTAAATATTAATACTGATCAGAACCTACACATAAATCCATTGACTATTGATAATTTTAATATTGAACCAATGAATTCAAATGTGGAATATAGTCACCGGTCCAACTGTTCAAATCTAGAAATTATGAATTTCCTCAACCCATTACTAGTATCCACAAATAAAAGTGATCAACCTATAATGGAAAATACAATTGCCCATATTAATGAATATGAAATGAATTGTTTGAATCAACCATTAATTATACCAATACCTATACCAATATATAAAACAGCTCCAGATTTATTAAATATTTTACATCAGTATGGTTATCATTCAATCGATTCATGTCAATATCATTACAGACAGTCCAATGTTGATGCAACAACTCAAACAATAAATTCGAATCAATTTGTTTCAAATGAAATTATTGACATGGTAAATGATGCTGAAGTGAATGAACACAGAAAAATTAATGAATTCAATAAAATAGAATTTGATCATCATTTTTTAGACAAAAACACTGAAAATGTATTGGATTTAAGTGCTTCAAATAAAAGTGTAAAGCACAATTTACATAGAAATTGTTCAAAGCCACAGAAACAAGAATCGCTTCATCAATGTCAACGTCAAAACAAGCGCTATCTGAATAGACGCCTATTTAAACAAGTGTGTTTTTCAGGCATATATAAACTGATTCATCCAATGACAAAACACTGTTATACAGTTAGAATTACACCTGTTAGACGGTAGTAGTAGCTGCATAACAACAGTGAATCTGTAAATATTTGTACATTTTTTGAATTTAAAGAAAATTAGCAAATATAATAGTTAATTGTTCAATATATTTCTTAATGAATTCTTTTGAATTAAAGTATTTATCTACGATATCATATAAATGTAGACAAAGTTTCCATAGTCAAAAAGTTCGATATAGTTTTTTTCATTTAATACTGATATCTTGGTCTGCATAAACACATTAAACTCAATGAATGAAAAGGTTATTCTAATTTATTTTTATCACTACACAAACTGTTCAGAACTACAAAATTGTGTATTTCATTGCCAACTTATTTTGTTGCTATGACTGAATACTTTCGCTTAACTAACATAATACGACAAATACGTACAATTATACTTGATTGATTAAAGCGAAAAAGATTAAAAATGATCATTATATTATTGTTTAGAAAAGTCAGTTTCAAACAGTAACATATGAAAGTCGATTTTACCAAATATGATATTCAGTGAATATGTTATTCTGAATCTTGTCCTTTTTTGATAAATTTACTGAAAAATCTTAAATGATGGGGAAAATGTTAACGTTATCCACAACTAGTAACTAACGTTTTTGAAAATATTTACTCCATAACATCATTCAATGAAACTATTCACTGAAAAATCTTAAATGAAGTTCAAAAACACTCTTTCCTAATGTCTTATATTTACAGGTTAGGTAACTAACTTCAAAAACGTAGAAAAATTTAAGAGCAGTTGAACTGTAGCAAAATATACTTGATAATGTCACAAGTAAAACAAATTTTCAATCATGTTGATTAATTAAGCTGCTTCGTTTTGTTGAGTATTCTATTGCTTTTGAAAAGACTTCAAATGTTGTCGCCTGGTACAGACTCTTGTATCTATTTCTGGAAAATCTCCAAACATAAAATCAATCTGCACACTTCTACCAGTCACACGCTTTTTGTATATGCCTCTAGTGTTAATGTCTACACTTTATCATCTGATGCGATAGGTATATTGTTCAGGTTTTAGTGTAAGATGCAAGTACACCTAAACCGTTTGCAATGGCGCCGGTGCATTTATTCTTTGTGTTCTCTCAAATCCTAATCTTCTGGATTCCTTCAACTCCTCTAGTTTTTACTTTCTAAACTTATCTCACTGAATCATACTTCATGAATAATATCTTCTAATCCTAACCTCTTAAAACTACTTCTAATACCTTTTTACTACATCTACTACTATTGGATTTGAATTGACAATTACATCTCTGTGCTAATGTGGTATGGCAACATGAACTGATGTACGTACGTACGAAGTTCTACGTTGCATCTGACTGACACCTAAACAAGTAGTCTTAAATAAGATAAAAGTCATGTCCGCACAGTACTATTGCTCATTAATTAAAAATTGACAGATTAATAAACAAATCAACAATAAAAATTGTAATAAAGATTTATTATGCCTAGTCATTATGATTATCTATAAAATGTTAGATTACTGGATACAGATTCAGTTTGAAAGTTATCACAAAAATCTATGATCGTACATTATTTTTTTTTTTTAGAAAAAGTGTCACTTCAAAAACGTTGAAACAAGTTTCAACTGAGAAAAATGAAATAAATAAGCAGGTTAAATAATTAAATTTTAAAATTAATTATAAAAGAAACAAATTCAAAGCCTTACTAAGATATTAGTATAAAAACTATTAAATATTGTTAACATAATTTTAACAAAATACAAATAATCAAAATTAGTACAGTTTGATTTGAACGTTAGATATATTCCATAAACAGTTAAGTCTTGATGAAGGAATAAACAAAATTGAAATTGAAAAATATTGCATGCGCAAATGTTGCCGAAATAATAAACATTTTATACAAGCAGTCATTTCAAACAAGCTGGACATGCTTAAAAATTTACTATTTTATGGAGAACGTATAATATCATAAACTTGTTGATGAATATTAGAAATCCGATTAGTATTCGTTAAATTATTACTAGTCGGCAGAATTAATCTGTCCAATAATGAAGTATCAATTCTATGCTCATTTAAATTAAGCGTATTTTGTTGTTGACATAATTTGTTGAAATTATCATTGGGATTACATTGAATTTGTTGTAATATCGACAAAATGAATTCACGCAGTCTGGTTAAACTCTGAAAGAAAAGAAAAAATCAATCATAGAATAATCATTGTTGTTGTTATTGTTTTTTTTATAAAAAGTAAATAAATGATAATTTACAAATTATTACCATAAATAACCATGAAAGATTGATACTTCGCATTGATTTTAGGAATTTGTTTTTTTTTTTTAATATTCTAATGATTGCTTTCATTGAAGTAAACTATGAATAGTAAACATGAATGATTTTGTAAACTACCTGTAAGAGTATGTCAGTCAATAGGAAATCTTTAGTTTATATTGGCGAATCGATTTTAGAGCTAAATGATCAGTGGAAGTCAAGCAGCGCTGTAAACTACGAGCTGAGATGTGCCCCGAGCTAAGTTTATTAGAGTGGATTCAAATTTACATTCGCTTAAATACAATAATGATTACATAAAACGTTGTCTAACTGTAAATCCTAATGCATATAATAGAGGAAATATAAGAAACAAATTTGTATACATTAAATAAATGTTTATAAAAGCGAACCTGTCTTCTAGTTAAAAGGCGTTCTAAATCTTCACAAAGTAAATTACGTTCATTTGCCAGTCTATCTCTTTCTTCCTTGTACAATAAAGACTTTTTTTCAGTATCTGCTAATTGGTTATGTAAGGCGTGGATTTGACTATCTTTCTGTGATATTGTCTGATATAAACAATTAGTTGGTTGACTGGCTAAAGATTTCCAGTTCATATTCTTGTTTAATTCCTGTAAATGAAATTATAAATAAAGAAATATGTGAAGACGACCTAAACATTTTTATACTAAGAATTACAGAAATATTTCAGAGTGACTTAAGCAATGACTATGATGAAACTGGTAGTTTTGTTCACCTTCAATTAGTGGTTGAAAATGAAGATCTGCTTATTAATATATGATTCACTAGGCTTATAACACAGAGGACTTCATGACTTTCCGATCTGTCAAGTTGTAGATGATCTAAAAGAAACAACTATCGTCTGTGCATGAAATCCACTGAAGTTATAAATATCCACCAGTTCATATTGTTTTAGTGACCGCAATCTTACAATAGAATCTAAATTTCAGTAGTCCTAGACCTTACGGCTCACTAATTTAAACCTCTATTCTCTGAACCCATTCTATATTTCCAATCTATATTATCTACATTTGGTCCATTTTACAATCAATAACCAGTCAGTCAGCTACATTCATCAGTCCACGTTGCCATACAACATTAGCACAGAGATAGAATTGTCAGTTCAAATCCCCTAGTAGTGGAGGTAGTAGGATACTATCAGTAATAACATTACTTCTAACTCTTTGCCGCGTACCTTGTTAATTTGATCCTCGTAAGGTGATTCGGTGTAACGAATTAGGATTATCTATATTTGTGACAAGTTCTAGGTTGCATATGACTGACAGACCATTGGCAATATATTTAAAGTAGTCAAACACTATGTAGAAATTGCTTAATTTTGGCATAAAGTTTGAATTACACTTTTATCTTTCATAAAAATTTTATTTTCATAATTCTCTACTGATAAGAAGTGTCATAATCTGTAATCAAAAATAATTAGTGTTTATTTGTGAATATCGAATTATAAACATTGAAATGATCGATATTGGGAGAGTTGAAATTATTGGATGTTCTATATCAATGAATCCCGATACAATAAACTGTGTGTATATGCGAATAACTATTTTGTTAATCTTATTTGTGATATGAGTGTCCGAACCGGTAAGTGTAATTATAGTATGCATAAAAAGTCTACTTAACTGGTCGCTTATTTTCCATTTTGGTATCTGTTCATTTCAGAACTCTGTATCAGAGACCTTGAATGACATGGCTCAAAATCGTTCGCAATGGCGCCAGTGCATTTATTCTTTGTGTTCTCTCAAATCCTAATCTTCTGGGTTCTTCAACACCTCTAGTTTTTACTTTCGAAACTTATCTCATTGAATCATACTTCGTGAATAATATCTTCTAATTCTAACCTCTCCGATTACTTCTAATACCTTTACTACCTCTTCTACTATTGGATTTAAATTGACAATTATATCTCTGTGCTGATGTGGTATGGCGACATGAACTGATGTACTTACGTACGAAGTTCTATGTAGCAACTGACTGACTGACTGATCAGTAGTAGTTACGGGTTTTACCGTACGGTCGCATTATATCAGTTCAGATGGTCAATTAAGCAAACACATTCTTATAATTGTTCTTTAATATGAGCAGAACGATTTTAAATTGTGACGAAAACAATAAAACTGTGGTTGGATAATAAATAAGTAGTAAGTAATCAACGATTTAAATGTTCCACGATTCCCATATTTACATATTCTGATTGTATCACACCTAGAAACAAGTGAACTCAGGGAAGAGCAAAATATCAATTAACTCACTATGTGTACATAAATCATACTGATGATTCATAACACAAGATTCTTATTTTTCAGACTAAACACATCAAACAAAGTGATCAGTTAAAAGCGAATGAAGTATTTTAAAACAGTTCATATCTATGAGCTAATGTATCTTGATCGATCACCGTTATAAACACTAAACAATGACCCGATTTGTAGTAGTACTAGAAATACATAATAATCCTTGATACTATCCACGATTTTTATTCATTAAAATTCATATATATATATATATATATATATATATATATATATATATATATATATATATATATATATATTTGTATACTGGATTTTATAAAGTAGAGATATCGTGAACAATTATTATTACTCAGAAGACTTCTATTCACAGATTAATAGTCAGTACTTGTTTAGCTAAACTAAGACATTTTTGTTAAGTTTTAAACAGTAAATAATCAATGTTGACACTACTTATTTTTCAGAAATCCTGTTCTATGATGATCAACAATTTTTCAAATTAGGAAGACAAATAAGCTGTACATTGATTTAGATAGTTCATGGATTTCAATTATTGTATCATGAACTTTACCTAATTTGTCAAAGATCACCAAAAACAGCTCCATTTACATATTAGTGACATTTGATCTATCAGAAATTAACGGAATATAATAGACGTTAAAAATGGATAGGCCGGTATCAAATATCAGAATGGTTTCAAATTTCTAATATTAGGTACATACAACAATTAGGAAGGTAGACACCTACCTCTACTCTACTATATATATATATATATATATATATATATATATATATATATATATTGTATTTTATCCTGTTTAATGAAAGTAAAGGAAAACTGAAATGAGAACAGATCATGTTACTCTAAAATGGAATGTTCGCCAGGCATATTTTGACTAGAGTAAACACAAATTTACTACAGAATCAAATAAATTAAATTTAAACAGACTATAGGAAGGAAGATAAACTGAACCCTTTTTTACACACATATACAAAGCAACCTATTTAGAATTAAATGGTGAATAAGAAAATTTTAACAATCAATTCACATTTGTTGTTCACGTTGGGTTAAATCATGATACTAGCAAATGACAGGATAACCAATACCATCAAGATAAAAAAAGATGATAAAGATGAGAACGGCAGTATCATGTAAATTGTTAATCATAAACAGTGCGTAGAGTTTGCATTTATTATATGTATTTCACAGTTATAAACATTAACATAATGAACTATTATGGATTTGTGATTTAATGATGAAGGGGGTAACGGTTGTTATGCTATTAGAAAGTGCTAAATCCAGTCTTTGTTGCAGTGAGTATAATTCATAGCTTAGTGGACGGAATTTTTAGGTGCTATTTGGTTTATAACTGTTTCTAGAATTGAACTGATTGCTAAAAAGCTTTTACTTTTGATAGGGTTGTCAAAAAACACTACTGTTTGTAAAAAATTAACACATTTTTCCTGTAGCTTAGATTAAACGATTGACTAGTCACGTGAGACATGAATAAACAAAATCAGTAAAACAAGTTAATGTTCAGCAACAATGAACATTTCGACAGCTTAGACTTCCCGGTCATAGCTTATGCTTTTTTTGATGAGTATAAAAGGGCTTATGATGGTTGTATAACTTTCATGGTTTACGTTACTAAGCGACATTAGCTGGACGACCGTTGGAAACTAGAAGGTTCTCGAGCACTGTTTCGTATAGTAGTCTACAAGCTAAACGCTCACCATCAAAACTAAAGGTCTTGGAGGTGCACTTCCGAGGAGTCGCATATCAGGATGAAACCATCTATCTATCTAAGATAAACTAACGATATAAATAATGAAAAATCCCTTTCTTTCAATAATTTGTATTAAAAAACAACAAAAGAAACTAATAATTACTTCAACTTCTTGACATTTTTTGATAAGTTCACTCTGTAGACTATTGACTTTCATTTTTAATTCTTGTATATTTTTGAGTAAAGAAACTGTATTTATCTTTGGCTGAGAATATAAATCACAAGATGTTGTTGGCATGTTGAATTGTTGCAAACTATCATTATGTAAATTAAATAACAATTCATTCATTTCTTTCTCAGTTGTTTCACAAAAATGTAACTTTTTTTCATAGTTTTCCTCTTTTATTTTCCAGATGGTTTTTTCTTGATTGAATCGCGATTCTAACTGAAGAAAGAAATATTAGAAATATATCGAAAATAATTGATTTAGGGTTTGAACGTATTAGAATACAATCCTTAATGCTAATAATTATAAGTAGTATAACAAAATTACGAAAATTTCTATTGCTGTCGGGCTAATTTAACAGACCTGATCAGCGAAAGATGTCTCGAGATTCACAAGAACCATTTGACAGAAATCATAAGTTTCCAATAACTTTTTAGTTAATATACAGCAAATTTTACATCAACATATGACACGTTAATATTTGATTTCGCCGTATATTTAAATGAGATAACATACAAGAACATAAGTATTCAATAATTTTCAAGCAGTTTCATCAGTCAAGATAGTTTATACGTTTATTTTATACAAATGTAACTCACTTCATAGTATAATTTTTTACTAACATCCAATTGTGCACTAAGTTTCTCAACTTCTAATGATGCATCTTTCCTGGCAGCTTGTTCAATTTCGAAATTGATCATTGTTGCTTTGATTTGTTCACGCAACTGATTATCATGTTCACTGATCAAATACTTATTTGAATTTTTCATTTCATCGATCTTTTCTTTGTACTGATTTAACAAACATTCTGTTTCTTTTAGTTGTGATTTTAAATGTGTACATTCAGATATGGCGTTTTCTTTTTGTTCACGAAGATAAGTAATTTCTTTATTGTGAATTTCTTGATCAATAGACTATAGAGTGGACAAGACAGATATGATTTCTGATATAAAAATGAATTCAAAATAAAAAACACATTGATTCAATGTACCAAAGACTATTTCAGTTGTGCCAGTCAACTCCACTGGGAATAAAAATATTCATATGACAAAAAATAATCGGGACAAAGAATTAAGGTACCTTAACCCTTATGACAAAATAGAGGTGATTCCATTTAAATTTTTTAAGTTGCCAGTTTTAGTCACCTTGGGTATTCTGATCGAGAAACAATAGATATCATAGATGAAACAAAACTATATCATTCCATTCTTCTATTCCACTGAAACCATATCTGTCAAAGCATTTTAAACTAGATTGTGGTGCGGTTGATGCTCTAACCACTTTATTTAACGTGGTCTTTCAATTTCATCGGTTAAATCATTTCGTCTACCGTGGATTCCGGAATGAATTTCAATGGTGCTAGTCTTATAATTGGACATTCCAAGAAAACGTGGATAGGCTGGTATTTACAGACTATCAAGTACGATAAAGGAAATCATGTGTATGGAATCTCTACAACGCCCATCCTAACAATATATGCATCACCTGAAGTTACACTGGGATAGAACAATCAATCATTCGTCAAGTCAATGGTAACATGGAATCATGAACATATATATCCATCGGTTCGTGTCACCATACCTCAATAATGAGATAAGGTGAGAAGTAGTAGCAGTATCAGTAGTAGTCGAAAAGATTAGATAGCGAAAAAAGAAAAATAGACATACTGAAATTAGAGGAATCAGGACTTAAGAGAAGATAAGGAGTGAACGTATCTCCACCACTGTATTTAGTAATTTATAGTAATATTACTACATTTAATATTAATTCAGCCGTACCTTTAATCTTTCAAATTCTTTTTGGATCAATTTGCTTAATTCGCCAGTTTGATTTCTAATAGATTCATTCAAATCCATTGGTAACTGGGTTTGACCTGCGAAACAAGTATTCTTATTCATTTGATTTGAATTATTTTCTAATTCAATGATTAATTTTTGTTGTGAGGCAATTTTTTCTTCAGCTGTTGATAATTGAGAACGAAGACTTGATAACTAATATTCAGAAAATGAAAAACAATTCCAATTTAATAGTAAGAACAAAATTCTTGATAAAAGTACATCAGGTTTTTTTTGTAACTGTTAGTCACTTAGTATATGCTATATTTAATATAGCTCTGTGCTCTCAAAGATAGTTGGTTCAAAGGCAAACATTAAATGTCATATTGAACAGCATCATTTACGTGCTGTTATTGTTGAAAACAACAAAGAAAGCCTCTCAGCTAGACTATTTACAGGTCAAAGAACGTAATGCCACTAAAAGAATCTACCCGAAAGATAAATCTTCATTTTGGCTTGTAGAAAACGAACAAAAACCAATGTGCAAGTAATATGAGTCTATCACCCTAAAGCATTAAGTGATTAACTCCAAGTTGTTTCATCACTCAACTATTTATGTAGATAATTACTTCGGAATATGTGGCATTGAACATACTATTCTATTATCTTCTCTCACAAGCACGTTTGCCATTTTAGTTTGAATTTTAAATGCGCAGTACTTCTTAACAATGTAAATTAAAACCAAATAAATCGACAAAAATCTCAAGAAGCTAAATTGAGGTTCATGAACGTTCAGAACTTTTTTTTGCACAAGTAAAGCTTGTTGTGGTATTACACAGGTAGCACGTAACCAAATTTCTCCTTCTGGTCAGAGTAAAGAAGATATTAGAGCAGATTAATACTTCAAAAGATGAACTTGCTTTCATGAATAATCGTTTATTTCCATATATAATTTGGATATTTTGATTTTACGTTGAGCAAAGTAAAACCAACATAATCATTTATCACATTACTTCTCTTTCACGTTAGGTAACATAAAACGGATTAAATGCATGCTACGTTAGATCAACTGTGGAAGAATATGCGAATAACTCGTCAAGTCTTAGTCAGCAACTTTATGTCCCTGTTCAGAGTCAGTTCAATCACTTTTGGATCTGTAAAAATATCGTCTGTAGATTTACCTCTATAAAAGTCTTCTCTCTATCTATACATGGGCTTTTTAGAAATTAGGAGTGAATGAAGTAGCTAAACTAAATACTAGATAATAAAAACATTTGACTTTGAATTAAATTGTTCGTTTAATCTTATTCAAATCTTTCCAGTAACAAAGTATATAGAACAATATTCATCCTTTCTTGTACTGTCCAGTTAAAGCTATTTTTTTACGAAAACCATTATTGTTCTACTGATTTTTCATATAAATTATTATTGATAATCAGTTGAGTTAACATTAATAGCTTTAAAGAATATTATATTCCACAAATTACACTTCTGATTGAAGGTTTGAAAATAAACAATTTGAATGGTGTGGTCAATTCAAGTTTCATGCAAACAAGTACATCCAAGAATGAATATAATCTGGACCTTCTTGTATGGTTAAGATGATTGTAAAAAGTAGCCAATTTCATATTATAATAAGAAAAACAATAGATCAGATCATAACAACACATAAAAAGCTTGAACTAAACAACAGTTCATAAATAACGTTGGTAATAATAAACTCCGAATGAAAACAAACTATTTCGATGAAGAAAAAAGGTGAATTTTTTGTGCGTACTGAGTCATTTATGAACAGAAAGTAACTTGTCACTTTTATCCACACTAAACCAATGATGTCTAGTAGAAATATACTGTCAAATTGAAAACTGTTGGCCAACCAACCGATTATTCATTATCAAGTTAAAAGACACTCAGCTCGTTATTATATACACATATGATAGTAAATGATTCCAAAAAAAAAAAAATAGAATACCTACAGTTGTAAAAACGATCAGTGATAATATCAGAAGTACCTGCTTTAAAAAATATTCTTTATCGATTTTCATTAGATGAATTTTTCTTCTGATAACTTGTAATTCAACAGAATCATCACTATCCCCAACAATATGTTCGTCACCATCAGCAATGTTACCGTCATTAATCCTAGTATCGATTTTCGCAACATGATCATAATTCTCTTTATCGAAACTGTACTGATTTGTAATTTGAGTTTGAGACTGATTTGATTGTTTTGCAGGCTGATTACATCTCATCAGTTGTACAGTTGAAAACGATGAGTTAGGTGATAATAAACTTGTATCAACAAATTGCACATGTTTACGATTAGTTTCTATGTTATAATTTTTATCAACCATATAATTATGATTACACATCTGTATAGAATAGGCAAGGGAGAAATTAGAAAATAATGAAGAGTATAAATGAAGAATGTTTGATGCTTTGGTGCAAAAGTGCACAATGATTTACTTTATACAACCTTTTGAAGATAAATATACACATTTTTTGTGAATAATACAAACTGAATTTTTATTAGCTAACTACCAAATATCTGTTAGTACACCCGTCTTTGAAACATTAAACGAACCTAGTTTCTCAAACCAAAGAATGTGTTATGGTGCCCAAACGAGTAAACTACTGTTTGAAAATTAAATGCATTAACTACGAAGCCAATAATGTACAAACTGAATGTTCAGTTAACATTATCTTTCACAATTTTAGATTCCATTTACTCAAATGTCTTCATCTTCTTGAGGTATGGTTTCATTATGGACTAAATCAACCAATGAACCACTGAAAAACACTGTTTCGTTCACATCTAATGAAACATCAGTTAAATTTTGCTATTCCTATTCAACATCAATGAAGCAACAAGCTTGGTGATTTAAATTTTACAAGCATCTCCTTGTTGTATGAAGAGTTTTTACAAAGCAAGACATTCCTAACTTCTTAAAAAGTTGATTTACGGTAAATGATTTATCGTACATTGAATCAATAAAGAAGGATACCTCAAGGATACCATGAGGACTGTCATAAACCTCATCATTATTGAACAGCTCGTTAAGAATACAGTGGAACTTGAAGACATTGTTCAATTACTGAAAAAAATCCGATGATATTTTGGTCTTTATGAAAAACAATAACCCTTCCAACAAACTGGTTTACTTCTTAAGGACTTCGAAAATCTATCGTCCAAGACTAAAATGGTTTTTGAAATCTAGTTAATTATTCGACAATTTTTTATAAGAAATTTCTAAGCCAAAATAAAGTTTGATTGATTCAGTACCAATCCAAAGAACTTTAAAATTTTTTAGGGTTATTAACTACAGATTCCTAAGTTAGACATCGCAAATAGTCAATATCGATAGGTTTAAGTGAATTTTCAAAAATATATCTTCAGAAATCAACACTACATAATATCACTGCCAAACTTTAGCAAATAACACAGTCGTTGGACAGTCACTTTTCTTATTTTATAGCAATTTCGTCAGTTGAATGAACTTTACTACTTGTCATCAATGTCAGTAGTTTAAGTCATAATCAACAACTTCTGAAATTATTCATGTACGATGTTACCTAATTATAATCAAAAGAAAATAATCAAACATTTACATTTTATACAATGCTTGAATCAATTTTCTACATTCAATTCCATTTAATCTCTCTTTAATACATTCTCTGTCTTTGATGTGCATTATTCCCCGACCGTAGATACAAAAATGACGTAGTGGTGGTGCTTGGAAATCGTGATAACCTAACCGAGCCATATTGGCTGGAACATGTGTTCCTGTAGGTTCTGAAATGCCTGGCAGGTCGACTGGAGAACAGTAAGACTAAAAGAAATTACTCAAAATCTGAACGAGAAGTATTACTGCTGACTATAGACAGGTGTGACAGCAGTCAGCTCCAACATGTAATTTAGTACTGAGTTTCAGGAGACCAGGAATAATGTTTCGTGAGCTCAAACCGTTTGCTTTAGCGGCGCAAGGTGACAAACAATCGAAGGAAGAGTTGGTCAAAGAGGAGGTGTGCAAAGAATTTGATTGTGACTGATTTTGTCTCGTGTACTTTTATGGGTGTTAAGGCAGATGTAACTTCCCGGCTGACCACACCGTAAAATGGTTCTGATTGGAAGAAGAGGCATCGGCCTCGAGAATTAAGAAGGAACTCGTCTTTCACCATGGGACTAACTCTTTTAGATTAAGACCTACTTACCCTCAGGGCAGAGCTTGGATGTTTTGAATTATTTTTTCTTGTTAGCGACTTTTTGTGGTGTAGGAGAAGGCTAGAAGAAAGTTAGGGGCAATCAAACCAAAACATGGTGCAAATCCATGAAGCTACTGACATTTGGACTGAACCACGGTAGTGAATTTAGGCTACTAGGTTGAGGTCCGCGAGACGATAGAAACCGATGGTTAGAGACTTTGAACGGCATATGTCAAAATTGTTTGCGATGGCGCAGGTGTACTGATTTTTTGTGTTCTCTCAAATTCTAATCTTCTGAATTCCTCATGACCGTGTTTAACTCTTTTCGATTTTCACTGGGATAGACTTCTTGAATAACATCTTCGAACCCTAATCTCTCCGACTACACCTAATGCTTTTAGTACCTCTACTACTATGGGATATCAACTAACAATTAAATCTCTGTGCTAATGTGGTCTGGCAACTTGAACTAGGTTAGACTCTTCACGAGCTCTACTTAGGCGTCTAAGTATAATGGAGGCTAACAATTTGGAAACAATATTATTCCCCTGTGATTGTCACAAGAAGACTTTTATCCTTTCATATAAATTGGGACGATCAAGGGTTGAGACCAGTCGGATGGGATTTCGTCCAGTTCCCAGATTCTACCTAAGATCTCAGTCAACCTAGTTGCTAAAACTGGACCACCATCCTTAAATATCTCAGGGGTCAGTCTATCAGGACCTGTAGCTCGCCTTCGCTTCAGATTTCCTAACTCTTTCTCAACTTCATAAAGCCAAGGGGGACTTACGTCGATTTGCCATTCAGGATGACTGGAGATCGTGGGCGACAGAAGTGTGGCTCGAGGCCAGTTGAACAGATCTCTAAAGTGTTCTGCCCATCGATCCAGTCTCCTGGATTGAGAATAAATAATAGTCCCATCATTTTCCGAGACAGTCTCACTTACACTAGGATTGCTAATACAAGTTTCCTTGATAAGTCGGAAAAGTTGTCTACTGTTGCCTATCGCTGCTGCCTTTTCCATCGCTCTTGCTTTCACCACCCACCACTGTTCACGGTCGTTGCGCAGGCTTTCTATCAGCCTGCGCTAAAGCCGACTTTGTTCTTCATTATGTTCAGAGCCAAATGGGATGAGTTTTCGGGCATCAATCATATCGGTGGATGCTGCAGAGATCCACAGCTTCAGCCTAGCCTTATGGTTATCCATACTGGCAGATATTAGTGCTGTTTCCACAGCCTTTCTGGTATCATTCCAACCTACTTCCAGACATGAATCGCTTAAATGGTCGCCTAACTCATTTTCTAGTTGTTCATGAAATATATTCTTAGCTTTATTATCATTAAGTAGAACCCTATGAGGCTTCACCATGGTATCTTTCCTACGCCCAGTAAACCTCAAACAAATACGAGCTCGCATTAGGGCATGATCTGAATCTAAACATGTGCTCCAGAACGAGCGACAGTCCTCTATCGAACCCCTCCATCGGTGTCTGATAGCGATGTGATCTAGTTCGGTCCAACGTTGAGACGAATTCAGGGGTCGCCAGTCAAGAAATATTTTACCTTATACTTAAACTTAGTATTTCCTAGAAATAAGCGGTTACACGAGCATAGTTGTTGCAGACGGTCGCCGCGACACCGTAAGGGATCCAGTCTAGGACAGCTAGTTCTGCACTACGACTCAATGCTATACCTGCACCAGCCAGACCCCTGGAAGCAGCATCAGGGCTACCGGATACACGAATAGTAAATCGAGCTGCTTCTTTATTTTGACAAGGTGAAACCAGATTAATGACTTTACCAGGATCCTGTATGCGCGTTTCCGAGATGCAGCAAACATCGATTGAGCGAGATTCTAATGTTCTAGCTAAGGAAGCCTGTTGCCCTATTTGACACAATGTACGTACATTAAATGCTCCAACATGTAGTCTAGAGCGGGGTTTCAGGAGACCAGAAATGACGTTTCGTGAACTCGCAAAGTTTGCATTAGCTGTACAGTGTGATAAATGAATGCGAGATTTAGTCGTGGAGATTAGAGAGGTATGTTTGGTTGTAGGAAGGATTTGATTTTGACCAATTCGGTCTCGTGTGCTGTTACAGGTATGAGGGCGGTTGTCACTTCCCGGCTGCCCACACCGTGGAAGGTTGTTTCTTGAGGGACCTGAAAAGGAAGATAGATTAGTGTTGGTCTTGGAGAACTGGGAGCGTGACCGCAGAGTACAAGGGACAACTGCTTGAGGCCGGTCACGCACGGCCCTTTTATGAAAGGTTTTTTGAGTATTAGCTCCGTTCTTAAAGGCCCCTAGTGGGCACCCTTACCCAAGGAGACGGAAATCCATGAGGTAGGGTGAGGTGTAACACTTGTAGGGTCGATCTTTTCTAACCCTTCCTTACTTCTGAGAAGGCAGCATCGCTGCAGATGCTGGTTGTCCGAGGGAAACACCTTAATGCTGTCACACCCCTCTGCAGTCAGCAGTACGACTTCGCCCTCAGACCTTGAGTAGCAGCTTTTAGTCTCATCCTTCTCCAATCGACCAGCCTGGCATGGTAGGACCTGCAGGAACATACGTTGCAGCCAATATCGCTCGGTTGGGTCATCACGATAGGCAAGCCCGACCACCACGTCAAGGTAGAAGCTTCGGTCCGGTTTGAGCGCACATACCATGATGTATTTCGTTAACTGGTAGTAACTGTGTAACACTACTGTGTTTTTCCGTTTTGTTTGAGGCGTGAATTTTAATTTATTGATTAATAAATTTTTAAAGAATGCAGTTGTCAAGATGGTGCCTTTAATCGTGTCAATGTCATCTGACCGTCATATTATTCAGTTTTTTAATAGGACATTTTGTGTTGCTTTTTTAACATCACTCTCTTATAAATCCCGAGATTTAATATCGACATCTTAAAAGTTAAATAATCGTTGGAGTAAAACAATAGAATAGATTCTTCAAACCTTCCATTTGTCGTCGTGGAGCACAACATCTTTCATCCCATATTCGGCTAAGTAAATATAGTAAATTGTAAAGCTCTTTAAAATGTTTCATAAAATTAATTTTTACTCTTTTCCACAATGAAACTTTTTTAAAATGATTATATAAAAGCTAAAAGTATAAAACCCAAATATATTAGAAATAAATCTACTAACTTGTGAGATAAAGCTAAAAAATTTATGTAGCCATACTTTCACCAATTCTAAAGTTGACAAATTGTTCACAGACTTGCTGCTTAACGCGTCAAAATCTTTTGAAGTTAACGATGAATAACTACTGACATTTATTTGGTTTATATCAATGTTTTCTAGCTTCTTAGGTAGTTTGGTAAGCAGAATTTCGCGTATTGAATTCAGTTGACTATGTAATTCCTCATTTTCATTCAGTAAACGTCGTTTGCATGCTATAGCTTCAGCAAGATCAGCTTTTAATTCACCGGATTCAGTCGTAGCTTCCACAAGTGCATCGTAACGAGCTGTGGCCAGATTCAGTCTAATTGACAATGTTTTAATTTGTTCCTTAACCAGAATACAAAACTGGCGAAAGTCAAACATGCATCTCGTAGCAAAATTTAAAAAATTGCAAATGTGTTTATTAATTTACATATTAATTTATATATATTAGTCAATATATTTTAAGTTAACTCCGCCAGTAGAACCTTCAGGGCTACTGCCGGTCACAAGCCCGGATAAAAGAGGAGGGTTGGACATAGGTTGGCGACCCCATTCCGTCAAAAACTAACTTGCCAAAAAAACGCTAACCAGAAAAAATAATTTAAACCATTTTAACTCTGCCCTGGGAGTTGGAAGAACAATTATGACGTCGCGTGATGAAAGCCGAGTTCCCTCGGAAGTCACGGGGCCGATGTCTCTTCTGAAAACCAGAGGAGCCATTTTTTTAGGTACATGGAACGTTCGAACATTGTGGGAGACTGGAAGACTATTTCAAGTTGCGGCAGAAATGAAAAGATACAACCTCGAGGTGCTCGGCATCAGTGAAACGCATTGGAAACAGGTAGGAAAAAATAGACTAGCTTCAGGGGAACTGCTGTTATACTCTGGTCATGAAGAGGAAAACGCTTCACATACACAAGGAGTTGCACTGATGCTGTCCAAACATGCACAAAAGGCACTGATAGGATGGGAATCTCATGGACCCAGGATCACTAAGGCATCCTTCAAAACAAAGAAAGAGAACATTACAATGAACGTCATCCAATGTTATGCACCTACCAATGACTTCAGTGATGACGTTAATGATCAATTCTACGAAAGGCTGCAATCAATCGTCGAGAAATGTTCATCAAAGGATTTGACGATTCTTAAGGGAGACCTAAATGCGAAGGTTGGCATGGACAACACTGGATATGAAGACATCATGGGACGACATGGACTGGGAGAAATGAAAGAAAACGGTGAGAGATTTGCAAACCTATGTGCCTTCAACAAACTGGTCGTCGGTGGCACAATATTCCCACACAAACGCATTCGCAAAGCCACATGGATTTCACCGGACCACACAACTCAAAACCAAATTGACCATATCTGCATCAACAAAACGTTCAGAAAGACTATGGAGGATGTGAGAACCAAGAGAGGTCAGTCAGTCAGTCAGTCAGTCAGTAAGTTGCAACGTAGAACTTCGTACGTAAGTACATCAGTTCATGTTGCCATACCACATCAGCACAGAGATGTAAATGTCAATTCAAATCCAATAGTAGAAGAGGTAGTAAGGGTATTAGAAGTAATCGGAGAGGTGAGGATGAGAAAATATTATTCAAGAAGTATGATTAAATGAGAAAAGTTTAGAAAGTCAAAATTAGAGGTGTTGAAGAATCCAGAAGATTAGGATTTGAGAGAACACAAAGAATAAATGCAACGGCGCCATTGCCAACGATTTTGAGCCACGTCATTCAAGGTCTCTAACCATCGATTATTATCATCTCGCGGACCCCAACCAGGTAGTCGACAATTACCGACATGGCTAAGTCCAATCGTCAATGACTTCATAGATTTCTGCCATGTTTTGGTTTGGCCGCCCCTGACTTTCTTCCAACCTATTCCTACACTACAAAACAAAGCTCGACGAGGCACTCGGTGGTTGGGCATACGTAACACATGTTCCAACCACCTCAACGGATGAAGTGTCACTACTGCTTCTATTGATCTGCCATTCTTACCTAGCACCCGATTCCTAATAACAGCGTTGCTGACTCGGGTGTCCCACGATATACGAACAATGCTTCGAAGACACCTATGATCGAAAACCAGTAACCTACGAATATCTTCTACTCTCACTGGCCATGTTTCACAGCCATAAAGTAAGACGGAGCGAACTACTGCGCAGTACACTCGTCCTTTGGTTAGCAAACGGATATCTCGCCTACGCCATAAGTGACGCAGGTTGGCAAAAGCCAATCCAGCCTTCTGTATCCGAGCTGAGATTTCATCAGTCACCAGGCCATCGGCACTGATGAGACTCCCCAGATAAGTGACGCGGTCAACACGTTCGACTACTTCACTCCCTATCACTAGTTCCGGTGCCGATGAAACCCAATCTTGAAGCAACATTTTGAATTTCGACGGGGAAAACCGCATCCCGAACATGCTTGCATTGTTGCTTAGGGTAGTCAGAAGACTCTGCATTTTGTTAGCGTCTTCACCAAGTAGGACTATGTCATCGGCATATTCTAAGTCAATAAGCGAGCCTCCTGGTAATAGGTCTAATCCTGAAAATTCAGACGAGGATAAGGTTATTTCTAAGAGCATGTCTATCATAAAATTAAACAAGAATGTAGAAAGTGGACATCCCTGACGGACACCACTTGAGGTAAAGAATTCCGGTGACAGTTCGCTATAAGCTCTCACTCAACCAGTGGTGTTCGAGTAGAGAGCTTGTATAAGGTTAATGTACTTCTTTGGTACACCTTTCAATGACAGACACTGCCACAGAACCTCACGATCCTTTGAGTCAAATGCCGCTTTTAGGTCCAGGAAAACAACTATTGTAGGACGCCTAAACTTGTTTCTGTGTTCCAGGATCAGTCGTAGTCTGGTGACATGGTCTATACAGCCACATCCAGGTCGAAAACAGGACTGGTTTTTTTCGAGTTTGCTCTCCACGAGCTTTCGTGATGACACGAGATTCTAAAGTCTTAGCTAATGATGCCTGTTGCCCTATTTGACACAATGTACGTACATTAAATGCTCCAACATGTAGTCTAGAGCGGGGTTTCAGGAGACCAGAAATGACGTTTCGTGAACTCGCAAAGTTTGCATTAGCTGTACAGTGTGATAAATGAATGCGAGATTTAGTCGTGGAGATTAGAGAGGTATGTTTGGTTGTAGGAAGGATTTGATTTTGACCAATTCGGTCTCGTGTGCTGTTACAGGTATGAGGGCGGTTGTCACTTCCCGGCTGCCCACACCGTGGAAGGTTGTTTCTTGAGGGACCTGAAAAGGAAGATAGATTAGTGTTGGTCTTGGAGAACTGGGAGCGTGACCGCAGAGTACAAGGGACAACTGCTTGAGGCCGGTCACGCACGGCCCTTTTATGAAAGGTTTTTTGAGTATTAGCTCCGTTCTTAAAGGCCCCTAGTGGGCACCCTTACCCAAGGAGACGGAAATCCATGAGGTAGGGTGAGGTGTAACACTTGTAGGGTCGATCTTTTCTAACCCTTCCTTACTTCTGAGAAGGCAGCATCGCTGCAGATGCTGGTTGTCCGAGGGAAACACCTTAATGCTGTCACACCCCTCTGCAGTCAGCAGTACGACTTCGCCCTCAGACCTTGAGTAGCAGCTTTTAGTCTCATCCTTCTCCAATCGACCAGCCTGGCATGGTAGGACCTGCAGGAACATACGTTGCAGCCAATATCGCTCGGTTGGGTCATCACGATAGGCAAGCCCGACCACCACCTCAAGGTAGCAGCTACGGTCGGGGAACCAAGAGAGGAGCTGATATAACATTAGATCACCACTTGCTGATTGCCAAAATAAAACTGAAACTAAAGAAGCACTGGACAACGGGACAGACAACATCACAGAAGTTTAATACGGCCTTTCTTCGGGATACTGTAAAGCTCAACGAATTCAGGATAGCCCTCACCAACAAGTTCCAGGCCTTACACGATATACTCAATGGAGAGGACGCAACATTGGAGAACAATTGGAAAGGGATTAAAGAGGCAATCACTTCAACATGTCACGAAGTTCTAGGTCACAAAAAGTACAATCACAAGGAATGGATCTCTGTTGATACTGTTGCAAAAATTGAAAAAAGGAGGAACAAGAAGGCAGCAATCAATGTCAGCCGAACAAGAGCAGAGAAAGTTACCGCACAAGCTGCATACACAGAAGCAAACAGGGAAGTGAAGAAGAGCATCAGAGCTGACTAACCGAAATATGTGGAAGGCTGCAAGAGACGGAAACTTGAGACAATTGTACGAAACAACAAAGAAGCTCGCCGGAAATTATCGTAAACCAGAACAACCAGTGAAAAGCAAGGAAGGCAAAATAACCAGCAACACTGAAGAACAGCGAACTAGGTGGGTACAGCACTTTCATGAACTCTTGAATCGACTAGCTCCACTGAACCCACCCAACATCGAAGCAGCATCCACGGACATCCCAATTAATATTAGCGCACCTACGGTTGAGGAGATCAGTATGGCCATCAGACAAATCAAGAACGGCAAAGCAGCAGGACCAGACAACATTCCAGCGGAGGCGATGAAAGCAGACGTAGAAGCAACCGCGAAAATATTTCACATCCTCTTCAAGAAGATTTGGGATGAGGAACAAGTACCATCAGATTGGAAAGAAGGATACCTCATCAAAATACTAAAGAAAGGCGATCTCAGCAAGTGTGAGAACTACAGAGGCATCACTCTTCTTTCAATACCAGGCAAAGTCTTCAACAGGGTATTGTTAAACAGAATGTAGGACTTCGTAGACGCCCAACTTCGAGATCAACAAGCTGGATTTTGTAAGGGTCGATCATGTACTGACCGAATCGCTACATTACGGATCATTGTGGAACAATCAATAGAATGGAACTCACCACTCTACGTCAACTTCACCGACCACGAGAAAGCATTCGATAGCGTGGATAGGAAAACACTGTGGAGGCATCTCCGACACTATGGTGTGCCTGAGAAAATATTCGACATCATACGGAATTCTTATGATGGATTCAACTGCAAAATCGTGCACGGAGAACAGCTAACAGACTCTTTCGAGGTGAAGACCGGTGTGAGGCAAGGTTGCTTACTCTCACCCTTTCTCTTTCACCTGGTGATCAACTGGATTATGAAGACGTCAACAAATGGAGGGAAGCCCAATATTCAATGGACAGCTAGGATGCAGATGGACGGTCTGGACTTCGCAGATGATCTGGCTCTTCTGTCGCACGCGCAACAACAAATGCAAGAGAAGACGACCAGTGTAGCAGCAGCCTCTGTGGCAGTAGGTCTCAACATACATAAAGGAAAAAGCAATATTCTCCGATGCAACACAACATGCACCAACCAAATCACTCTTGATGGAGATGCCTTGGAGGACGTTAACACCTTTACATATCTGGGCAGCATCATCGACGAGAAAGGTGGATCCGATGCAGATGTGAGGGCGCGGATCGGCAAAGCAAGGGCTGCATTTCTACAGTTGAAGAATATCTGGAACTCCAAACAACTTTCAACCTAAACCAAAATCAGGATTTTCAATACAAATCTCAAGACAGTTCTACTGTATGGAGCGGAAATGTGGAGAAATACGAAAGGCATCATCCAGAAAATACAAGTGTTTATTAACAGTAGTCTACGCAAGATACTTCAGATTCGTTGGCCAGACACCATCAGCAACAACGTACTGTGGGAGAGAACAAACCAGATTCCAGTGGAGGAAATCAGGAAGAAGCGGTGGAAGTGGATAGGACACATACTACGAAAAGCCCCTAACTGCGTCACGAGACAAGCCCTCACGTGGAACCCTCAAGACAAAAGGTAAAGAGGAAGGCCAAGGAACACATTACGCCGAGAAATAGAGAAAAATATGACAGGAATGAACAAACATTGAACAGAACTGGAGAGGGAAGCGCAGGACAGAGTTGATTGGAGAAGACTGGTGGGCGGCCTATGCTCCATCAGGTGCGAAAGGCGTAAGTAAGTAAGTAATATATTTTAATTAATATAAAAAGGCATCAAAAAGAGTTTAAGAATAAAAAGTTCAAAGTTCATCTACATAAATCTTTCAGTTAAAATCAAAAATTGTATGTATGACAGTAATAGCCAATGTCTAACTCTTACTGCTCTGTCAATTATTTGACAAATGGAAAACAAAACCAAGAACTATGTTTTTAGTCTTGAATCTTAAGTGACTATGTTGAAACAGTACAATTTTCAAACAATGAAGAAATCGATCGTCGTTAACCGAGAAAAACGGTTTATAGTAACAAAATTAGGTAGATACTGAGGACTTAGGACAATTTCATAATGAATTCTTACTTTTAATGAGTCGGAAGAAGGCTAAAAAGGCATGGTGTTTTAGATTCCTGGATACAGAAGTATTTTTAAATCACAAAAGTATATTCTATAGCTGCTTAAACTGTATTCATTGCTAAATGGAGTAAGGGGTTAGCGACAAGAGCATTCAATACATAATCCTCAGGTTTTACTTAATTCGAACTTTGTATCTAGGTATTAGCCCTAACCCTCACACAGACTGCACTTATTGAGGTCAACCAAACAAAGGTGCACTATGTTAGGAAATCACGTTGCAGATTTAAAAATGGCTTCATGGTAAAACTAGAAGCACCGAAACTTTTTTTTGAAGCTTTTAAAACCGAATTTCAGAAAACAAGCTCACTAGGCCTGCTATCGACCCTTTTAGAAGACAGGGTATACACGTCAGTGTGCTCAAAAAAAGCTGAAGTGTATATCACTTTCGTTCTATCTAAAGACGAAAAACTTCACAAATGGGAATAGTTTTGCTGCAGTTAACTCGTATGATTGTTCTGGAGTCTACCATGTGATGTTTTTTTTTATAAAACATGAAGGCGAATTGCTAAGTGTAAAGACAAGTTACATGAATTTATGGAAGAGTTAACAGCAATATTATACTAGCTTAATTTAACATTAAAAAGTTTTCCTTGACTAAAAAATACATCATCAGTAATATGCTGTTGTTTAAAGTGATGATAAACAATCATAATTTAGAGAACGTAAGAATCCCGAACAGTTCTTCAGGTATGACCAAATAATAATACAGTATTTTCCAAAAACGAACTAACCATGAGTTCATCTTCTCTGGCTTTTGAGAGATTTTTAGTATTTTGTAGTGTTACTGCGTCATTTATAAAACGCGTTTGTAACATTCGCATTTCATGCTTCAACTTTCCTTTAGAGATAGTTTCAGTCGTCAAATCCTCCCCGGTATCGGAAATATCTCCATTCAATATAGAGTTCAGAATTTGTGCCTGGAAATGACTTGAACTATCCACTGTTGTTTCTGAGGAATCTTTCATTTCAGGCGGGCTCATATTTTGTTGTGGATTTTAAATAGACGCCAACTGGACAGTCAAGTAAATACAACACGTAGCTCAATAAAACCAAAGCCTGTGATTGTACAAAAAATACACTAGATAATAAAACGCCATAAAAGTGACAAAAAGTATTTTTATGACTTCATTCTAACCTGATTAGTGGTTTTCCGGGTTCACTTCGATCCTGGAGGAATTTTTACGAACTGACGAACTCTATGGAAGTGTGAATGTGTGATTCTAAGGTTTTTAAACTTATAACACTTTCCTTGCTCGGTCTTTAGAGAAGTCTGAAGAGCTCAGAGATTCGGGTGTGACCAGAAGAGTAAGACTCATACAATTGCTTCATTTACAAATATATACTGTCACTCAGACATACAGTAAGTTAGTGATTTATATGATAAGGAATTTCATACCTTCTCATTAACATATCAATAGTACCAAATAACCCACTATTCCTTTATCTTCGGATCTTAAACTTTAATGTTCAGTTTACTTTTACTGAAGCCGTGATTTTGGACTTGCATTCAATGTTGTCATGTGCATTTTGCGAATAGTTTTAATATTCTCTATCATTATTTTTACCACAGGCTGATACAATAAAATAAGGTGATTTATCTTGTTCAGTTCTTCTTGGAATCCGACCTACACTATAAAAAGTCATCAGGTGCATCATACATACTGTATGACTTCGGGTTTTATTAGGCTACTTAGTCGAAAAAGAGAATTAAATGTATTGTAATGTCGTGAACAGAAGGTTACAACCCTGCCAGTGTGAAGCACCGCTAACTGAAGATAATGGACAAAGTCTTACGAAACTGTTAATGTCGTCGAATGTTGACTCAGTGCTCTAGATGTTGAGCGTTCATCCTGGATCCAGTTCCTGCCCACTAAACGGCATTCCAGTTTTTCTTAGTTCTTAATTTTGATTTAACACTGATCGATACATAGTTTCAAAGTAACATAACAATATTCAGAACCCTATAATTAGAAAATAAATATTATAATGTGTCGAATTTGGCTACCAGCATCCTAATAGTAACAGAATAATCAAACCGGCCAATGAACACCTACACCATGTTGATTCACTTATAAAAATGGCTTTACTCAGTGAGTATTAGACAAAGGTGTTAGAAGTGACACCGTCTTTGTCGATCAGCTGACAACAATCTCCCTGTACAAACGAAACGGGAAACGCTAATAAATCATTGGATATGTATTTTAGGCAGACGGCAATATTACTTCCGAAATCGAGTCTCATAAAGTTAACTGATAGAGCAGCAAGTAGATCCAGGCATCTCTGCATTTAATTCAGCAAACTTTGCTTAGGTTGTTATCAGTTTTTCCGCCTGCATGTAAACTATCATGTTTCAATTTCGAAGCATCAAATAACTTCCAGATTTGTTAAAATTCCCACATAACTGCATAAATGTACGTAACCATTGAAAGTTTTCAACCTCAGAAGATTTTCACTATTGATATAATATATCTGTTGTGTTAGATGCATAACTTAGCAGCCCGCTAACAACTGAATGAATAAATTAGTGATTTTTCATATACTAGTTCCAGCCCGCTTAGTTCTACTGGATCCGTTCATTTCTGGAGATGTTTCACATTACGTTCAGAACAGAATTCTGAGTACCCTTACGACATTTAGACACCCTGCTTGGAATAGAAATTCATAAGCCAATAATCACCTAATTATATCGTCCAACAGACAAAAAAATGACTTTTACTTTTGCTAGTTTCAACTAAATTCGTAACCAAAGTTCTCAGTGACACTATGCTTCTTTCTTTAAACATGTGCTATGTTCAAAAGTTAGGTGAGAGTTTTTGATTTCCCCCGGTTAGTGCTGACACATATATTTGTAAAATGATTCTGAATGTTATTTTACCGCAAATGTAAAAGATATGTATGACATTTAAAGAGACGGCTTCTTTTAGCTTTTTCACCATGCAACACTCTTGTTCCATGCATCATGTATATTTTTTATTCGTATTCTTAACATTTGGACGCTGGTTCCAGTGTGCTTTAGTGTAGGGCTACAAACTATAGAAACTCCTCCTGCAGTCCTACTAAGAATACTGCCGGTCCCAAGTTCGGATAAAGTAGTAAACTTTGGAATGGCGTTGGCGTCCCCATCTCTTAGAAAACTAACGCGTAAAAACGCTAAGAAAGTGACCTCAGTTCAGATAATATTACCTGCGCCCTGAGAGTTAAAAGGTGTTTATTCAGCAGAGTTATGACGTCTCATGATGAAAGCTGAGTTTCTTCAGAAGCCATCAGGAGGATGCTGTCTCTGACATTTAGGTGTCTGAAATGTCATAACAATGTGGAAGCCCGGAAGACTATGAAAACATAAAATCTGGAGGTTCTTGGGGTCAGTAAAACACATCGGATGCAGGTTTGAAAACTAAGAGCTGCTGAAGAAAATACCTCTCACTGATGCTGTCGAAACAAAACACAAAAGGCAGTGATAGGATGGGAATCTCATGGACTCTGGTTCATTAGGCAAATTTCATAATAAAGAATGATGGCGATATAATGAACGTCATTCAGTGCTATCCACCTACCAACGAAAACGATGTAGATTTTAAAGATTATACGACAAGCCGGAGTTCGTAGTTGAGATACGACCAACGAAGGACTTGATGATTTTAGCGGGAGGCCAAAGGGTCTAGGTTTTACTGGACAGCACTGGGTATGCCGACATCATTGGACGACAGAGAAAGGGAGAGGGGAACGAAATGGTGGATGAGTTACAAACCTATGTGCATTCAACAAACTAGAGATCGGTGCTAGAATATTCCCACACAATCAAGTACACAAAGCTACATGGATTTCACCGGATCACACTACTCAGGACCAAATCGACCATACCCGTATCAATCAAAAGTTCGGAAGGACGATGTGAGAATCAAGAGAGGAGCTGATATAGCCTCATAACATTACTAAGCGCTAAATGAATCTGAAGAAGCACTGGAAAACAGGGCGGACAGCATCACAAAAGTATATTACTGCCTTTCACAGGGATACTGACGAACAACGAATTTAGGATAACTCTGAGCAGTACCGTTTCGAACTTTTCACGACATAATCAATGGTAAGTAAACTAATATAGCGAACGATTGGGAAAGGGTTAATGAGGAAAGCACCCTAACATGTCGAGAGATTTTGGGTCAAAAGAAGTAGCATCACAAGCAATGAATCTTTGTTGGTACCCTTGAAAATATTCAAGAAGAAAGGAACAAGGAGGTAACTGTCAACATCAGCTGAAAGAAAGCAGAGAAAGCAAAGGCACGAATTGAACACAGAAGCAAACAAGCAGGTTGTGAAGAGCTCCAGAGCCGACATACGTAAATATGTGAAAAATCTGGCATCGTGGGCGGAGAAAGATGCAAGTGAAGGAAGAGTGATACAACTGTAAGATACAACGAAGAAGCTTGCTGGAAATTTTCGTAAACCAGAACGACCAGTAAAAAGCAAGGAAGGCAAAGTAATCAACAACGCTGAAGAACAGCGAAACAGGTGGGTAAGGCACTTTGAAGAAGTCTTGAATCCACCAACCCCACCAGACACACCTTACATCTTAGCAGCATGCACAGCTCCACCTAAAGTTGAAGAGATCATCATAGTCATCAGAAAAATCAAGAGAAACAAAGCAGCTGGACCAGACAACATTCCAGTTGAGGCAACGAAAGCAGATGTGGATGTTACTGCAAAAATATTCTTCACTTTCTTCAAAAAGATTTTGGATGAAGAACAAATGCCGATAGATTTGAAAGAAAGACGATCTCACCAAGTGTGAGAACTACAGAGTCATCACTCTTCACTCAAAACTAGGTAAAGTCTTGAACAGGCCGTTGTTTAACAGAATCAGGACTTCGTAGATTCTCAAACTTAGAGACCAACAGACTGAATTCCATCATTATCAGTCGTGTACCAACCAAATTGCAACACTATGCATCATTGTGGAACAATCACTTAAATGGAATCCACCACTCTATATCAACTACATTGACTATGAGAAAGCATTTGATAGTATGGACAGGACAACACTATGTAGGCTTATTCGACACTATGACAGATTAAACTGCAAAATCGTGCAAGGAGAACAGCTGAGGGGTAATATGGTATACAATAGACAGCTTGGATGCAGCCGGATTATCTGAACTTCACAGACGACCCATATTTCCTATAGCACACGCAACGACAAATGCAAGAGAAGTTGATAAATGTAGAGATAGTCTCAACATCAGATAGTTACAATTTACATCAAGTGAAAAGCGAGATTCTCGGACTCAACACAACATGCGTCAACCAAATCCCAAATACCTGCCACAGAAAACTGTTTAAATATGTACATCTTTTAAATGGTGGCTTTCGTAGTCAACCAAGTTTCGTCTCGATACCAAGGAAAGTTTGTGTTCAGAATTTTGACTTTGATGTTGGTTGATAGACGTTTTTATTTCCGGAACTTCTTCAGTTGTAGAAACCCTGTCGTTGTTCTACCTTCCCGTTGGCATCATATCCACTTTGTTTATGATGGTTGCTGCCTAGATATGTAAAGGTTTCCACATCTTACAGAGCTTTTCTGTCAAGTGTTATTTGGATTGTGCTCACAGATTTGTGTCAAATATTCTAACTTGACGTGCGCACGTTGAGGCTTGTCGCCGTTTAAACTGGCTGTCTTCCCGTGCTTCCCTCGAGACGTATTCCTGACCACAAGGAGGAGTGAGTAAACATTGTTGCCTGACATTGATCTTCAGCTAGAATGAGTCGTAAGAATTCCATATAATGTTGACTACCTTTTCAGGTACACTAAAGTGCCGAAGAGGTTCCCATAATTTCTCCCTGCCAACGCTGCCGAATGATTTTTTGCAGACAATGGGATTGGTTTGGTGTAATGAGCTTCACTCAGTTGGTTACTTGACAATAATCCGTCGTGTCAGATATTTCGCAAATTATCGATTTACGATATGGTTTTCCGATTTTACTGAGTAACTCTGTAATTTTCGTTAAATACAATTCAGTTTCCCCACCTGTGTTCTCCTTCACTACATTTGGTGTCGCTGCCTACACAAAGGATAAAGATTCCACGGCCGAGGGAGTTTGAGGCCGTGGCGGAGCTGGTGGGGGTGAGAGAACCGAAGGCAAAGTTAGTGCTGCTGAGAGGAAGGGCGATGGCCGTATATGACAGCTTGGACGGTGCTGGCGGGAAGACGGTCATTGAGCGGCTGATGGCCGAATTCGACAGCCCGGTGGACAGGGAGGAGGCGTTGCGGAAGTTCCGGTTGGCGAGGCTGCCGGCTGATGGTGACCCACTGGTGCTTGCTGTGGAGCTCACAAGGTTGCTGCGCCGTGCGTTGCCGAATATCGATGAGGAGTCGGAGGCACAATTGTTGGCGTCACAATTTATTGAGTATGCCTGCTGCCGTCCCAGCAGCTGAGATTAGTAAATGCAGCACAACCTATGGACATCGGTGAACTGGCGAAGGTGACTCGTCAGCTGATGAAACAAACAGTAGCTCCGGTCGGGTGCAAAAAGCAGGAGATAAATACCTTCGAGAAGACTGAGGAGTTAGAGCGTGAGATAGCAGCATTACGAGTGGATCATAAAAGGAACGATAAATGTTACGCTTGTGGAGAGGCAGGAGTCAGTGTGTTTGATCGATACAGGGGCAGCTACATCGTTAATAAGCAAAGAACAATGTAAGACAATAAAACCATGTACATTAGCTGTCCACACCATAGGAGGGCATATGCTAGAGGTGTTGGGGGTATCTAACAGTATTGTAAAAATGAGTGGAGCTGAGAAAAATTTTCCGTTTGTGGTAACCACAAGCTTATCGAGACCGATATTAGGACCAGATTTCCTAAGAGAGGTAAAAGCGATGATTGACTTGAGAAGCGGTAAAATGGTCACAAAGTACGGTTCATTGCCAATACACGAAAGTAGCGAAGTGGCTGAAATAAGGATGACAACGGACGTCTCGACCAAGAAACCAGACATTAACGAGTTATGCACAAAGTATGCGAAACTGTTCACTGGAGATGGGGAGCCGTATGGATTTTGTGGAAAAGTAAAGCATGAAATTCCTATAAAGAACGACCGAATAAATATATTTACAACACGTCGTGTCCCGGTGCATTTAGAGGCCGAGGTAAATCGACAGGTCCAGGAAATGTTGAAGGAAGGGATAATTGAGGAAGCAGACAGCCCGTATAGCTCACCGATCTCTTGGTAAAGAAACCCAATGGAAAGTATAGATTTTGCGTCGACTTTAGAGAACTGAATAATATAACAGACCTGAAACCATGCGCAATGCCAACAGTAGTAGAAACATTAGATCCGCTACAGAATGCCACGGTGTTTACAGTGCTGGATTTACGGTCAGGTTATTGGCATCTACCTATAAAAGATAGCGATCGCAACAAGACAGCATTTACTATACGGGATAAACAGTATCAATTTAAACGAATGCCGTCCGAGTTGGCTGGTGCACCGTTCACGTTCAGAAGATTGATGACGCTGCTGCTTAAGAATCTAGATAATGTTGAGGTATATGGCGACGATGTAGTTGTACACAGCCTGACGGAAACAGATCACGTCAAGCATGTAGAAGCGGTCTTAAAGCGAATTGACGAATTTGGGCTTCGAATTAATAAGGAAAAGTCGCAGATAGCGAAAAACAGCGTCATATTGTTGGGACATAAAGTGGGAAATGGAGAAATAAAGCCATTACCAGAGAAAATTCTTACCATAAAAAATATTGCAGTACCTAATTCGAAAAGGAAGTTGAGACAGTTCCTGGGAAGAGCGGCGTTCTATAGTCGGTTTGTCAAGAATTTCAACGAAATAGCAGCGCCCTTATATAAGTTGCTAAGCGACACCAAGTTTACGTGGACTGGGGCTGCCGAACAAACGCTCGACCGAATCAAAAACATGCTAGACGACCGTCAGATGACGCTGCGACTGCCTGAACCCGGGAAACTGTATACAATGGCCACAGATGCAAGTGATCATGGTATAGGTGCGGTATTGAGTCAGGCTGATAGAGTGCTGGAATACGCAAGTCACGTTCTCACACCCGCCGAGCAGAAGTATTCAACGATCGAAAAGGAGTGCCTGGCAAACGTGTGGGCAGTAGAAAAATGGAGACCGTACCTTTTAGGTAGACGATTTCACATTGAGACTGACCATAAACCCCTGCAGTGGTTGAGAACAGCAAGAGACCCCCGAGAAAAGTTGGGGCGGTCGATAATACGTCTGCAAGAATACGACTTCAGTATAGGCCATGTTCCAGGAAAAGAAAACGTAATGGCGGATTACTTGTCAAGATCAGACATGGAAGATGACCTTCCAGTGACACCATACGCGGTGAGTAGTTTAGATGGAGACCCATTAGAACTCATCCGGCGACAGAAAGCTGACCCGAACTTTTGAGAGGTAATCAGAGTGATAAAAGAAGGAGAAGACGTAGACAAACGAACGACGGTCAAGGAGGTAATAATGTTACTTAGGCAAAAGGAACGACTGAAAGTGAGCGCATATGGAGTTCTGACCTGGCAGGACGATGACAAAAATTGGGTGGCTGTAATCCCGAAAGACTGGCGGCGTAAGATGATAGACGAGTGTCACCAGGTAGCACATACAGGCATCGCAAGAACGACGGATTTATTACGACAAAGTGCATACTGGCCGGGCATGAGAGACGATGTGGCTCAATACGTGTTAACTTGCCAGCAGTGTCAACTAATGAAAAGCGATAGATACACACAACCGCCATTACAGTCGATTCCAGTAGCCGCAGTCGGTGGATATAATGGGACCTTTTCCACAGACGGCGACCCGTACCTGCTAGTAATGACGAAGCATGCTACACGCTGGATAGATGCTGTACCCATTGCCGACCAGCGGGCAAGAACAGTGACCGAAGTGGTGATCCGGCATATTGTAGCGTGCCACGGAATACCGAAAATGATATTAACGGACCAGGGTCCCTGTTTTGAAAGTGACGAGTTTAAAGACCGTCTAAAACAGTTTGGCATCAAGAGGACACGAAGTACACCGTATCATCCTCAGACAAACGGGCTTACAGAGAGAAACAACCGGACGTTAAAGGAATGGTTAGCATCTAAAGGAGGAGATTGGGAGAAAGAGTTACCACTGATTTTGTTGGCGCATCGTTCCTCCATACAAGGAACAACCAAGAAATCACCCTTCTCGCTCATGTATGGCAGACAACCGCAACTTCCATTGCACAATAAGACCTGGCCACAACAACAAGTTTAAGAAAAGAGAGGAGAGAGGCAATCAGGAACGTGGCAAAAGAAACAAATATCAGACATAAAGAAGGCGGAACAACAGAGGAGAACGTGGAAACCTTTTGCAGTGGGGGACCTAGTAAAGTGTAGAGAACAAAAAAGTAGTATGGCAGGGGGATCAGGGTGGGGAAAGCTGATCCCAAAGTGGGACGGACCGTACGTTATCACGGAGAGACGCGGCGCGGTGTACACGATCCGGCGAGAAGACAAGCAGAAGCGCGTAAATGCTAGTCAACTGCAGAGATGGTTTCAAGATTATCCAGTGTATGAGTCACGAAAAGCACCAAAGACAGCGGTACGGCGATCAGAAAGACTACGACGACAGCTTATTAAAAGGGGGGACGAGTGTGGTGCTGTGGTGCGAGCTACTTATAAGTAGTATATGACGTGAGCGTCAACGCAATGTCTGGCAGCAGAAGATGGTGGGAAGATCAAGAAAGGAAGAGTTAGAAAACTATGGAATTTGTATGAAATGCATGAATAGTGACAATGGATTGATGTTTTGCAACAGGAACAGTCCAGTCCAATATGATGAACTGATATTTTGCAAATTAACGTTTTACGATATGGTTTTCCGATTTTACTGAGTGACTCTGTAATTTTCGTTAAATACAATTCGGTTGCCCCACCTGTGTTCTCCTTCACTACAACTAAAAGATCTACCATATACTATTCATCACGATATAATTAATATCAGAAAATTTGAGAGTTGAATACTTTTGAAAAGATACGTATATACTGGAAGGCTAAACAGGGTAAAATATCTTCAAGTAAATAACACAAACAAATCATATTATTTGTCACAGAATATATAGTTTATCCAAAACGATCTGATTTGTGATGAATACACACATAATTATGACATATTTGGCCAGTAACTGTCGATCATTCGTAATTTATGACATGCATACTGTCCTAGTCCTGAAAAGCAGATGGATAGATAAACTGTGCAAGGCAAACTTCGAATAAAAAGGAAGACAGTTAAGTTTGGAGTTATGCGTAAAAGACAGCTAACAAAAGTCTCAAAAAGTTGTTTATGGACTAAATGGAAATAATTCTAATCACATTTAAGGAGAAAATGTATTATCACGATTAATTAGTAAAGTTCATTGTCCATAATTTACCGATAGTACACTTATAACATTATTCTTGCAGATTGTTTGTCACCATCCATTTAAAGTTTATACTAGTGTGGTAGTGCATTTTAGATTTTTACCACGCTTTGAAATAAGTAGCCAACGTTTACTCTATCACGTGCATTATGAAAACAGGTAGCGAACAAATAACAACTTGTATTCCTTTAAGCCCCACATACCTGAATATGAGTGATGGAATTTAATTAGTCTATTGGAACTGATTTAAACAAAATTACATTTTTAGACATACATCTTATACCAGCACCGAAATGATAGTAAACAAATGCAAGCAGAAAAGGAAGATTATCAGATTAAAATGTGAATAACATTGAATTTTTAACAAAAATTTAGAGCAGAGTGAATCTTTCTAGCCAATTAACCATTTCTCTGTCATTCCTTCTTCAGCACATGTATGGAATATATATTTCATCGACTCCATGAGTAACTGACATCACACCTGCGATTTGCTTTGTAATTAAAAGTTTCACACTTTAAAAATTAACCGAATAACATTTTGTAACAATATGGTTTCTGTCCTCTGTTAGAATAGATCAAAGAAGCATTCTGTATTCGTGAGTAAAGTATGAGCTAGAAAATTCCTTTAGAGAAATAGGGAGAATAACACAGTAAAACCGAAGAAGTTCACCACCAAATTACTTGTTACTTAAATATAACTAATACTAAGTGATTCTTTCAGACAAACTATAAAGTAACATACCATCTTTAGTAACCGATTCATAAACAATACGTATTGATGTTGGAACAGGCTTCTTAGCATCTACGCGCATAATCCAAAGATCTGGAGGTAGTCTATGGTAAACAAAATAACATTAAGAAACAAAATAACACGCTGAGGTATTTACCATAATATACGTCCTTCAAAGACCTTCCTGAAGCCACTCATTTCAAAATTAAGCAGTTTAACAAAACGCACAAATATATGCCATGTCTGATTTGTGTAGTTAAAGTGACTGATCAAGGAAACCAGACTAACATATCTGATGTAACACATATACGATTAGTTGTACTATAACATGCGCCTTTGTTAATAAAAGTGCTTGAGGGTATCGAATGATCCATTTAAAGCCAACGTTATCAGTGTCATATCTAATATGTAAAAACTACTTTTTACATTGAAAGATTTTAGTTGAACCATAGAGTGGTAGATATGGCAGTAATGGTAAATATTTGCGATGTCTACTATGCATAAGTGCTTAGGTGCAACGAGGAAACATTGAGGTTAATATAAATAAATGTTAAAATATATATACTTCAAGACAAACAGGTGTTCAATAATGTGAATTTCAGATATTTAAAGGACACATTAGAGGGACATCTAAAATATTTTAAACTGTTTAACAATAACGTGTAAAACACATCTTATATTTGAAAGAGACCTTCACTTTTTGCCCCGAATAATAGAATCTTACTTATTCTTTCAATACAATTTTTCTTCAGTCCACACTATAAAGTGATTTTAATCAATTGTTTAATCTACAACATACGTATTACCAGCCAAAAGTTACGTAACCACTTATTTCGGACCCCAAGGTTTATTTAGTATTCTGTTAGAATTGTGAAAATTCTTCAAAATGATGCTTAATTGTGGCATTTTATTATTTCTGTTTGGATTATTGTAAGCCTTGCTACACTATTCCAATACAAATTCATGTTAACTGATTATTAACTTTGATATAAAACTAGCTACCTATTTAGATTTTAGATAGACAAATATTACAGACTGTTATTCATTGATGCGAATCTAGGGGACTCATATTAAACCAATACTGGAATGTAGGTACATCCGGAAGAAATGCTTATTAATTCTAATACCAGCGAAAATTCATCTATTTTATATAAACGCTCCTGAAAAATGACTATACTGAAATGATCCACACTCTGTACAAATATGCCCACGAAGACTATTCAAATTTTTGCGAAAAATATCAACAATAAAAAAAATTAAACTTTTCTAAAACTGGAAGCCGTTTGACTGCTAAATATCAGTTAATAAACAATTTCATTTTATTTCCGTAATCAAAACACCACTTACAAAAAAGATCAAATATAATCAAAGTAAGATCTGTATTTAAAAAAAAACACATAACTCACTCGGATAATGGGACAACTAACTCGGAGACTCGAAGAGAGAAACTATGAGTAATACAAAATAGTTTATTATCAGGCTCGTACAGTGCTGATTTCCATTCATTTTTTTGCGATTTTTGAGCGATAATTTTTCTGTACAACAGCAAACAACGGATGAACACAAGCAGGAGTAAGAAGAAATACAAACAAAAGTTGGTTAGTTGTACGATGCATTCAAAACAGTTTGTTTCAAAATTCCAAAACAATACGAAATTTGTAATTATAGTTTGTGATATGTTTAGATTAGGTGGCGAAAATCGAGGAATCACAAAGTGGGTTCCAGTAGGGATTAGAGTCTTTATAAAAGTGACATAAACTTGTTGTTTGTCGAGGCTGCCATTACATTAGTCTGTACCAAACTAAAAAGTATTATATTACAACCACTGAAGACCAACTGTTAAGTGCTACTATTCTGCACCATGGACATAAGCGAACTTAAAACTTTGGTTTCGAATGAAAATGCAGCCAAGTTATTTGTAAAAAACCATTTTGTTACGTAACTATAATATAGAAACACTAGTGTTATCCTTTTACTGACATAACAATCGATGTTAATAGAGCATCATCATCAGCTGCAGCTGGAAATTCATTTTTCTACAGATAAACAAACTAGACCTATGAACAGTTGGATTTTATTCGATAAATGTCTAACACTATATTAATTGGCTACGAAAGCTTTCAATAAGGTTGACGACTGATAATAATTTTTAGTTCATTACATAATAAATATGTAGCATAACTATCATTTAAAAGGAGCACAATAACTATAAAGATATTAATTGCAACTATGAGAACTTAGATGGAATATATATATACAATGAAGTAAAATACTAAACAAACCTTAATTCAGAAGCCAAAGATGATTTTGATACCATGGATGCAAGACACACCGAAAATGATACGGACTTATATAGATTGTGCAGTACATCCCATCGACTGTCTAAACTCCATCCACTTTGTTTATCGAGTTCGAAAAATGAAGATGATTCTGGAACCACTGAAAATGGAAAGTTTTTTTACAAAATTGAAATTTTGCGATCAAAAAAATGAGTTACGTAGGATATTCATTCTTCTAAAATATTTTCCAGAAAAGACTCTAAAAGGTTATTGTTAAGTAGTGAAAAAATTCCAGCCTAATCCAAATTTTGAAAATAATGATATTTGGGGTGGATTTGAATGATATCTTGAATCGACAAACTTTAGAATAGATATAATGAATGCACGTTATCTCATGCTTAACAATGCTCACATATGCTGTTAAATGAGGCGAACAATGAATGTTGGTGAACGACTAGCTGTGCGGATTTCATAAAACTAGGTGAACATTTATATTCAGACAGGACAGCTAACAATCAACTAAAATGGCGATTTGAATTTTTGAGATTACCATTATAAATATAATAACACACAAGCGAACAATATAGTTTCCAATTAAAACGTCATCAGGCTTTACTCTAATATACATGAATATCGATTGGAAAATGTTGAGTCAATTAAGGCAATTTATAAGTCACCAAGTTACAATGAAATCGATTACGTAACTATACTTAATAGGTAAAAGTACAAGTCGATGGTAAGAAGACAAGTGTATTGTAAGTGGTAAGAAAAACATAGTAGTAGGCTGTTTAAGTAAGAATATAAATTCTTTTTAAAATAAGGACATCCAATTGGCATGTTACAAACAGAATAAAGCATGTGCCATGAATTTGATTCTGCATGAAAGCAGTGTTCAAACACTGAGAATAGGACCTTATATATCTTAATTTGAATTTTTCATATACACAAATAACCGGAACTTAAAAAACCACCCGTTCATACGTAAATACAACTTGTAGAAGGATTAGTGGCGTTTTAGTAGGTACTTACAACTTTCGAGAAGGTAGACGCAATCGTTCGTTACTTTATGAAGACCAATTTCTATAAGGGTTTCGATACCAAAATTGAAAAGTCCATAGAGATTTTGACCGCATGATTCCGTGGAATCGTGTAGATGACGAAGTCTCCAGGCGAGTTGAGTTTGGTTGTGGCTAGCAAGCTAGTAAGATAAAAAGATAAATTGGAGCTACGTTGAATAAACCTCAAAAAAAGGAACCTGAGATGAGATTTGTAGAGCACGAAAAACAAATACAGGCTCAACAACTTACTTGTCACTGTATTGATATTAACCGAATAAATAGTTGATCGGTAAAAGGATGGAGGTCAATGTATTCAAAAAGGAAACAATAAAAACACCCAGGAGATAAAGAAGAAACAATTTTCTATGATACAGTGTCATTTTTACTGTCAGCTTATCCCAAACAAATAAAGTGAAAACAGACCTTTCTCTAAAAATAAATCTAAAACACCTATGGCTCTGATAGAATCTTAGTAAGTCGTAAAATAATTAGTTGGATTGAAATGAATTCGACAATATCAGTATGACATTGATAGAGACAACAATATGTGATAATCTATCAAACAAACAACTGACATTGCAACCCAGATAATTATTTAACCCGAGGTCCTATTATGTAAACAACGTCTGTTACGTCTTTGATATCAGTTTCAGCGATCACGCGAAAAGAAAGTAATATTCAGGTATATGCCGGTAACTACAATTTAACTCTATTATCTCTCAATGTCTAAGTATCTTCTGCTGATCCATATACAAATTGTTTTTTCCAAATAACAGTTGCACACTTTTAAGCTTGATGACAGTGTTGTTTTGTGAGACGATATCTGAAAACAAGACTTAACGATTTAATTTTAGTGGCTGCGTAATGTTCGTCATCACGATTGCCATTTCAGTGGCTCGTGGTATGACTACAAACTTCCGAACAGTTAAATCAGCTATGTAGTGTCTCCTTAGGTTTCCACGTATCGTACTGAGGCGAACCCCGGTTGTGAGACGACAGACAGACAGATACAACGCAGAACTTCGTACGTAAGTACATCAGTTCAGGTTGCCATACCACATTAGCACAGAGATGCAACTGTCAGTTCAAATCCAAGAGTGACAGCAATAATAGAAGTATTAGCAGTAATGGAGAAGATTAGGGAGCGAAGATATGATTCGAGAAGTATAATTCAGTAATATAAATTTAGAAGGAGAAAGGTAGAGATTACGAGGAATGCAGAAGGTTAGAATTTGAGAGAACACAAAGAGTGGATGCACCTGCGTCATTGCAAACGATTCTGAGCCATGTCGTTCAAGGTCTCTAACCATCGTTTACTATTGTCTCACGGACCCTAACCAGGTAGTCTACATCTACCAACATGACTCAGTTCACTTGTCAGTGACTTCATGCATTTCTGCCATGTTTTGGTTTGGCTGCCCCTAGCTTTCAACCTACTCCTACACTGCGAAACATAGCTCTTCGAGGCAGCCGGTGGTTAGCCATACGTAACACATGTCCCAATCACCTCAAATGATGAAGTTTCACTACTTCATCTATTGATTTGTCATCGTTTCCTAACACAGCATTGCTTATACGGTTGTCCCATGATACATGAGTAATGCTTCGGAGACATCGATGACCGAAGACTAGTAACCTACGAAAGTCCTCTACTCTTAACGGCCAAGTCTCACATCCGTACAGTAGGACAGAGCGAACACTCGTCCTTTGGTTAGCAAACGGATATCTCGCCTACGCCATAAGTGATGCAGGTTGGCAAAAGCCAATCCAGCCTTCTGTATCCGAGCTGAGATTTCATCAGTCACCAGGCCATCGGCACTGATGAGACTCCCCAGATAAGTCACGCGGTCAACACGTTCGACTACTTCACTCCCTATCACTAGTTCAGGTGCCGATGAAACCCAATCTTGAAGCAACATTTTGAATTTCGACGGGGAAAACCGCATCCCGAACATGCTTGCATTGTTGCTTAGGGTAGTCAGAAGACTCTGCATTTTGTTAGCGTCTTCACCAAGTAGGACTATGTCATCGGCATATTCTAAGTCAATAAGCGAGCCTCCTGGTAATAGGTCTAATCCTGAAAATTCAGACGAGGATAAGGTTATTTCTAAGAGCATGTCTATCATAAAATTAAACAAGAATGTAGAAAGTGGACATCCCTGACGGACACCACTTGAGGTAAAGAATTCCGGTGACAGTTCGCTATAAGCTCTCACTCAACCAGTGGTGTTCGAGTAGAGGACTTGTATAAGGTTAATGTACTTCTTTGGTACACCTTTCAATGACAGACACTGCCACAGAACCTCACGGTCCACTGAGTCGAATGCCGCCTTGAGGTCCAGGAAAACAACTATTGTAAGACGCCTAAATGTGTGTGTTCCAGGACCTGTCGTAGTGTGAAGATGTGGTCTATACAGCCACGTCCAGGTCGAAAACCAGCCTGGCTTTCTCTAGTCTGCTCTTCACGAGCTTTCGTTAAGCGTCGAAGTATTATTGACGCCAATATTTTAGTTACTATATTAGTTAGACTGATTCCCCTGTGATTGTCACAAGAAGACTTTCGTCCTTTCTTATAAATCGGGACAGTCAGTGATTGAGACCAGTCGGATGGGATTGTGTCCAGTTTCCAGATTCTACTTAAGATCTCAGTCAACCTAGCTGCTGAAACTGGACCACCATCCTTAAATATCTCAGGGGTCAGTCTATCAGGACCTGTAGCTCGCCTTCGCTTCAGATTTCCTAACTCTTTCTCGACTTCATAAAGACTGGGGGCACTTATGTCGATTTGCCATTCAGTTGAACTGATTCCTTAAGTGGATTGAGAATAAATTATAGTCCCATCATTTTCCAAAATAGTCTCACTTACACCAAGATTCCTAATACCAGTTTCCTTGATAAGTCGGAAAAGTTGTCTACTGTTGCCTATCGCCGCTGCCTTTTCCATCGCTCTTGCTTTCGCCACCCACCACTGTTCACGGTCGTTGCGCAGGCTTTCTATCAGCCTGCGCTAAAGCCGACTTTGTTCTTCATCATGTTCAGAGCCAGATGGGATGAGTTTTCGGGCATCAATCATATCGGTGGATGCTGCAGAGATCCACAGCTTCATCCTAGCCTTATGGTTATCCTTACTAGCAGATATTACTGCTGTTTCCACAGCCTTCTTGATATCATTCCAACCTGCTTCCGGATATGAATCGCTTAAATGGTCGCCTAACTCATTTTCTAGTTGTTCATGAAATATATTCTTAGCTTTATTATCATTAAGTAGAACCCTATGAGGCTTCACCACGGTATCTTTCCTACGCATTATATGAATCTAAACATGTGCCCCAGAACGAGCGACAGTCCTCTATCGAACCCTTCCATCGGTGTCTGATAGCGATGTGATCTAGTTGGGTCCAACGTTGAGACGACTTCAGGGGTCGCCAGGTTAAAAGGTGCTTTTCCTTACGCCTAAAGTTAGTTTGCTAGAAATAGGCGGTTATCTGAGCATACTTGCAACAGACGGTCGCCACTGTCTGTTCTCTCAGCCGCGACACCATAACATCCACCAAGGTGTCTTTCCTGCTCACTTAGTCTACCTACCTGAGCATTGAAGTCACCAGCCATTATTACTACATCAGAGCGCCTAACTTTTTGGAGGAGGTCCGAAAGCTTTCTGTAAAACTCGTCTGAACTGTAGTCAGTGGGGGCATAGGCAGATACGACGAAGAGGCAACGACAAGTGTATCTATCTTTCCAAGTCCTTACTGTCCCGTTCAGTCGGACGGCGCACAATCGACTATCTACAGGGATCCAGTCTAGGAAAGCTATTTCTGCACTACGACTCAATGCTATACCTGCACCAGCCAGACCCCTGGAAGCAGCATCAGGGCTACCGGATACACGAATAGTAAATCGAGCTGCTTCTTTATTTTGACAAGGTGAAACCAGATTAATGACTTTACCAGGATCCTGTATGCGCGTTTCCGAGACGCAGCAAAAATCGATTGAGCGAGATTCTAATGTTCTAGCTAAGGAAGCCTGTTGCCCTATTTGACACAATGTACGTACATTAAATGCTCCAACATGTAGTCTAGAGCGGGGTTTCAGGAGACCAGAAATGACGTTTCGTGAACTCGCAAAGTTTGCATTAGCTGTACAGTGTGATAAATGAATGCGAGATTTAGTCGTGGAGATTAGAGAGGTATGTTTGGTTGTAGGAAGGATTTGATTTTGACCAATTCGGTCTCGTGTGCTGTTACAGGTATGAGGGCGGTTGTCACTTCCCGGCTGCCCACACCGTGGAAGGTTGTTTCTTGAGGGACCTGAAAAGGAAGATAGATTAGTGTTGGTCTTGGAGACCTGGGAGCGTGACCGCAGAGTACAAGGGACAACTGCTTGAGGCCGGTCACGCACGGCCCTTTTATGAAAGGTTTTTTGAGTATTAGCTCCGTTCTTAAAGGCCCCTAGTGGGCACCCTTACCCAAGGAGACGGAAATCCATGAGGTAGGGTGAGGTGTAACACTTGTAGGGTCGATCTTTTCTAACCCTTCCTTACTTCTGAGAAGGCAGCATCGCTGCAGATGCTGGTTGTCCGAGGGAAACACCTTAATGCTGTCACACCCCTCTGCAGTCAGCAGTACGACTTCGCCCTCAGACCTTGAGTAGCTGCTTTTAGTCTCATCGTTCTCCAATCGACCAGCCTGGCATGGTAGGACCTGCAGGAACATACGTTGCAGCCAATATCGCTCGGTTGGGTCATCACGATAGGCAAGCCCGACCACCACGTCAAGGTAGCAGCTACGGTCGGGTTGTGAGACGGCGGTAATCAGAAGCCAAATACGGATTCGGTTGCATGAGGTTTGGTTTTAAGAAGCCGGAAAATATCCCAAGCAAGTCACTTATGATGCGATAGTGAAATGCCTTATTATTTGTTGTGACATGGACAGTTTATGCGTGAAACTAGAGAGAAATGTTTTCGAGTCGACGTTTTGGCAAAGTAGGGAATGTTCGATGACTACTCATGTTTTGGATTCAATAATAGTATTAGTTCAACCATTTAAAAATCATAAAATATAGTTTGTGGTGAAAAACTTTAGATGTCAACCTTCTACGGCTATTGAAACAGGAATCAGATGTAGCCTACAGAAAAGTGGGCCGATGCACATGTGTCAGACTTCATGTTGATGAATGAGGCTAAGGTGAAACACCGTACAAGTTGGTCATCAATTTAGGCCCTATGGCCTAACGAAAGCAACTGAAACTGATCTTCTATGAGGTACGTCGAAAAACAGGATACTATTCTGTTAATCCAAAAGTAAGAAACTTTGCTGGATAGTAGATATATTACTATTTTATTAATTCAAGAAAACTTAATATTGGTTCCCGGAATATCTTTGCTCTTTTGAAGTGGAATAACTTGACCGAACGCACTTTTGTAGTAGGTCACAAGTTACCAATACATTTTACTGTGCCACACACTGTAGCAGGATACGTTGATGAACATCATTACTCTAAAGTATTTTAAAACACATCTGCGACATTTCAGCTTACTTCATAAACAGCCGAATATGAATGTAAATCTGGGCTGTAGCATCCAATTAACTAGTTTGATTTAGTTTATACTACATTATCATAAACCAGCTAAATAAATTTATCGTAAAAACTTACATAAATCAGCTCACTTTTGTCCTCTAAGTACTCAAAAGCACTTTCAACACACGTCCTGAAGACAAGTTTGTTAGGAGATCCTGTTAAAAGATTTCAATAACAAATTACTGATTATAGAAATATATAAAGGATCATTGAGATGAATGACGAAAAAACTAATGACAACCTGATATTGAATAAACGCTGAATACCGTATGCAGAGAGACTGAGATTCTAAGTAGTAGAAACAGTGACAATAATTTTTATAATTTAACCTAGTCCAACTAAAAGAACCCTTGTGGGAATTAAGTTAGTACAGGTGACTGAAATACATCTACTTACCAGTCTAAAAATATGTATTAACATAACTATTTTGATTGCAAGGCTGACGTAGTAACGTATTCTAGTGCCATAAATACCCTATTTAAATGCTGCTTTAAGTTTCAAGTTCTAGACTTAGTAATGTAGTGATTTCGGACATGATCATTATCAATCATACATCAAGTCCGAGATGAACAGAGTAACAAAAGGTTCACCTTTGACTGCATTCCAAAGAGCTTCAGATGAATCCAAATTTCGTCCAGAAAGCAGCAGATTGAAACTAACACCGCAAACTCTTCCAGCCGATCGGTCAACTTTATTTAGTTTAACTAGTTCTTAAAATAGTAAATGTAATTGTTTACCTGATTTGAAGGTATTCGGAAACTCAGCCTTGACTTGCTCGCTATTATCAACAGAATTTGGCAGCCAAACTGATGAATCGTTCTCGTAAGCTCGATATAAATCCTGTTAATTAACACAATATTTACGTTACTTTTAAAATTTCTATTTCATCCAAAATACTTGAGACAAGTTCATTAGACTTGTACGGTGTGATATTCACAGTCTGAAATAAGTACATATAAGGAGCAGACAAACCAGTTCTCCAGATACAAAAGATGGAGGGGGACTAAGGACCTTGTCTTCACAAGTTTCATATCGAGCTTTAAATACCCCATGAGAAAGTCTGTACATACATTCAAAAGTGATAGCAAACTCCTGGAATTCACAGACCAAAAATTTATCTTACAGGAAACGAAAGCATCGATTCTTGAGATAATTCTTTGATTGAGCGATTTACATCAACATCTAAAACGTCATAAAGCATTCAAAAGTACTTACCAAACTCTGAACTTATGCGTAGAATTCTCTTTGATGTTTTAGTTTTTGGAAACAGCCCAATAAATTGTTCACCTTTTTCACGTACAAAATAAAGCACATTATCTACATAACCCTCAACCGGTCTTCTGAAAGTATTTCAAAAAACTGAACATACTTTTCCAAGGGTCTGAGTCCGCTCAAGTCGAAAAATCTTGAGCGCGGTTTTATAGCTTCTTTTTGTGAATCACTGAAACTTGATTCAACCGATAAATTTGCTATTTTCTCAATTTGTAGAGGGTCCCCTTCAAAATCGTCACATCTACTTAAATTTTCAACGTTTTTGGAGGAACTTTTGTACTCATATTTAACGTCACAGGTAACTGGTGCATCGGAAAGTGAATGCACAACTTTATTGCATACAACACCAAATTCTTGTGCCACTAACGACAGCATTCACAGTAAACTACCGCGACAGCACGCTAAACTGTATTACCGCAAATGACCTTCAGTTAGATCAGTGTTTATATTAGAGAAGTTGGACCATTTCATGGCACAGAAGGAGCATTTTAAGAACCGTTTTATATGAAGTTTGAATTTCATGCCTCGATTTCTATAGTATTAGAATAAATTTTCTACCTAAGAGACCGTGTTACGCTACGCTAGTATGAAGGCAGAAAGTAGCACTTTCGACTAATGAAGCTATAAATTGGAACAAGAACTGTATTCTCCATAAAATGAACAGCACACCGGCCAGAATGTGCCTTTTTCTCAAGGGTCAAATGTTACAAAAAGGAAACACCCTTGGTTGAGGGTAGAACAACTTGACGTTGATATCCCGAATACCCTCGTTTAAGTTGCCCTCCCCGATCCGATTCAGACACGACAAAGCCAGGATATCACAAAGCATCCAAGAAAAGGCCGATATGATAGAACAGAGGCGTGCCCTAACTGACCATGACATGGAACGACGGCGATGGCTAACATGGATCTTTCACAACCATGAAAAGTTGCACTTGCCGTCCATCACACCTCATGACCATTTAGCCGCCACGTCTGATGGCTGCGGACTTCAGAAATTAGGAAGACCTAACTGAGGCTTCCACGCTTGGTACAGCATGAAGAACGATCTTTCGATGACCTATATCTATGAGACCACAACATGGAGGCCAAAATAAGCACACGTAAATGACATTTGATCTCGATCAGCAACCCACGGCACAAGGCATGAGGACGATGGTCTCGTCAAAAGAATGCACTCTACAGGCAAAAAAGTGTAGAATCTGTTTTGAAGGCTTTGTTTTTTGAAAATCCCTCCATGTATATATATTTGTGTTATGATATGAATGACTCTTTCTGTTCGATATTTTGGTACTTTATTTGATCACATTTTGAGATTTTATCATTTGTATCTTGTTATTATTTTTTTATCTTGTACTTATATTGAAGTTTCCATGTTTCCTTCTGAACTATATATTTGTTGTTTAAAACTGATATTTAATATGGCTGCAGCCATATTTGGATTTGATACTCTAGCAGTAACTGACTGGAAGCACTTATTCTTCCAGTAACGGAACCTGTTGTGGTGATTAGAAACTCGAAGGTGTAATATTGTTTTGATAATTGTCTGAATTCCCTTTTTTGATTAAATACAGAACCGTTCTCTCCCAGAATTATCGTTTTTGGACTTGGACTGGGTGAGACGCGTGTGAACCTACACTTTTCGGGTTCAGAGCGACTGCAAGAGTAATATAATTACTCAACAAAAAGGATGCAGAGGCCAGTACCCACAGAACTGGCCAACTCCGACAACGGCTGTTACTGAAGAGGTGTACTGTGTAATGAGACGAACCATTAATTACTTCTATAGCAACGTAAGAGGACTAAGGGGCAAACTGTTAATCATCAAGAATGTGTGCTATCAGGTGAATCTGAAGATCATAATCCTAGCTGAAACATGGTTATCTCCCTACATTCCGGAAGAGTAAGTAAGCTTGCAAAACATGACACTTTTCCGATGCGATAGGGTACACCACAAAGGAGGCGGAGAATATGCATGCAAATAATGACAGCCATTTCAAAAACGAAAGGTCACACGGCACCCAACTAACCTAGGTGACAGAATCATATTGATATTGTTTCAACACAAATGGCAAGAAATTCCTAAATGAAGCTATCTACGGGCCCTCCTCAGGTACTAAGTCCTGGCAAGAAAAACTGGCTGGAGCAATACTGAAACCGCCACTCCTTAGATTTGAACAAACCTTCTGAGATGAAGATCTCAACACTCCGTTTCTGAATCTAAGCAAACAGGGTAGAACTCCTTACCAAGATAGACTTCATCACTTGGGATTATCCCTCCTGAGTTACAGAAGAATCAGAGGTGATCTGATTATGGTGCATAACGTATTAGGCAGGCCAAACCACCCTAATGTGAGCACTCCATCAATGCATAACTACCACTTCCGTCAAGGTAATCCTCGAAAAATTGCACATCGAAGAGCGAATACTCAGGTTCTTGCACACTTTTCCTCATTAAGAGTCGTCGCAACTTGCAACGCTTCCTTAGCCGAGTTTCGTGAACGAGCTGTGAATGACGTACGTCTTGAGACCTGCTAGTTGTTATGAATACCATCTCCTCATCTCGCTTATTATCTTTGTTTCCTCTTCCTTACTGACACTTCAGTCCTCCCTCACAATCTTCACCACCAATTAATAAACTAAATTATTCGTTTATTAACTTAGTTCTGAAATCTTATTCATATTAGCACTAGAACTCGATCCTTATTATTCCTTACATTACAAGTAACTGATCTCCGGTCTGGTAATGTGATAGCTGCTGGTATCCGGAAACCCTATTATTTTGAAACAAACGTATTCATTCAAATCACGGGACATACAAACTCAAAACTGCCAATTGACTAGAATTACGCAGGTGAGTGGCTAGACCCCATCCATTGGACAGTGCTAAACGCGTGGAACCGTACCAAAGGAACAAGAATGGAGCGCAGAGAAATCAACTGGTTTATACTAGCTCGTGAAAAAGGTATTGGACTCATTGCCAAATCGAAATTCTGTGGAGTTATCGAAACATTATATGATGGCAGTGAAGAAAACAGTTCTTGAAATCGGGGAACAACTAAGGTCATTTGTGGCTCTATAGAAATGTAATAATGAATAAATCGAGTGTCTATATTCAAAGTGTTTGTTTACAAATCTGTAGTCTGGTGCTCGGTTAGAAATGATGAGCCACACTGGCAATACTAAGAAGATGTGACTGCCTCTAAGTCTATTTTCTGGCCAGTTGTGTACAGATACTCGTTCGTTTCTATTTCAGACAGTGGACATTGATCTACTTCATCAAAGTGTCTTGATGCATGAAACATTTAAGTTTAACTGGGTGCATTCAATATTGATGAGTCTTTTTCTAGTGACATGAAGTCTTTCAGATAGAAATCTGTCCTGTTAATATCTGAAAGGTTTTCAAATGGGTTGAGAATAAATATTTTCTCACGTTTTCAACTACGTAGATCAAAGAAGCATGTTTGCGGATGAAGGCCGATACACGCAACTCAAAATACTGTACTGTATTACTAGAAACGCTGATCAACTTTTGAAAAATATTCCTGAAGATTTTGGCATCCACCTGACGATTTGTTAACTTTTTCCATCGGACCAATAATAACAGTTTTCCCCAGTTATGTAAGTCGATGTCATTATCTGACAGGCGTAGCAACTTGATTACTGTATTTAACTAAAGTGTCATGTTGCTTAATGGAGCTCTTTTGTTAACATTTCGGGCTTACACTATTAAAACGACGAAAACTAACCTAGACAGTTATTTAACTCAATTTCTGTCGCAGTTGGAGTATCCGTGCCCGAAATTAAGATTTAAATATGGTGTGATTAACTATCACACCTATCGAAAAAGAAATAGTAAACAAACAGTGAAATAATGTATAAGCATATGAAATAACCACAGCAAATTCCACTAACTGATTCCATAACATTGGCAAGGTATCAACCCAAACTATCTGGGTAACAATGATCACGAACTGAACCGTAATATCTAGGTGCTGGAGTCAGAAACCGAATGTTAGCTAGCCGCCAGAATAGAGGCAAACCCGAAACATCTGTTTAGGTTCATGTCCAAAAGAAAACCTACTAATCAAGGGTTGTGTTCTCTAAAAGGACCAAACGGGGAAGACCTTACCAACATAGAGATGGCCGAGATCTTCAACACCACCTTTGTCGATCAGTTAAACCAGGCGCCTAAATGTTCAGAGTATTACGCCAACGCAATGCCAGCTGACGGCTTAGGGAACATCCGTATCACTCCTGACCTAGTATTAAGGAAACTAAAATCCTTACGCCCACGTAAGTCGCCAGGTCGTGACAAAATCCGCCCTATAGTCTTGCAACAGTGTGCTGAAGTCCTCTGTTCACCGTTATACAACCTGTTCAGGCATTCACTGGAGTCACACTAATTCCCAGCTGAATGGAAACAAGCAACTTTCACTCCAATCTTCAAAGGAGGAGATAGAAAGGACCCAGCCTGTTACAGACCAGTCGCACTACTACCAATATTATCAAAGTTTATGGAAGGACTAGTGGACGAACAAATGAGGGAGTACATGGATAAGAATAAAATACTCCATGAAGCTCAACACGGGTTTCGGAAAGGCAGGTCGTGTGCATCTGATCTCCTCATCGCATAGGACAGTTGGACATCCTGCTTGGACCGTAAAATACCGGTGCACGTCATATTTCTCGACTTTGCAAAAGCCTTTGACACAGTGACCCACGCACGCCTAATCGAAAACGTTGTGGAAACAGGTTTCACTGACCCACTCGTATCTTGGCTGAGAAACTACCTTGAGAATAGAAAGTTTTGCATCAAGGTAAACAGAGTGCAAGCGAGTTGGAGAGTATCCACTTCAGGAGTTTCACAGGGGACCATCCTAGGCCCACTCCTCTTCCTGATATTCATTAACGACCTGCTAAGCTTAGTTAGCTCACCGGCACTGATCTACGCAGACGATGCAAAGATCTGGAGGTCCATTAGAAGCGAAAAGGATTCGACTGAGCTTCAAAAGGACCTTACACCTATTGAGAAATGGGCAGTGAAAAACGGTTTAAAACTCGACCAGCCGAAGTGCCACGTCATGCGTTTCCTGCCTCACATGACTCAAACGATCTATACCCTCAATGGAAGTCCGCTCCCTAATGTCTCCTCAGAGCGCGATCTTGGTTAAATAACCACAGAAAGCCTCCACACCAGTCCAAACTACGTAGGGGATGCAGCCAAGGCAAATGCGACTCTTCACTTTATGCGAAGACAGCCTGGTGCTATCACCCCGAAATTATTTTTAACCCTGTTTAAGACGTACGCGCGCCCACACTTGGAGGTTCACAACGTCATTGCACCCCCTCTGCTTAAAAGAGACATAAATCTCTTGGATCGAGTGCAGAGACGAGCAACGAAATGGGTGATAGGGTTGAAAAATAAACCGTACGACGATAGACTCCAGCTCTTGGGATTATTCCCACTGAGCTACAGGAGAATCAGAGGCGATCTGATTATGGCATACATCATATTAAAC